TGGAGCCACGTGTCATGAGGCCACAGCAGGTCACACCTTGTAATTCTGAACAGTCAGTGCCACTCAAAGCTTGTGCTGTGAGCCGCCCCGAGGCTTCGGCAAGGGGCGGCATAGAAATGTTTTAATAAATAAATAAAAAGATACCCAGATCAAATCTAAGCTAAATTTAAAGTACTGATGTGAACAAGGCCTTTTCAGTCAGATTCTGCCAGATCAAAGGAGACAGAGTAGGATCCATACATAGCTGTTTTTCTAGAAGCACAGCATGGTAAAGGAGGTAAATGTAGCCATTCTGTCTTGGGTACAGTGTTAGTGCCAAATTCAAAAACATACTGCTAGCGCACAAACACTCCAAGGGATTGGTTTGAAAGGAAAGGAAAACTACAGAGAGCATGTTGCAAAGTGCTGCCCGACCCATCATGACCCCATGGGCAACATTCCTCCAGGCTCTCCTGTCCTCCACCATCCCTCGGAGTCTACCCAAGCCGCCCCCTTCTCCTTTTGCCATCAATTAGCATCAGGGTCTTCTCCAGTGAGTTGCTTCTTCTCATTAGGTGGCCAAAGTATTTCCGTATCTGGCCTTCTAAAGAGCAGACAGGGTTGATTTCCTTTAAGATTGACTGGTTTGATATCTTTGTAGTCCATAGGACTTTCAGGAGTCTTCTCCAGCACCACAATTCAAAAGCCTCAATTCTTCAGTATTCAGCCTTCCTTATGGTCCAACTTTCACAGCCATACATTGCAACTGGGAAAACCATAGCTTTGACTTTACAAACTTTTGTTGGCAGGGTGATGTAATTTGCTATAGCTTTCCTCCCAAGTAGCAAGTGTCCTTTACTTTCTTGGCTGCAGTCCCCATCTGCGGTGATCTTGGCACCCAGGGAAATAAAATCTGTCACTACCTCCATTTCTTCCCCATCTATTTGCCAGGAAGTGATAGAACCAGATTCCATGATCTTAGTTTTCTTAATGCTGACCTTCAAGCCAACTTTTGCACTCTCCTCTTTCACCTGCATCAAGAGGCTCTTTAGTTCCTCTTCACTTTCTGCCATGAGAGTGGTATCATCTGTATATCTGAGGTTGTTGAAATTTCTCCCAGCAATCTTAATTCCAACTTGTGATTCATCCAGCCTAGTCTTTCTCATGATGTTGTTGTTGTTGTTGTTGTTATTATTATAATAATAACATTTCTATGCCGCCCCTTGCCGAAACCTCGGGGCGGCTTACAACACGATAAAATACAATGAAATACAATAGCACATAATAAATTACCATTAAATACAAAATACAAAAAATACATTGGTTTACAAATATAAGATTAAAATTATCAGTATAACTTAAGTAAATAAAAATATAGGAGGAGAAAGAGAAGGGAGAAGAAGTTGCCCTGGCCAGATCATATGTTTTAACAATTCAAATGATGTTTAAATAAAAAGGTCTTTACCTGGCGCCGAAAAACCAGTAACGACGGTGCCAGGCGGACCTCTTTGGGGAGTGAATTCCATAGGTTGGGTGCCACCGCAGAGAAAGCCCTCCTCCGAGTACTTAGTCTCCTAATTTCTTTCATGGAGGGTTCCCAGAGAAGGGACTCTCCCGCAGATCTCAAAGGGCGGTCGGGCATATACGGACGTAAGCGCTCGTTCAGGTAGCCAGGACCCAAGTCGTTTAGGGCTTTATAGGTCATAATCAACACCTTGAATTGGGCCCGGGCTTCAATGGGAAGCCAGTGAAGCTGACGGAGGACTGGAGTCATGTGAGCATAACGCCCCGTCAGCAACCTGGCAGCTCTATTTTGCACCAATTGAAGTGTTCGGACTGTCTTCAGGGGAAGCCCCACGTAAAGCGTGTTACAGAAGTCTAGGCGGGAAGTCACCAGCGCGTGTGTCACCGTCGCCAGGCAGTCGTACTCCAGGTAGGGGCGCAGCTGATTAATCAGCCGAAGCTGAAGGAAGGCGTTCCTCGCCACCGCTGTCACCTGAGCTTCCAAAGAAAGCTCTGGGTCGAGGAGTACTCCTAGGCTGCGGACCTTATCCCTAAGAGGGAGTGTTGCACCATTCAGGACCAGATCAAATCCACCCTCTCCGAAACCCGATCCGCCAACCAACAGGACCTCCGTCTTGTCTGGGTTGAGTTTCAGTTTATTTGCCCTCATCCATTCCCTTACCTCGGCCAAGCACCGGTTCAGCACAGCCACTGCCTCACCTGGATTAGTGGAAAACGAGAGGTAGAGCTGGGTATCATCAGCGTATTGATGATTCCGCAGCCCACACCTCCTGATGACCTCTCCCAGCGGTTTCATATAGATGTTAAATAGCAGAGGGGATAGAATGGAGCCCTGTGGTACTCCATGGCATAACTGCCATGACGTAGAGACATGGTCCCCCAGCACTACCTTCTGGAATCAACCGTTGAGGTAGGAGCGGAACCACTGCAAAGCAGTGCCTCCAACCCCCAATCCCACAAGCCTATCCAGAAGGATACCATGGTCGATGGTATCGAAAGCCGCCGAGAGGTCCAGAAGAACCAACAGGGATGCACTCCCCCTGTCCTTCTCCCTGCACAGGTCATCGTACAGGGCGACCAAGGCAGATTCAGTACTGTACCCAGATCTGAAGCCGGACTGAAAAGGATCCAGATAATCAGTTTCATCCAAGAGTGCTTGGAGTTGTCCCGCCACCACTCGCTCCAACACCTTGCCCAGAAACGGGATGTTGGCCACAGGTCTATAGTTAGTGGCCATCTCTGGATCCAGTGACGCTTTCTTCAGGACCGGTCGTATTACCGCCTCCTTTAAAGGGGCAGGCACTCGACCCTCCCTCAGAGAAGCGTTAACCACTTCCAAGATCCAGGTCCCAATCCCGTGCTTGGAGTTATGATGTGCTCTGGATATAAACAGGCAGGGCGACAATATACAGCCTTGCCATTCTCCTTTCCCAATTTTGAACCAATGAGTAGTTCCATGTCCAGTTCTCACTGTTGCTTCTTGACCCACATACAGGTTTCTCAAAAGACAAATAAGATGGTCTGGTACTCTCATCTGTTTAAGAACTTGCCACAAGTTGCTGCGATCCACACAATCAAAGGCTTTAGCATATTCAATGAAGCAGAAATAGATGTTTTTCTGGAACTCCCCAGCTTTCTCCATGATCCAGTGTATGTTGGCAATTTGATCTCTAGTTCCTCTCCCTGTTCGAAATCCTGCCTGTACTTCTGGTAGTTCTCAGTCCACATACTGCTGGAGCCTTGCTCGTAGGATTTTGAGCATAACTTTGCTAGCATGTGAAATGAGTTCAATGCTGCGCTAGTTTGAACATTCTTTGGCATTGTCCTTCTTTGACAATGAAATGTAAACTGACCTTTTCCAATCCTGTGGCCACTGTGGAGTCTTCCAGATTTGCTGGCATATTGAATGTAGCACTTTAACTGCATAGCATTCCAATCCCCCATGATGATAAGGACATCATTTTCGGTGTTATTCCTAGAAGGTGTTGTAGGCCTTCATAGAACTGGTCAACTTCAGCCTCTTCAGCACCAGTGGTTGGGGCATAGACTTGGACTATTGTGATGTTGAATGGTGTGCCTTGGATTCGAACTGAGATCATTCTGTCATTTTGGAGATTGTATCCCAGTACTGCTTTTCCTACTCTTTTATTGACTATGAAGGCTACTCCATTTCTTCTGAGGGATTCTTGCACGCAGTAGTATAGCTGATGGTCATCTGAATTAAATTCACCCATTCCTGTCTTGTTTAGTTCACTGATTCCCAAGATGTCGATGTTCAGTCTTGTCGTCTCATGTTTGACCACGTCCAGCTTGATGTTGATCTTACATTCATAGATTCATAGATCTTACATTCCAGGTTCCTGTGCGGTATTGTTCTTTACAGCGTTGGACTCTCCGTTCACCACCAGATACATCTGCAAGTGAGTGTCCTTTCGGCTTTGACCCAGTCGCTTCATTCTTTCTGGCGCTACTAGTACTAGCCCTCTGCTCTTCCCCAGTAGCACATTGGACACCTTCCAACCTAAGGGGCTCATCTTCCGGCATCATATCTCTTTGCCTTTTGGTACTGTCCATGGGTTTTTCATGGCAAGGATACTGGAATGGGTTGCCATTTCCTTCTATGAGGAGAGATTGAGAAAACTGGGCATGTTCAGGTTTGGGAAGAGAAGACTGAGGGGGAACATGATATCCCTGTATAAGTACCTCAAAGGCTGTCTCTAAGAGGAAAGTTAAGATCTCTTCTAGCTGATGCCAGAGTGTAGGACATGGAATAATCAATTCAAGTTATGACAGCCCAGATTCTGTCTGGACATCAGGGAAAACTTCCTCACTGTCAGACCAATACAACAGTAGAACCAGCTGCCTAGAGAGGTGGTGGGCTCTCCCACACAAGAGACACTCAAAAAGAAACTGGACAGCCATCTGAGTGGGATGGTGTAACATGGTGTCCTGCAACAGCAGGAGGTTGGACTCGATGGCCTTCATGGCCCCTTCCATTCTACTCTTCTATGATTCTATGACCTTTTGTCAGAACTCTCTGCTATGACCCGTCCGTCTTGGGTGCCCCTGCACAGCATAGCTCATAGCTTCATTGTGCTACGCAAGCCCCTTTGCCACGACAAGGGGAAGGGGACAGAGCAGCATAGGAGGCACCAACTGACAGCAGACTAGCAGTGGGGAGTGGCTGCTTTACCCAAATCTTCCCTGTTCCCAGGTCATTTCTCCAGTAAAACCAGAAAGGGAAAAATTTGTGTAGACAGCCCCAGATACTCTAGTGCAAACCACATAATGAGGGTTAGCAGCTTCCTGCTTATCCTCTCCTATACTGATTTTTTAAAATGATATCAGGAGAGGAAACTGCTCATTTTTTGCTTCAGTTCTGTACAGGATTGGCTTAAGATTATTAGCATAAAAGTAATTAAACTGATATCAACACACAGCAGTAGCCACAACAGCATCATCCATATTATTAAATATGAAAAACTGTAATGTCTTACCGTTCTCGATTAAATTTCAAGGAATGGAGAATTGCTGGCCGTTTCTGTCTCAAATTCCACAAATGGAGCATGTCATCTGAACTTGCACTAACCAAAGCACCCTGTCAAAGTGACAGAAAACAAGTATGCCAAATGTTACCACCACCTTAGACAGTGTTCAAAAATGGCAGGTTAAAAAAAAAATTGGGAGTACAGAGGCCCCATCTTGGTGGTAATGCCCCCACCAAGTACAATGGTGGGGGCATTACAATCGGGAGTACAATGCCCCCTCTTGCATGGTGTCTGTGCAGCCCCATAGGCGAATTCTGCATCTGCAGAGTCTCAGTCTGGAACTTGCTCGCACCTTGGTGGGCAGCCTCCCTGCCCAAATGTGCACAGTTAGAAAGGGGCAGCTTCCTGCCTTCCTCTCATTTCTGCAGCAGCAACACCACCACCACGAATTGGATTTTCTTCTCGCTTCCGCTCTCAGAGCTTGAGCTAGCCTAAAGCACAGTCACTCTCTTTTCCCCCTTTGTCTTACTCCTTTAAAAAAAACCCTATTCAATTCTGTCCTTCAGTTTGGCATACTTTTCTTCTCAGTGTGTCCTGCCTCAGGGCCCTTGTCTTGTCACTTCAGAAGTTTGGTGGAGGGCTCTTTTTCCCAGTGATTCTTGCAGGAGTAAACTCCCTCCTGCTAATGGCAATAGGCTGCATCTGCAGGATTTAGAAGAAAGTCACCACCCTTAATCTTGCCAGCACTATCAGTGGTTTACCAGCGAAAATCTAAGGCAGCTAAAATCTGCCTTAGAGCACTTTTAAGGGGTCAAGCTCTGCTGGGGGCACACAAGGTGACCCACTCCCTCACAGCTACTTGCAGGGGGTTTCTGTGGGCTGTTCAGCAACTGAGCATCAGTGGGGTTTGTTTGATGGTCTCCTTCCTTCTCATCTTTCTTTAGTCACATGCCATCCCTTTGGCAAATCTGTTAAGTGTACGTTGAAACAATATGAAGTAGATTGATGTATCTTCCTTTGAAAGCAGATTAAAAGCTTTGTCCAGATTCCGAACAAGCATTAATTTGGAGTGCTTCATTGATTACAAGTTAACTTCACAGAATAATGGAAGGGGCAATGAAAGCCATTGGGTTCAACCCCGTGCTGTTGCAGGTCACCAATTTACACCATCCCACTCAAATGTCTGTCCAGTTTTGCCTTGTGATGACAGTGCTTGAACAGGGATAGCTTGAAGCCTATAATCATTGAGCTGTGATTAGTTCAGCCAAGTTGCAAGCTCACTGAGCTGATCTCTGCTGGAAGGGCTTGTACCGGTGGTACACAGTGGCAGACTGAGAATAGTAACAGGCAGCAGTTACCATGGTGAGCAGCGGGCAAAGCTTGGCAGTCACCCTCAAGTGCTGCTTTGGTTGTCAGCGGTGTTTACCCAGCCAGCAGTCAGTGCCTGTGGCAGGGAAGAGACCACCTCTCCTGCTGCCTGCTGCCCCCAAGTGCCTGGCATGGCGATGGTGTGGAGGGAAGCCTCTGGCAGACATCCTCAAGTGCCATGGACACTTTGGGGGAAGCGGTTGATAGCGCTCACGTGGCAAGAATGGCGAGGTGATTTTGCTGCTCTTGCCATGTAGCTCACCTCTAGCTGGGCTTGACTCACGTCAGTGGGATCCGGATGACATGGCAATTCATTATGGGTCAAACAACCAAACTGCATTTGCACAGGTGTTATTGGGGTGGCTTAAAGACCACCCTAACAGACATGGTTTGTTGTTGCGGTTCTTTGACCCATGGTGCCATCTGGATCTGGACAATGCAACCTATCGTGTGTCAAACCAACTGCGGGCACGCCGCCTCGCAAGGACTGTAAAATCCCCTTGCTCCTCTTGCCAAGCGGCTGGCAGGCCAGCAATGCAGACAGCTGCCCTCAAAAGGCCCCTAAGAGGCACTTGGAGACGACCATCAAAGATCTTCCGCTGCTTGTCATGGTAGTGCCCCCTTCTGGGAGTCAGTGGTAGAGATGACAATTTCCCCACCTGTGGTGCCACTGTGAGTCCCTTCAGCACCATGGAGGTGGAGCACAGATTAAGTTCAGCAGGCACCATGGCTGGCTGGAATGATCACCCCTCCCATGCTGCATGTGGCTTATGCCCACCTTGATGGCGGGCAGCCAGGATCACACCATGGAAGCCTGTCCCTGTTCCCTGCACAGTTAGGGATCCTCAGAGGTCCCATGGGGACTCCTGGGATTCCCCTGGGGGGATCAAAGGGGGAGAAGGGGGAGGGAAGGGGAGCAGATGCCCTCCCCATGATTTGCCCAGTCATCTCTCAGAGGCGTCATGGATATTGTGGCTCATTTTGTTGTGCAAACATGACCATAGATAGAGTTCTCTTTATGTACTGCACATTACCTGTGTTTTTCTTCTAATCGTTTGTCAAATTTACTGATTTTCCATGGTGAAGATACTATTGGTATAACCCTTTTGTTATGTTATGTTTTCTCCTCCAAACAAATGGAGAAAAGATGCTTGACAGTGTCTTTACTTCTGGTTCTGCTGTGCCTTGGTGCTTTCTGACTCTGGCTTGTTCCTGGATTTGCCCCTGTCTCTCCCCCTGGTGCGCCATCACACTTCCATCACACCAGATGCTTGCCGGTGCACCAGCTGTAACCTCCTGCTGCCTGCATCCTAGACCTGACCTTTTCTGAGAAGGAAGCCCTACGGTGTCAAATGGGAGTCACTGCCAGGTATAGGACTGCAGAATTTGAAAGGGATGGGGCGGGGGGAGGTCTGGGAAGGGGAGGAGGGGGAGCTTTGCCTTGCCCAGTCACTGACTGATGAGCACTTGGGAGACACAAGCTGCCCAGTCCAAGGGCTTGTGCCACTCTTCCCCACATGTGGTGCTTATGCCTGTGTTAAGAGTGCCTGAACAGGCAAAGAAGCATCCTAATGGGCATACACAGGGTGGGAACGCCTGCTCCGCGTGGTGTGTGTAGGGTGCAAGGATTGTGTCCATGCTGTGAGGCATATCCTTGCATCTTTCCCACCACACAGAAAGTAGGAGAAGAGCTCTTGTGTTGTGTTTCCGCTTTCAGGAAGGTGATGTGAGGTTTTGATCCTGCTTTTCCCCACAACTGTGCATTCCATCCTCACCTGTCTTTTTCTGAGGGTTAAACTACACATAACTAGGCTTTCTTTCCTCTTTTTTAACTTAAAAGTAAGCGCATGAGCCCTCACACAGATCATGGCTCTGGCGTAGTAGGTAGGGGACTTTAAGCTTTTGCCCTATGCTCGCAACTGTCATTACAACGAGATGCCTTTTTGTAAATGTCAGTTAGGGGCAGAAACAGACTGGGGGATAAAAGTTGGATGGGAATTGGAGTCCCTGCCTTCATGCCAGGGTTCCAGTTTCAGCACATTTGCACATGACAGTAAGCCACCCCACCTTTTAGTTCCCACCAGGATGCATCTTTTGCACTTCTTACAAAACTTTGTGGGACTGTAGGTGGTGCAGTGGTTTAAACTGCTGAGCTGCTGGGCTGGTTGATCGAAAGGTCGCCAGTTCGAATCCACAGACGGAGTGAGCTCCCGTACTCTGTCCCAGCTCCTGCCAACCTTGCAGTTCGAAAGCATGCAAATACAAGTAGATGAAAAGGTGCCACTTTGGTGGGAAGGTAACAGCATTCCGTGCACCTCGGCGTTTAGTCATGTTGGCCATATGACCATGGAAACTGTCTGCGGAGAAATGCTGGCTCCCTTGGCTAGGAAACGGAGATGAGCACCGCCCCCTAGAGTCAGGCATGACTGGACTTTAATGTCATGGGAACCTTCACCTTTTACCAGACTTTTAGGTTCTAAGGAAAGTGTACATTTGCACTTGCCTTTTCTTCCAAGGGAATGGGAGTTTTGACACCAAGCTATAATCTCCTTTAAAAGGGGGATTTCCACCTTATGCATCATTTTACAAAGCTCAGCCATGTTCCCCTTACTTATTTCCTAAACAAAACAGCCCAAACATGGTAGTCTTTTGGCACAAGGGAAGTGATTCAGCCCCTTGATCGTTTCTTTGCTCCTTTCCCTGTCTTTTCCAGTTCCACTATATCCTCGCACAAAACTGTGACCAGCGCTGTCCCCTGCTCTCCATGTGTGGCTGGCTGTACCACAGCTTTGTATAAATACAGGCTTACCTCATTAATTAAAAACTGAAGCTGCAGAACTGCAGCACCACTTTCATGTTCACAGTAGCAATCAACTCCTGGCCTGCCCAATCTATTAAATATCAAAGTCAAGGATCAATTTGTCCAGGTCGACAGCTGACATAAAAAAACAACAGCAAATCCAACATAGTTCACCACTGGTTTCAATTATTAGGAAGCACAAGACAGAGCAGGCCCTAGAAAGGATGATGTCACAACCTAGTACTAGCCCCCTGCTCTTCCCCAGTAGCACATTGGACCCCTTCCGACCTGAGGGGATCATCTTCTGGCGTCATATCTCTTTGCCTTTTGGTACTGACCATGGGATTTTCATGGCAAGGATACTGGAGTGGGTTCCCATTTCCTTCTCCAGTGGATCACATTTTGCCAGAGCTCTCTGCTATGACCTGTCCGTCTTGGGTGGCCCTGCATGGCATAGCTCATAGCTTCATTGTGCTACACAAGCCCCTTCGCCACGGCAGGGCAGTGATCCATGAAGGGGGGCAGAGGGTTAGGGGCATCCAAATTGAAATGCAAGCTAAGATACATACAAGGAGGCTCTCCTAGGCTAGTTTATGGGCAGCCACGTAACCTTTAGCAAGTATTAACCAGAGGCAAAACCTCATCACTGGAATTTTCACTAGACCTAATAAACCTAAGACCCAACTGTGCTCAGTAATAAACACCAGTGATAAATCAAAGTGGTCCCAGTGCGGCTATCCACTGCATCCATGGCAAATATACCTGCACATCATTGAATACTGTGCACTTAACCTCCTACATTAAGTGCCTAAAAGCCATTTATTTTGTCAAACAGCATTATCTTTAAGGTGGAGAATAAATGGCACAAGTCAGACATCAAGAATAAGAACATGGATAAACATATCAGTGAACAATTTAACCTCCCTGGATGTAACATCAAGGCCCTCAGGGTGGCACTTCTAAAGAAAATGGAATCAGAGGTTTTGCTGGAAAGTGAGATTGCACAGCAAGATATGATAAAAAAATTGATTATGTTAATTAGGGACTCAACAGGGACTATAATCTCTATGTATAGTATAAAGACTCTTGCAGTACCATCTGGTTGTTCGAAGAGAACAGAATGCTTGTGCTAGTTTATTAGCTTATCTGAATAAGTAAAACAGTCTATCTTTGTACTACACTGAACCCCTCAATTTGCCACTTGAAGGCTAACGCAGTTATAATAGGATGTATATAGTTGGATTAACTATCAACATCCTCTTGTTTCAGTTATCTGCATTCTGTTGAGATCTCTATACTTCCAGAAGAACATTTAACTTTCCCTGAAAGCCTGATAATAGAAAGAGAAATTAATTATTTGATATATAAAAAGGGGAAGGTCCCAGAAGTAGATGACCCACCACAGGAGTTTTTTAAACAGTTCAAGAATTTATTTTTCCACACCTAACTACATAGTTTAAATCCATTTGAGAGAAGGTTCACTTCAAGAATCATGAAGAAAGGCTAGGATAACAGTACCAACAAAACTGAATAAGCATAGAAGACAGGTAGCATTTTATAGACTAATAACATTGCTAAACCTAGATGCCAAATTGTTTATCTGTTTTAGAAAGCTTGTTGGGATCACATGTTCAAAAAACCAAACAGGCTTCATTCCCAGTAGAGAAATCTTAGGCAATATTAAAAATGCTTGAATACCGTGTTTTGTTTTTGTTTTGTTTGTATATGCCCAAAAGCGTTTGACTATTTGAAATGGCCCTTTATAAAATCAGTGCTACCTAGAATTGATATCAGACAGATTTTCTATATTCATTTAAACAGCTTTACAAAGAGTGAAGAGCTGTAATCTGAACTAATGGATTGGATTCATTACCTATTACACTGCAGAAAGGAACAAAGTGGCATTGTTCTCTGCTACCCCTCTTTTTGCCCTGTTGATAATGCTTCTGGCAATTCCAGTTAAAAATTATAGCATAATTATTGACATCACTTCAATAATGAAGAGCACAGAATAAATATTTTGCAGATGATGTAGCAATTGTCACTACCTATCTAGAATTACTTCTCTTCAGGAAATTCAAAGAGGAGTTAACAGCTACAGTAAGATTTCAGGCTTTAAAGTTAGATATAAATAATCAGCCTAAGGTTTCAGACAAACACAAAATCTCAATTCTCATGAGTAACTAGGGCATGGGTCCTCAAAATACAGCCCGCGGGCTGGATCCAGGCCCGCCATGCTCATTTATCCAGTCCGCCTCAGAGGTTTTGGACTCACTCAGAGAAAATGATCTCTGAGCGAGTCCAAAAGCTCTGAGCCAGCGCAGGCGTTCTTTAAAACTGAGCAGAGAGAGAGAGAGCCGGCACATGCATCAAATTGCAACAGCTCAACTGCACGTGCACTGGCTCTCCCCCCCTCCCGCCCCAACTGCACGGATATACAGAGTGGGAATACGGAGTGGGAAACTGAAAAGAGGCAGGCAGAAGAGAAAGAAAGACGAAGACAAAGACGAAGAAAGGACTGAAGGTAACAAAAATATAACTTTTTAAATCTATTTTTAATTACGTGAGCCTGGGGGTGGTCAGGCTGCGTGGCCTTCTCCAAGTGATCAAGCCGCTGCCTCACTGAGCCTGGGCCCACTGCTACCACCGTCGCCACCACCTCGCTGACCCCGGGCCTGCTGCCACCGCTTCACCGAGCCCAGGCCTGCCGCCACCACCCCCTCACCCCGCCCAGGCCAGCCGCCGCTCTACCGCACCCGCCACCCCGCCATGCCCGTGCCTTTTAAGTTCCAAATCTTTAGCTATACATATTGCTGACTAAATTATTTTGTGGGTTGTCTGCATATGGTAGGCATGTCATGAATGGATCCAGCTGGAACCAGGGGTCAGACTAGATGGTCCTGGAGAGCTCTTCTGACTTGCTCTGTTTCTATGTTTCTAAGTAGGTTGGAAAGAAGATTTTTGTATGCCAACAACAATTCTCTTTGGGACAAGTTTCATTGCTAGTTCCATTAAGGTAATAAGTGCAAGAGCAAGGGAACTGACTTTCAATGTACTTTCTTGGTGGCACTTAACTCTTATCAGGGCACAGAAGATCTCCAAACCAGATAAATGTTTCCAAGGGTATCAACGGACTGGTACACTTATACTGATGAAGGCATTTTGGGACAATGTTTTCACTGTAGCCAAGCAAAACATCATTAAGACTCCAGTACTGGAAATTCTGGGTATCTTTCAAAAAGATACACTGCATAAAGATTTTATTTTACACTGTTCAGCAGCAATAGGAGCAATGATTACCAGCTGGTGGAAAACTTTGGAAGACTTTTCTCTGAAGACTTAGTTTCAGAGGCTTTGGGATCATTTATTAATGGACGAATTTAACCATCACATAGAAGCTGTTAAATGACATACAAACCTGGAACAGTGAATGGAACTTGTTACCCATTTTTGTGGTACATTGACCATAGATACCAGATCCAATCTTCCAAACTTTTTGCTAACCTACTAAGAAAAAATAAACTCAGTTTGAAGATTTTGCAACTGTATGCATCCTAACTGAATTGAATTGTTTGTTTGTTTTAACATTCCAAGCTATGTTTACCCCATATTCATAGTATTGAAAATATTGCAAAATAAACTCTTAAAATATAGATGCATTCATCATACTAGTTTGCACCATAGCAAAGGATACATTCGAATGGCACCCGTTCTTGTCCCAATAGCCAAAATCTTCTGAACTGGGTCAAAAGCTAAGGTGGTGGGCAGATATGGAAATCCATGCCGAACAGTCTGCAACAGAAAGAATCACACTGATAGAAGGAGAGTGGTTGTAGTATTTCAGGTCATAATGAACTAGGTAAAGTATTTAATGTGCTGTCAGCTGATTAAAAACTGCTAAACCAATTAACAGTCTAGCATTTAACTTAATCAGATGAATTCTCATTTGTTTCTGTATTTCAAAACCTCAATTCTCATGAAGGACAGAGACATCAAAACTTCAGCAAAACAAAAGGTATGTCAAAGAGTTTGAAAAACACAGGTAAGAACAGGATATCTACTAAGAGCAGTGGAGTTGAGTAGGTAGCCTCACTGGTGCATTTTGTTTAACTTCTGATCCAGCTAGAGTTGATCACAATTACATCCCACTGAAATCAGTAGAACAAAAACTAGCCACACCTGAAGAGGGATTGCTTTTTGTGGCTTAACGACTCATCATAGCCGGATTGAGACGCCAATGCTTAATCATGTCGACTTGGACTGGGGAGATGTGGAATGTTCTGCCATAAAATCTTTGGAGAGGGACCGATAGCTAAGGAGCAGAAACCTCAGTTCACCCCTTCTCTTTGAAAAGGATTTCAAGTACCTGGATTGCCAGTTGGAGGAGATAATGCTGAATTACATGGTCTGGCTCAGTGTACGGTAGCTTGATCATCTTGGGGAAATCACAGTCGCAAAGCCAGAGCGAGAACACTATTCACACATTTATTCTAAGCACTTATACTTTGCTTTGCAATCATAAAACCTTCCAAAGCAGTTTTCAAAATCTGAAATGATACCCTGTATTTAGCCAGCATAAGCAGCAGTGAAGGATGATCAGAGCTTCAGTCCAGCATCTGGATGCTCAGACTTTGCTTGAAGCCATTACTGGACGTATGCGAGACTATCTTTCCTCAGTCTCTCTCTCCCTGCACTATTGACTCCAGCTGTCATGTTGTTGGAATGAAGGATGCAGTTCTGTTAAGATGTTTACCTGCCTAGAACAGACATTGTCTGTTGCTGGTTCAGTGCCAGTTTGGTGTTGGTCTGGGCATCAGGTTTTCTTATTAGGGTTACTGTGGGTTAATTATTGCTTTTTTTTTCTTTGAAATTGTTTCATTATTTATTTTGATATTTGATAGTGTTGCATTTTTCACTTTGATTCATTGTATTGTTTATTTTGGATTTTAGTATACAGTTTTATTGTGTATTTAGAAATTGAATTGTATACTGCCCAGAGAGCCTAAAGAGCTATGAGGCAGAGCAGAAATGTAAACTGAAATGAAATGAAAATCAGCCTCAGAGGGCTTTTTCCAGGACCCCTTCTGACTGAGCAGAGGCGGACAGCTATAGAGGAGACGGCCTTTTCTGTTGTGGCATCCCAGGTGTGAAGCCGCTTCCCTGAAAGTTTTGCCTGGCATTTACACTGTGCTCTTTTCAGTGCCAGGTGAAGACTTTTTAATTCTCCCAGGATTTTTAACCTTTCAGTTAAAAGGTGCTGGTAAGATTTTAGATCTTTGTACCGCTGCTGGCTTTTCTCTTGGCCACAGTTTGGCTTTTCTAACTTACATTTTTCTATTATGTTATTGTATTTTATGATTTTAAGTTTTTATCTTGTAAACTGCCCAGAGAACTTCAGCTAACAGGCTAATAAACATGCAATAGATAAATAACTGTACAACCACAGTACATCGCAACAAAACAACATTTGGAAAGCGAGATAAACCTTTAGAGAAATTGCTATAAATAAATGAGGAATAAAATGCATATTGTTCCGGGCAGAAAAGTTGAATTTGAAGAAGTCCATTCCCGTATCAACTCTCACCATAGTTAATCCAGTCTGCTCTCCTGGCTCCCCCTTCCCCTGTCCCGATGTAGACATGGACTGGGTTGTTGAGGGCATGTGATTCTGAATCAATTCCCACAAGCTGGCTTGTTTGAGGGTTTATTTTTATTTATTTGGGATCTTTCTAGGCCATCCAATCACTCTGCGTCTCTGGACGGCTCACAACAAAATCAATAAATACAACAGTATAAATATAAATAGCATAAATACCTGTAGAGGAAAATTTCCGGAAGACTATTGTATACCGAGGGGATAGGTGGTGTAATACAATTTCCTTCTATTTCTGTCTTACCTGTGAAGACTCAATTGAGGCCCTCTGGCATGCAAGGGAAGCCTCTTGCTAATTAGGATGGTACAGCATTAGAATGCTGGAAAGTAAACAGTGGAGCTTATCACCCTGAGAGCCGGGAACAGCAGATGTGGCTAGTTAACTGCTTTGACTCTTACATTTAGAGTAGAGAGAGAGAAGCCTCGCACCCCCGCCTGAGTGAGTTCCAGTGTGAGATCTAGCCAAGCAAGGATGGTGACACATGCAGGCCAAGAATTAGGGGCTTTTTCCTTGTCATTTGCGAGGGGGGCACTTCCAACAGCTGATAGAGGGAAGTCAGCTTACTTGGTATTGTATTTCCTTTTTCATGTTATTATATCTGTTTACATTGTAGTGCCTGCTTTAGAATAAAATCTTTAGAGTTTAATCCACCTGTGTGCACATTGCTTCTGGATCCAAAATGAACCTTTTGCCCTTGGCAAAACAATACCCCAAACTAAATAACCCACGACTGAGATAAAAATAAATTAAAATATTGGGTTGCTGAACTCATGATGCATCATTCTGTTATCTAAACTCTGGTAACCAGCCCTGCCAAGGACTGGGTACCATGTCCCCAAAAAATAACTTTTAAAAGATTTGCCAGCCATTGATAGCCCCTCCAAGCTGCCACTTGAAGGGGCACTCTGAAGGGGCTGTCAGTGGCTATCAAAACAGAGGATGAAAGCTGGCTGTCAAGCTTTTTTGCAGTTGTCCAGGGAAAGGAAGAATAAAGGGCAAACACTGCAGTGAGCTGGCATAGGCTCACATTCATGGTGGGTAGGGGAAGACTAGCAAGTCCTGCCATGATGCCTTATGGAAACTGTGGGGCAATGGAGGTGGCGGTATGGGGTGAACAACCCCAGTAAGTCTGATAGCCTGTCAGATGCCTTGTGGATTGTTCACAGAAAAATCAACCCACTGCAGTGTGCTTTAACTTGGCTTTTTACTTATTAGTAGTGTATAGAAGCAAGTCAAAGAGAAGTCAGAAATTTTAGCAAACTCAAGCTTAGCTTTGAAATCTAAATAGAGGGCAGAATGGTGCCAAGAAAGAGTTATACAGCATTATCCAACCAAATAATGATAGGGTCCAGTTTTCTCTCTTGTTTGCTATATTTGTGGGGCCAGCTTTGCAATTACTATTTTCATGTATTCACCAAACTAATTTTCTTTAATTGTCTCTGTTGATTGAGAGATTGTTATCATCCAAAATGCAAACCATAAAACATGGCTGGATGACAATTTAGAGGGGTAACAAAGATTACCAGATTTAGTGTGTGTGTTAAACTTGTTTTACACAAACTGGTTAACTTCTTGCTTGCTATCAGGTCATCAGTGCCCGATGTCACAATTTGTACTTGTTTAAAATTTACCCTGTGTGCATCCATGAGTTCCTTGGTCTTTCAGGCCCAAGATCAGGATGGGCAAATGGAATCCCTGACACCAGCAAAAGGCCATATGGTACTTTAAATATGTGCTGATTAAATGCAGACTTAACATGGCACTTTGGCAAGGGGGGGGGTGAGAATGTAGTGTAGACCACAATAATCCATACCTTTAGGCTGCAAACTTACACAATATTACAGAATAACCCCCATTAAACATAGTGGACTCTCCCCAAGTTGTTCTCCTCCTCCTGTCACCAACAGCCAGAACACTGGACAGAGACCTGAAGACTGGAGGGCATTGCTTTTCTGCTCCTGGTCCCTGGACCAAGTGAGGAGGCAGAGAGTGCTGCCATGAAAAGTGGCTTCATAGTTTATTTCTGATACTTTGCTTTGGTTGTTCAGGGATTTTAGAAGAATTGTTGCCGCCACCGCCATCATCATCATCATCATCATCAGCCACAGTTCTGGGGATTTAATTTTTTGAAAATCCTAATTCTATACCAAATGTTGCAGTATCAAGTTTTTCACAACCTCGTCCTTATTCAACTAGTAAAATACCAAAATGTACAGCTGTATACCTGCATTAAAAAGTCATAATAAATGGATTATTCAATTATTTCTCATAGACCAACACAGCTTCAGGTGGTTTTGGTTGTTGTTTTTAATTCCCAAGTTATCATTCCCCTGGTTTCTCTCTAGATCCAGATATTTGTAACTATCTTCAGGGTGAACAAGGCAGGTTACAGCTCTGAGTGTATTTACTAAGAGTAAGATTCCAGTCCTACTCCTGTCTGTGAATAAATGCCATTAAATCCAGTATGACTTACTTCTGAGTAAACCTGTTTAGCATCATGGGCGGTTTGATGTAATCCTGAATGCGTTTCCCCATCCACAGATCTCTCCATGCCCTCAGCTGTTTCCTTAGCACACATAATTTCCAAATCATCTCAGTTACTTTTTACCAAACCACAGGTCTCTGTAGGGCTTGCCCCAAAACATTTTGCTGCCTGAGGCAGTGGTGCCCACCACTCCCATCAAAGTGCACAGCAGTACTCAGAGGAAGTCAAGTTGTTTTGACCTAATAGGCAGGAAATCAATGGGTATCTATCACCTTCCCTGGCAGTAAAAATGATGCCACTTTGGACTTAATGAAAGGCTATGGAAGGAAAGGGGGCAGTCTCCCCTCTAGTTTAAAAACTGCGTGCCTTTGTGTTACACTGCCTATCAGTTGGCTTAGGGAATGAGTCCTAAGGTGTCCATGCACCTGTGGGGCTACTGGGTTCAGAGGAGAGAAGCTGACTTATACTAAGGCAGTTTATCACCTAAAGATCCAGGGCCTGGGCCCAGTTTGCCATAAGCCATGCTTCAATCTAGTTTAGAGGAGCCCAGCTTGGTTGGGCAAGCAACAGCTGCTAGAAGACTCCTGAGGTGTGCCGTGACTGGCCCCAGGCGGCAACAATACGCAAAGGCTGCAGTGGCTGTGTGAGGAAAGCGGAGGCATAGCAGAGGCAGTCAGAAGGATGCGTGGTGTGCAGAAGGTGGAAAGGGAGACATTTTCTCCCTTTCCCTTGACACTCAAACCCTGGTCACCCTGTGAAACTGATTGGTGGGAGGTTTAGGACAGATAAAAGGAAGTGTTTCTTCATATACCAAATAGTTAAAGAATGAAATTCACTGCCACAGGAAGTGGCGATGGCCACTAGTCTGGATGGCTTTAGAAAGGGACTGGACAGACTCGCGAGGGAGGAGACTGTTAGTGGCTACTGGCTTTGCTGGCTGTGTGCCTCCTCCTCTCCCAGAGGTTACATGCCTGCAGGCACCCATTGGTGGGGAGCTGGGGCAGGAGAAGGCCTCGCACCCACCCTTCTTGAAGGATCCTGTGAGCAGCTGGTTTGCCACTGTGTGTATGCAGTGCTGGACTAAGATGGAAATTGGTTTGGCCCAGCATGGCTTTTCTTATGATGTCCTGTTTCTCTGCGTGCACGCTCCACTGCTGCCTTCTATCAGCCATGTAAGAAGGATGGTACTTATCACTACAGTTGCGAAGGGGTCAGCGTGGGATACTGGTTAAAATGCTAAGCTGAGACTCAGACAATCTGGGGTCTAGTCCCCACTCAGCCATGAAACTCACTGGGTGACTTTGGACCAGTCATCAGCTCTCAGCCTAACCTACTTCACAGGGCTGTTGTGAGGAGAAAGAGGACAATGCAGGCTACCTTGGGTCTCTTGGAGGAGGGGGAAAGGTAAGATATAAATGTAACAAAAAGCAAGGACATGCAAGTTCAGTTTTCTGGCCCTTACTCCCATTCCTCAGACCAGTTCTAGAGAGTGAGGTTTTTCTGGTTCACTAATTGTATCCACTTTTTCAGGCTGATGCTAATATGTTAATATTATAGGGCCAGGAATCGCTTGCTTCATAGAAATTGTTTTGCACCTCTGTGAAAATATACTATCATTCCCTTTCAACTAGAGTTCTCTTTCTCTCTGTGTATTTGAAACTATATTAGAGGGATGTAGAAATAGTGACTCAGCTTTCTCCCCAAATAAATAATTAAGGGAAAAGGGTACCTTAACATTTTGCATAGCTGAAACAGATGGTTTTCTTTTGTAAAGTCTTGTCCCGCTTATGATAATCAGTCAAATCTCAGTCTTTCAGTGACGTATTTATGCTATGCAGCTATATCACAATATCTACAAGTTTGACTGAAACACCATGAAGTAGGGGGTTCAAGCACGAGGTCAGGTAATGTCTCAGCAGCTTGCACTGCTGTACACATTGATGGTAGCAGCAAAACAATTAGTGGTTTGCTGTTGACATTTAGCAGCAAACTAATGATAGGTGGGTTTCCTCTGTCAGTGTTGCCACAGCAACCGATGAATGAGGGGCAGTGTGGGCCGATTTTCATGTTGGATTAGACTGTTATGGTGGGAGGCAGGGAGGCCAGGGAAAAGCCCAGAGCTGTTTTCCTAAAGCTGGGATAGAATCATAGAAGAGTAGAGTTGGAAGGGGCCAGAAGGACTTCAGGTCTAACCCCTTGCTCAGTGCTGGGACTCGAAGTTAAACCATGCCTCGCAGTTGCATCTTGAATGCTTTTAGTGTGGGGGAGTCTCCCTAGGTAATTGGTTCCATTGTCGTACTGAATCTGATACCTCCAACTCCCATCATCCTCAGCCAGCATGGGCAATGGTCAACAATACTGAGACATGTCATGCAAAATATTTGGAGGGCATCAGGTTGTGGAAAGCTGGTTTACACATATGAGTTGGCTCAATGGGACAAATTAGTCACGACTGATTTCGAGCAAAGTGCAGCTCCCTTAGAAAGCAAACCTACGCCCCAACTGTTGATGCTAGGAGGGAGCTGGGATGTAGCAAAGGTGGCCCTCTGCTGGCCTCTGCCTTCAGTGAGAAGCTCTGCTGGGGGGTCAGTTAGAGACCCTGACTGCATTTGAGTGTTGGGAAAAGCTACCACTAGCAGAATTCACAAAACTGGGGGTTCAAGGGGTGAGATGGAGCCTTCCCTGTAGACCCAAGCAGAAGAGGGCTGATTTGTGTTTCTTGTCTATGGCAGAATTGAACCAGCACTGGAAAATGCCCTCCCATTGAGGTCAATAAGAAACCTTAAAACCAATTTCTACAGAGGGGGAGATAATGCTCCATCCCTCACTACAAGACAGCAGCACTGCAGAAGAGGCCATAGATCTACTTCATCACCCCCATTTGGGCCACTTAGAATGGTTCAGTCCATGTAATTTACAACAAATTAGTTTACAACAAAACAAAACAAAATTTCTACCTTTTTTCCATGAGACTTTAACTTCTATTGCAAAGTGGAAATACAGCAGTCCACACTAGTCCACTTTCACCAGTTCTGTGACTTAGCAAGCAATGCTGAAAAATTATTGGTTTGGGTAAAATTCTGTCACTTTTGGAAAAACCAAATGGACCTATTTTTACGGAGGGCAATCAAGACTGCTGTTAGAACAGCAACTTATCCAAAAGGTCCAAACTGCTACTAACCACTGTGTATTTAAAACTTAATAGGAAGACCTCCAAAACATAGGAAGAAAGAGAGAATTTTGGATATTGAATCTGAAATTATGATGAACTCAGTACTTGATATTTAACTATTTCAAATTCTCATATTTATGCCGAACAGCTACATGTTTAAACTGTGTACCTATACACATACTTTTCATGCTGTATTACCACAGGAACACACAATTCTGTTTCATGCACTTAACATTCCAAAGTAAAAGCTAGCTATAAAATGAATACTTTCAATAATTATATTATTGTCTCCCATTTTACTCTAAGATTCAAGAGCAAAAGTACTTTTAATCATATTTTATTTTAGTATATTTTATGTTAAATACACTAAAAGTGAGACTAGGTTAATAGAGCAGAAAACAGAATAATGTTTCTTCCTCTGTCAATATATACATCCCTGAATGTTTAACAAAAGAAGCTTAAATCTGCTTTCAGTTTTCAGGTAAAATACCCACAGAAATCAGATTTTATGACAATGATTTAGAAAATGAGCTGAAATATTTTCATCATTAAAGTTGCCAATGTAAAAATGTAGCTTATTACTATCCAATTACTCATGAGTGCTGAGTTTCTAGGATTCTCTTAGTTATATAAACATTGAAGAAGCTATTACAAAAGAAAAAACTGGATAGACTATCACAATGCAGCTTATACCCAATAGTCCAGTAATATTCTTATTAAATGATCAAGCTTAGACATAAGAAAATTGGAGTATGGAGTCTTCTAGCTGATATCAGCTTTTAGCTAGGCCACAGTTGAATAATATTTCATCCAGAATGTTCAGAGAATGCAGCTGGTTTTTAAAGAATAAAAAAGAATGGATAAATAATGAATAAACCAATAGTTGTAACATTTTTGAGGCACATTAGTTTAAAATAACTTCTGATTATAACCTTACACCTCACTTACACAAATATGAACTTATCTGTTATCTGAGGCAGAGTCATATACTTGATGCTGAAATCCTGCTCTTTACCATTTCATTGTTTAATAACAGCACATGGAAGAATAAAAATAATTTAGATCCAACCTGGAACATAACAGTTGTCATCAACTGGAAGATATTTGGCATTCCATAATAATCATTTAGGCCTCTTGATTTGCTATCTATTGTTCATTAATTCTAGCAATTCCATTTGTTTTTTAAAGAAAGACCTCTACTCTTACCTTGCATATCTGAAAATAATCTGAAGTGAGAGTCTCCTGGATTTCCTCTCTTAGAGACTCTGCAGTCCCTCCGGAGTGCACAGAAGCACTGCCAGGCCCAGCAGCACTGCTGTTTCCACTAGGTGCTGAAGTTAAGCCATCCAAAACTTTGTGAAAATTAAATTTCTTCATTTTCAAGAAAAGTCTTCAGAAGGACTTTGCAGGAGAGGAAAGCAGTTTGCCTTTGATAGGCTCACATTTAGCAGCAGAAGCAGATGAAAAGAAAGAAACTCAGATTTTCCAATGATGCAGCAATATTGTTTTTTTGCATAAACTGTAATGAAGGATATAAAGACTTCATTTTATTAAACAGGGGAAAAAGATGAAGGCATCTTAAAATGGAGGGGGAGAGGAGAATTCCATAGTCAGCAAACTCAATGCCACCAATTCAAAAAGTGATTAATTGTAGCTTGTCCTCAAAGAATCCACATTTTATTACAAAAATGCTAGTAATCAAAATGGAAGCCTTGGTATCATATTGGCTTTCAACATCTCTTGTTAAAAATATTTCTATACTGAAGTAATCTATGTAACAAAACTTTAAGCACTTCCAATAGGACGTTTATTTTAGCCCATGCAATTCTTCCAAGAAACCCATCTTTTCCTTCTCCTGTTTGTTAAAGGCTCCACTTCGAAGTTCTACTCTTGCCACGTTAGCGTGTCGGTCGTCTGCAGCAATTGCAGATCTTCCCGGCTATTCCCTGCGAACCTTGGTATTTCAAATCTTCAGGACGAATAGCCCACTGTCCTCAGAAGAGTGCTTCTCGTACATCAAGCAGAACCCCACAGTCATGGCTTAGGGGCATTCTCTCCAGCAGTCGGGGTGATCTTGCTCAGCTTCTCGGCTCCACCGCCTCTCGCAGTCCTGGCCTCCCACTCGGAACCGCAACGTGCTAAAGCGGCTGTCCTGCTCCAGCAGAAAAGCACAGCTTGGCAATCCTGACGTAGCCACCCATAGTCTTCTGATGAAAGTAAAGCCCGAAACTCCCTAATCACTCCCTTGGAGAAAGTGCTGTGGACCCCAAAGCAAAAGACGAAGCGATCCTCTCGTTAGCAAGCAACTTGTTAGAGCAAGGCTAGGACCCGGCCGATTGGGCATCAGTCCCCTAGAGGCAAATGGGCCTGAAAGAAAGCACGGGATCCAGCTAGGTCTTTGCCCCGGACGGCGGTGCGGGTGACCTAAAGCCGAATCAAGTGAAGTGTTCCAGAAGAACAGCTACGGAACACGCCACGGGCCGACCTATCCGGGCGACGCGAGGAGGGGAGCGGCGTAGTAGCGCCTCGGGAGCTCTGCTGCCCAAACCGCCGGGGAGGCTGGGGGACTGCTGCAAGGCTGGCGCCAGGGCAGCTGCAATGGCAGCCAGCGCTGAGGTCTCCTGTCCCTCTGCGAGCGGCGTTGGGGTACGACGCAGTCCGCGCCCCGCCCTGTGTGGTCACGCTGCTGCTGCTGCTGCAGTTCCCCGCCGGCTCCCTCCAGCCGCTCTCCAAGGTGCTGGATCCCCGGCGGCGGCGGCGGCGGCGGGCGGCGGCTCCTCCCTCACACTGGGCCGCGGCGCGCGCGCCCGGAGGAGGGAGGATGAACTGGCGCCTGGGCGGGAGCGGAGAGCAAATGACGGCACTCGCACTGCCAGCTTAGGTAGCAGGGCGGAGAGGCAAGGTAGCCGGAGAGCGAGGCGAGCTCAACGTCCCCAACGCAGGGATGCTTAGATAGGCCGAAGGACGCCGGATTGGAGGAGGCCGCGTACGTTTCTCGGAGCGCCCGTTCTGGGCCTTTTTGGGAGGGCTCCGGCGAGAGAGCCGCTGTAGCCCCACTTGGCGCTTGGTCGTTTGCAGCGCTCCAGAAAATGGCTGAAAGCGGAAGCGGCGGCAATGGTGGCCCTGAACGAGCGCTAGCTGGAGCGTAAGCGCGCTGTACCGCGTGGGCCCGCAGGCAGTAACAGCTACCCGATCGTTGACACCTCTAGCCATGGATTCAAAGGGGATCCGAGGCGGCGCTCCTGCCTTCGACGCAGGGGCAGCTCTAGAGAAAAATACTGAACCTGAGAGCCAAATTAGAAGGGAAGACGAAGACCGGGGGTGGGAGAGATCGCCCTGGCTCTTCATTCTGTCTTCCAGGGCGTTTGCTATTCCACCCACTTTTGTATCACCTGCAGATTTGATTATCTTTCCTCCAACTTCCTCATCTAAATCATTAATAAAAATGTTGAAGAGCACTGGGCCCAGGACTGAACCCTGCAGCACCCCACTAGTTACCTCCCTCCAGTTTGAGAAGGTGCCATTGATGAGCACTCTTTGTGTCCAATTTAGCAGCCAGTTTTGGATCCACCTAATAGTTTTTCTGTCTAGTCCCGATGTTTTTGATGTTCCTCCTGCGAGCTTCACATTCTGAAGTTATTTTGTCAAAGCTTCTCCTGGCAGTGTTGTTAGTTCCCACATGGATAAAAATTAAGGGGTATTTGTCAGTGGGTTGTAGCGGATGTGTGAACTTATCGATTACATCTTTAATCTTGGCTCCAGAGAGATGGCATGCTTGGCCGTTTTCTGGGTCATTGTGATGTACCTATTTTTCCATCTTGCTCAACTGGGAATCTCCCACAATGATCACTCTTCTTTTGTTGTTGCAAACTTTGGTATCTTTTTCCTTTCTTGGTTGGCCTTTTGCCTATTTTTCAGAATTACTCAGTGTGTTGTGTAGTTCTTTCACACTGGGTTTCTCATTCGTCTCATCCTCAAGTAACTTAAAGTGGTTCGAGAGCTCCATTGCTTCCACTGATGCAAAGTGTCTTCTCATTTTTCTGCATCTACCATTCTACTTCAGGGAGTTTCCTCATTTCCGCTTCCCTCAGGGTTCGCTTCTTCTGCCTAAGCATTTGTTTATTAATTTATATGCCGTCCTTTACAACAACGTCTCAGGATGACTTACAACATTAAAATCGAATAACAATCAAAACAGTCCATAAACAATAACAATAAATAGGAATGATAGATAATTAGTAAAAATACAGAGAGGTAAGATTAGATAAAAGAAGTGACTGTTACCTTTTAAAATCAACGGTTCTTAAAATAGCATTCGAATAAAAAGGTTTTTACCTGGTGCCGAAAAGAATATAAACTCGCCGTTACAATAATCCAACCAGGAAGTTACTAGAGCATGTATCACCGTTGTTAGGCAGTGCATGTCCAGGTAAGGACGCAGCTGATGGACCAGTCGAAGCTGGAGGAAGGTGCTCCTTGCCGCCACCACCCCTTGGATCTCCAGCAACAGCTCCAGGTCAAGGAGCACTCTCAAGCTGCGGACCCTGTCCTTTAGAGGGAGTGCTACCCCATCCAAGACAGGGTCAAGATCACTTACCTGAAAACCCAAACCGCCCACCAACAGTACTTCCATCTTATCTGGATTGAAGCTCAGTTTGTTGGCCCTCATCCAGCCCATTACCTTAGCCAGGCACTGGTTCAGTACAACCACTGCCTCACCTGGAGAAGATGTAAACGAGAGGTAGAGTTGAGTATCATCGGCATACTGATGGTTCCACAGCCCAAACCTCCTGATGACCTCTCGCAGCGGTTTCATGTAGACGTTAAAGAACATGTGGGACAAAATCTGTTGTTTTACTCCTTGCTTAACTGTTGCAGCTCCACTGCTCTATCTAAAACCTCTTTGTTTTCTTTTTTATCTTGAGGGTAGACACTTGCTGCTCCAGTGCTCTCACCTTTTCTTCTAACAGGGCTACTAGCTTGCACTTGTTGCATGTGGAGGCCATGTTGACTTTAGGCAGGAAAACATACATTGCACAGTGATTGCAGGTCACCACCACCACGGAGTCTTGTCTGCCCATTCTTTGTGCTACTTTTGTGAATCTGCCTTGGGGGACTGTTGTGACAACTGGTGCTTTCGCCTGTCTTTGCAAAAGGTCAACAACTCAGTCCCACTAATGCATAGGAGTGTGTTACAAGGAGGAAAACAAGTGTGTGGAGGAACTAAGGGGAGAGGAGAGGAGAGGAGAATATTAGGGACCTTTCCTTTGACCTCCCCACTGAGCTCTGCCAAACTCCTATTTGCTCTCCTGGTTGCTTGCTCTGGTCGCTCACTCTCTTGGGAGCTTGGCTGCTTGTATCCCAGAAGCCCTAGACCAGCTGGGGCAGCTTCCTGTGATCTGCTCTGTTCCACTAGGAGTCAGATTTGAGTCCAAACTGAAAAACAAGAGGAAACTATAAGTGTGCTTCTGAGATCCTGAGAGTTCATTATTACTTACCATTTTGTAGGCTAAGGGTGAAGCAGAAAAGGATTAAACCTATTTTAAACCTAAGTGTGAGAGAAGTTCATCTATGCACAAGATGCACCAAACACATTTAGTTATGTGTTCAAACATGAAATAATGCCCTAGTCTATGAGGGGCATTGACCTCTCTGCCCATGTGTCTTCAGTGACTCTGAACTGCCCTGAAGTGTTAGGGGCTTTAGTATGCTGAAGAGAGAGGACATAGTCTGAAGAAAGGACTTCTTTCCAGTTGGCCAACTATTTCATCCACAAAAAGAAAAAGAAACACAATTTTTATTTCCCAAAGAGTGGTCTCTGGAAGTGCTCTGGAAGTTAGGTTGGAGTAAGCAATTCTGTCCCAAAGCAAGTGTCAACATCATTTGGTCAGGCAGCAATTTACAGTATTTTACTTGCTACTCATCGTGTCCTACCTGGAGGAGGATTCTTCAGATGAAGAGAGGAAGCACAGTGGGCCCCAGGCACAGTCAGATGCAGGGGCTCAGGCTACAGCCTTCTGGTAGAATAGCAGCCAGGGCCCTTTTGGGCAGTCCCTGGATTTTACAAGTGCAGGAGCCAGAGTCGGAAGGAATTCAGCCCACAGAAAAGAGGAGTTGTTCATGGATCTAGCAGAAGTTCTAGCAACAGGCTGAGCATGGACTCTCCCATAAAGTCCATGGGCTGCATTGATTTACAGCTGGCTATTATCAGCCAGTGTGTGCTCTTCCTGGGCAAACAAGAAGCGTTGTTAATGGTGTCTTTGGCTTAGTTTGAGACTAATCAGATACCTAGATTTTTGGCTTGCTTCCCGGATATTCTTTTGGGCACCTCAACTGATTTAAACTCTAGATGCACAAGCCATATGGTCTTGACCCTTGGACAGGATTGGCTAATCTTTTGGAAGATAACAGGAACTTGGCATTTGTGGGCACAGAGCAGGATACTGTCCATGCAAGCACAGGGAAGGGTAAATGAATTTTACCCTCCTCCTTAAAGGAAAATACTTAAAATTGTCTTTGCATGCACTCATCTCTATCATTACTTAGACTTTCCCCACATCTCAACTACATCTACCTTGTTGCTGACTGGGGAGAGAAGATCATGCAGTGTTGTGAGGAGCTTTTAAATGTGTTTCAGAGGTTGTACACTAAATAGGATCAGAGCTAGAAAAGGCAGGAATGATTTACAGTACTTTGCAGTTTGTTTCCCCACACCTCCAGTGACTGAGCACTTCAGTGCTAAACAGTTAACATCCTGGTAGTTCTTACTTCTGTCCCTGAAGCTATTTAAAAATAGTGGTTCAATGAATAAGAAATTACATATTCAGACCATAAGGAAATTCCCGTATGAGTTTTATATCTGCGTCTCATTTTCCATCCTTCTTTCCTAGGATATTCCATCTCATTCATTCCCACACTTGGTTTCTATTCCTATTACACCTCTCAGTCAGCCAGCACCCTATGGCCACTGAACATGTTCTATTGTTGTAGAATCTTCTTAGTTGTATTCTGCCCTGACAATTAGTGTTCAAGACTTCTGAGGCCCTAGCTACTGCAGGTTCAGTCTTCAGACAGGCAGCTACAGCATCCCCAGCTGACAGTGTTGTATGGGGCCCTGCATCAAGAGGTCCTTGCCGCCAGGCAGCCTGCAGCTCTTCCAAACTGCAGTGAAAAAAAGTTGATTAGGTCTGCGAACTGGAAGTGTTTGGGCCTAGGAGGATCCACCAATTGCTAGTAGTTATGGAATCTTCTGAGGGACCCATGGAACTCGGGGAATTGAAAGAAATGCATATACTAATGCTGAAAGTCATGGGATTAGTAGAGGTAGGGCACCCAGCAACTCCTGGGAAGGACAGCCTGACATGAACCACTCCAATGGGGCATTATCAGATGTGGCAAATAAGTCCACTTATTTGGGAGGCCAAATGCTCTCAGATGGCACAGATGAAAGATGAATCCTTCCTGCACTCTCTCTCTGCTCAGCTGGTCTGTAATCTTGTTGGCTGTCCCTGCCAGGTTTAACACTGAAATGTCTCTTGATGCTGGAGAAGAATTATATGATCTTATTTAGCACTTCCTCACGTGCTCCTCCTTATTGGAGTAGATTTTTTCCTGTACTTTAGAGCACTTGCCAAGCTCTGGCCTGGACCTTGAAGATTCTGATTCTTTCATAAAAACAGCACTGTTTTACTGTTTATAGTAAAAAGTGAACAGTAATTAACTCCCTTTATCCACCCATAGATCGCTCTGGTAAACAGCCCAGTGAGCTTCAGCTGTGCAGCAGTAGAGAAATACAGTAGAAACGAAATAAACATAAACAAACATTTGTGAGGAAGCACTTAATTTCTGTTAAGGCCGATAGTGCATTACTGAAATGTATTATTACCGATTAATCCTCTATATTGTGCCGATTACTTACAGTATGTTTGTGTGATTATAATGTTACAAAAAATCTTTAATTAAAAACAATAAAAATGTATGTTCAGCATCAGTATGTTGGATCTTCTACCCATAAAGTTATGAGTAGAAGATCCAACATACCGATGCTGAACTGGGCTTCTTGAGCTTCCTCTCTCAGGCTTCCTCTTCCAGAAGGCTGCCACTTTTGGGGTTGCCTGCTTTTCTGTTCCACAGTCTCCAAGGAGTGAGCCACACATGTCCAAGATGCTCAGAGCTCCCAAGAGATTGTCAGCCATAGGTGTAAACAGCTATTTATAGAAGTAGCCTCTCCTTTCAGAGGAAGAAGTCCAGTCAACCTGTGGAGAGCTGAATAATTGATCATGACACACAGTGAAGAACTTGCCAGCTCTACCTGATGATGTGATAGCAGTGAGAAAAGTCATTGACCTGATAAGGAGGTAGAGGACAACCATGTTCATCTGTGCAAGAAACATCCACAGGCTCCACACTAGAACAGATCATGATTAGCAAGTGTGCTGAGGAAGTGCTTAATGTCCAGGTGTGAGTATAAGAAAGTACATTGAGCTTTACATGATTTGTGGAGGTTGCTACCAAGTATATGTGGAGTGAAGAGAGCAGCAACCCTCTAGCTTTCAGAGAGAGAAGGATGCCCAGTGCCTGGGTGAGATCACAAGCATCACATCATTGTCTATTAACATTAATACAAGCAGAAAATCCTTACCTTTTAGCTTTGGAGGCTGTGCAAATTGAAGGTTTGAAGTTTGCAGTCATGGCCTTCGGGATCTCCATAGAGAACCAGCATGGCCTTGTACCCTCCTTACTCTGAGGTGGAGAGTCTTGAAATTAGGGTGGACTGATTCTTCCCCAATCCATGGTGAGGCACTCCAGGATTCATGGAGATGGAGGAAGGTTCAGCAAGAAAGCAAGTGCCAAGTCTCAAAACACAGCTGGCATGGCTACTACCGGAGGCAAATGGCATTATCCTCCTGAATCTTGGCCATGACCCATATAATGAGTGGAAGGAGAAGGAAGACATAGTTCCCAGGACGCCCTCAGTCAAGGAGAAAGACACTGTCTACAGAATGTTGGGTGTAGCCTGCTCTTCTACAGATCCAAGTACGAAGGGGTGTTAGGATGGTATGGACTCCTAGTGTTGTTCTATATTCTAGAAGCTAACCTAATGTAGCTCTTACCAAGCTCTGGGAACCTGCCCCGATCTAGTTGGAGTGCAGCCGTTTCCCACAGTGCTCCTTTTGTTGTATGCCTACACTGGGTAGGGTGGTACAGCTATCTTCACATGCCTGCCTAGCTGGGGTAAGATGGTATTCTGGGTGCTCCCCAGGTGGGGGAGCATGACTGGCAAATCAGTGCAGGGAGTTATTATAGTGTACAGAGAGAAGGAGAAAGGATCGGGCTCCCCATGTCCATTCAGGTGTATCCAGATCCACCTCCTAAGGCATGTCAAGCTATTAATTCTGTAGGGTGGGATAGATAAGGGAAAATATTTTTTCCTGAGAAAAACATTTGCTGATGTCACAAGAACTCAGCCCAGACCTGATAAGTAGGGCTGATCTGGGGAAAGCAGGGCAATCCATTTCCCTGCAGGGGATCAACTTGTCGGGGCCCTAACTGACCACTAGTGGAAAGGGTTAACTAGTTTTGGAATGTTCTCCTGAATGTATAGAAGAATTTGCTGTTTGCAACATGAAGTGACAAACTACAGAAACTTTATGCATTGACTGTTTCTCATATTTCACAGTATTAGCCAAAAGGAACTGTTTGAAAGGCATTTAGGGATCATACAACATGCCAGTTCTGGAGTATAGGCATTTTTTCCTCAACATTCATGTTGTTGATCTCCAGGTGGAATGTGATGCTGTTGGGCTGGAGTTCACTGACAAACAGAACAGGGTCCCTCTTTTAAACTACAGATGGGCTATGTTTAAATTGCAACAAGCAACAATATTCTTACACATGATAGACTTTGGTTCTGCATACCATTTAGTGAAGGGGGCTGACATTTCAACAAGCACTATTGGAAAGAGCAGTCCTGAGGCCACAGCATTGCTCCCAAAATCCCACCCGTGGCCCTAAGTGAAGTTATAACATCAGAAGCAGGTTTAAGATTAGAGTCATATGAGTATCCACAAATGTTTCTATGGTGGTTCCTTCAGTAAGGTTTGAAAAAGAAACTTGAGGGTTTCTTGGTAGGCAGGGACAGAGAGGACCTGAACCCAGTGATTCCTCAGCCCTCCCAGCTGTAATCCATGGCTTTGATTATAGGGAAACAAAGCTAGTCTAAATGTTACAGTACGCTTTTTCTTTGTCCTTAGTCAGAGAGCAGGTCAACCTTTGCCCTGTTGGCAAAACTGTGAGTAGCTCAGAACCTCTGATAATGGAGACTTTGATACGAAAGTGCAATATTGCCCTCTACATTATTCAAGTAATATAAGAGAGTTTGCTCATTAATCAGTGAAATTCTTGGATTGAAGCATCGTATTATTTGTTTCTTTTTATTTTAAGATAGAAGAAACAAATTTAAGCGTATCTATCAAAGGCTTTGAAAATAAATTCATAAAAGAAACCTTACAGGTGTAAGAAAGCATACATGGTCAATAAACTGGAGTTTTATCATTTACAGTACCAATTAAAACAGAATGCGGAATGGAAATGATAGTGTAAAAATACACAATTGTTTTACTACTCTACCATGAAAACCAATAAGATACAATGATTTTTTAAAAAACTATGCATGTTTTTAAAGCATAAAACATTACCAAATAGTTTGCTCATGTGGGATGTTGCTGGAAATACTAAAATAGTGTGCCATGCAAAATACTTGCATGCTGCAAAATTCTACATAATCATCTAAAAATGCTACAACTCTTTTGTTTGCACTGAAAAATACCTCCCTCAAAGTTACTTGGATGTCAGTTTTAATTAATGGCAAATGCATTCTTCCACATAAAGTCCAGAAATGGAAAAGGGCAGTCCAAATGCCTTCCTAGTACTTTTGTAGTAGGTCTATGCAGAGGACAAGGATTTGTTCAACATGGACTGTGTGACATGGACAGTTTGGCTCCAATCTTTCTGGAGGCTAAGCTGTGGCTCAAATTTAATCTGTGGTTAAATCCACCAATGGGAAACATAAGAGCTATTCTGGAAGAAGTGCAAGAATTAGAGTCAAGTTACATTTGAAAATCAAGTCCTTTCATTTGAAAATTATAGCATTGCAGGTTAAGTGATTACATGAAGCCAGGAATTTGGTCATGTTAGCCACAAGATGTGACACTGACATATACTGAATGAAAAACACATTTTGCAAGATTACTTTACCAGGGCTCTGTAAGAGGATATTCTTTGAGACACATTCTACAATAACCGAACTGTCTCCTTGTCTCCAGTGTACCTTCCTCTCCAAAAAACCTATTTTCAAACACCGTGGTGGCCAAATAGTCTGTGGTTAACATGATTGTACATATGTTCACTGTGGTTACAAATTTTCTTTCTTGTGGAAATGGATACACGGAGGGCAATATAAATATCCTCTTAGTCTGGAAAGTAGGAAAAAAAAGATCTCCACATATTTACCATGCTTGCAAGGCAATACATATTTATGACCAGATCACATTCAGTTGTGGAACAGCAATTTTCATATATTATTTTCAGAAGTTCTACTAACAGTCACTCTCACAATCTAGGAAACTCAAGATTATGCCTTCTGTAACCTCTTACAAGACCAAACAAAAAACAAAAAAACAAAACCTCCAACCAAAGGAACATTCAGATCGCTAAGATCAAAACAAACAACTAAATAAAAGACAATGAACAGGTTCTAGAAATGCGCAGATAAAGCACAGAAGAGACTGTGCATGCATGCATGCGAGACTGCATTTACATTTCCATGCAAGCTCTTACATATTAATAAACAGTATACTATACTATACAATACTATACACAGTATACTTCCCCAAAGCTGCAGGTGTTTTGGACTACAAATCTTAGCATGGCAAATGTTCGGAGATGATGCAAGTTGTAGTCTAACACATTTGGAGGGCTGTACTACCACTTAAAGGCTAGCCACCTCTTTTCTAATCTTTGGAAACTTTAAGTGAGTTTCTCTGTTTGGCTGTAAAGAATGACTGAATTCAATGAAAAAGGGGGCCCTATAATTCAGGTTTTTGCTCTATTCCAGTTGAAGATAATGTATACATTCCACCCAGGCAGAAGGATGCTAGTCAAACATGTCCTCAAACATACGCTGGCCCATAGCTATATACTGTTCTTTCTCCTCTACAGTCATCTGCGCCACCAGCTCAGGCCGCTGGTTTACCTGACTGTAAGAAAATGGGCATCCTGCCACCATGACAGTGGGGTCCTCTGTCACTACCTCAAACTCGTCGTCATCATCATCTTCAGTCAGGCCATAAAGAGTTGTAGCCGCAGTGGCTCCACCATGTAGGGGGGAGTCCTCATCTGATTCACTTGTCTCACTCTCAGAATCACTGGCATTGGTGTTAGGCAGTGGAGTAATCCCTCCCATGGCAGCCACAGAGGCCGAGGTGGTTTTCTTTTCATGGATAAGCAGAGCACGCATAACCTCCTCATTATTATCTAAGGCAGCCTGACCCTCTTCTCCTTCATGTAACATATCTGTGTCTTGACCACCTGTAAAAAGCAGAAATTAGGAGAAACAATATGAGAAATAAAAAGAAGGTAATATATCCAGTCCCCCCGGTTACAAACATCCAAGTTAAGAACAACCCCTACTTACAAAAAGCAAACCTGAAAGTCCTGCCTCTTTCTTGAGTGGCAAGCGGGTGCCACGTGGTGAAGAGAGGACGGATGAAGGAAGGCAGACAGGACGGAAGGAATAGGAAGGAGGGAAAGGGGGGGAGGAGGGGAAAGCAGCAAGAGGCGAAGTTGGAACTAGTTCCATGGTGGCAGAAGTACAGTAGTTTTTCATTACTCATTTCCCCCACTTCAGCAGCACAATCAAATTCTGACTCTCCAGCACCAGGTTCATCCTCTCTTACACCTGCCCATTTCCATCATTATCCAGCTGATGTTAGGCTTAATGTTAGCTCAAGAAATGATAACCTTTAATATTTTAACTAGTTTTTCTGTCTACCTAAAGTGTTTTAAGAACTGTACCATACATACATAGATTCATTCTCTCTCTTCAATACCTGTAGTTACTTTATTATTCCTTTATTATTACCATTATTAAAATGCTGTATTGTGCTTGAGATATTTTAGTGTATAAGGAAGTGTTTAAAACATGATCTGAATTGCATATACATTTGACTTAAAGATGATCTCAAGAATGGAACTTGTTCTTAACCATGGGACCAGATGTAATTATGGGATACTGTATTTATTTCAAGTGCACAAAAATTCTAGTAAAGGTTTGTGTATATGCCACTGATTTCTTCTGGATGAAATACAGGGTTATTATCCAAGTGAAATCTCACCCCAATTGTTGATTGTGCCATCAGAACTCATTATTTTAATCCTCCAAAGTGCAGGTGATGACCTGTAAAGCTCTAAATGGCCTTGGCCTAGAACACTCAAGAGACAGGCTTAACCTTTGTATTCCAAAACAGTCCTCAAGTCCAAGTGAAAGGGCCCTCTTTCATGTACTACTTATGCGCTGCTAGCTTGCAAAAGAACAGTAAATCTGTAAGAGTTACTGATTGTCAGCAAAATCCCTTTCCTTGTCAAAGCCCAGGACCTAATACTCACAGAAGTGGTCAGCACTGTGCTTGAACCAGACCTCTTCAGCCAGTATACAGACAAACCACTTAACATAGAAAGTTGGCATGTCATCAAAGATAATTCCAGCCTAGATTTTCCAATATTCTAAGTCTTCTACATCTTAATAGGTCACAAGATAAACTGAAGTAAATTGGCTGGACTTCTGTATTCCCACTGTTGATCGTATAGGTCCAAATCTACCTACCTCTGTTTTATATCATTTCCTCTCAGCAAAGGAAACTTTAATCAGGACCTCAAAGTTTATTTTAACAGGCAGGTGAGGAAACTCTTAACACTTCAGGTGAGGAAAGAACTGAATTATGCATGAAAGCATTCAAAAGTCAACACTAGTGCAATGTATCACACCTAGAAGCTCATTGGCAGTTAGTCCACATGACATAGATAACCTTGTCTGCCAACATTCACTGACAGTTAGGCTGTGACATTCTGCATTAGTTGCAAATAATAGACTAATATAACACATACTACCAGTATCATGTGCACGACCTTTTAGCTTCTTAGGCAGATACACACACAATAATATAAACATACCAACATTCCCCCCTCACCCTGTGGCCAGCAATTCTGATATAGATTGTTCCGTCCTTGCTGCAAAAATAGTGGGAAAAGAGCAATCTGATTCCTAGGAGAGGGAGTGACAAACCCACCAGTAAAGAAAGACCTATCTCTGTCAGGGTCATTGGAGGAGGAAGCAGGCAGGGGGAATCTGGCAGCTGCAGGGATGTGATCAGGACACCTTGAGAGACAGCAATTAAAGACAGGGGGGAGCTGCATGAAAACCATCAGTTGTTAGAAAGCCTTTTATAAATGTTTTAAACATTCAGTTTTCTATATCTTAACAGACACTATGAGCTTGATCACATCTTACAGCGACCATGGACCTCTGGGTTTGTGTACTTCTTTTCTGCCTTCCCTTTCATGCTGCAACTCCCTTAATCCTGGTTTGTGACAAACCATGGCTTGCCATTTCCACTCAATCTTGTTCTGTTTTGGTTTGTTTAAAAATGGGCAAGTCCTAGAGCTACCCAACCCTTGCTCTCATGCTATAATTTACAAGTGGAACTGCAGCAAATGTTCTGCATTACCAAGTTTCCTCTGTGGACATCCCAATACATTGCTTCCACACAAAACGAGTATGACATAATCATATATGTGTGGAAGGGACAATTCATTTCAGTAGTTATTCTTTTAAGACAATTTTATAAAATTGACTCTTTGGTTACCAATTATTTCATTATTTAAATGCTATTTCCTGATAATTCCCAGACTTGTAAAACATTCTTAATGTCATGTCTTAGGACAAGGGTCCTCCAACTTTTTTAACAGAGGGCCAGTTGAAAGGTGCCGGTGATGGACGTGGGCCGCCAAGGCAGAGGGGGGGGTTGTGCGTGTGCATGAGCATGAGCAGCAAGGCACCAGCTTGCTCGCAAGGAGATCCTTTTCTCCTAGCGAGTCCAAACCGAACTCCTTGCAAGCCAGCTGCCGCTGGGCATGCGCACTGCAAGGCGGAGGCTTGCTCGCAAGGAGATTCTTTTCTTCAAACGAGTCCAAAATGATCTCCACATAAGCAAGCCCCCACCTTGCCAGGCGCACGCACGTGCGTATGCGTGGCTAGTCCAAAACCTCTATGGCGGGCTGGATAAATGGGTATGGCAGGCTGCATCCGGCCCGCAGGCCGTAGTTTGAGGACCCATGTCTTAGGACAAATTGGGAAAGAGCCTCATGTTGATAATGGCAGCAGGGTGCCGTGGGTTTAATTGTTTTAAAGTGTTGCAAATTCTTTCAGTTAAGAAGTGTTGTGACTGCACAAACATATAAAGTCAAACACAAATTAAACCAACATGAATTAAGTGATCAGTAAGAACAATCTATGTCGGGTGACAAACTGACCATTAGAAAGATAATAGCAAGGCTGTAAAGTGGTGACAGGTATACCTGGCTGCTACAGGATTGCACATGTCAAAACCACGTCTTCTGAATAAAACAGCAGAATGGAACCAAAAACCACCCACATCTATGGTGACTGCACTACAGCAGTGATCCTTACAATATTTCAAGCAGAATCCACTTTGATTCCAGGCACCATCATCAAAGCCACTAGAGAGCCTTTCCTGAGATGTGGGGCCTTTCCTCTTCCCCAGTCAAGCATGACATTCTTGTACTGGGCACCTGGAAGATGGTCTTTCAGGGCCTTTTCTCCCAATCTTCCTCCACAGTGTTCAAGCAAGTCCTCAGTCAATTAATCAGTACGTCATCAAGAAGGTAATTTTCCACAGGCTCATTTGGACACTGGATTGGGATAGAACTTTTACTTACTGAAAGAAAGCTCTGCTGTACACAGTGCTGCAAACTCTCTCCTCACAATTCTTTCTTGCTCTCTTTCTCACCCACACATTTGATTCCCCTTCCACACCATGCAGCATGCCAGTGCTGCTAAGTAGCAGATGTCCTGACTCCCAGTCCCTGAAACCTCCTCCAGTAGCCCAGATCACAGAAGCTGGCATGCTGCTAAAGCAAACAAGGCATAGCTAGAGAGTCTCTTCTGAAAGTGAGCAGCTACTACAAAGGAGAAATAGCGACAGGAGGGAGAGCTGGTCATATCTGAGGTGACTGGAAGCCACTAGTGGCATCAGACCTCATAGTAAAAAACGCTACACTGATGGGTTTGTTCTTTTTTAGAAGTTGGCTTTCCACAATCTGAGAAAAGATGGAAGAACCACAGGGAAAACAGGGGGAATTATTTGATGACATCAGGTACATACGCATTAAAACAGGGGTAGGGTCCAAGAGCTGAATTAATTTCAGGAAAGCATATTGGAGTCACCCCACTACTGGCACTCTCTCTCACATACACTGTTGCCCTGCCACGTTAGGATGGTGAGTGGGGCTGTGACTGTGTATACATGTACACTGGACTACAGAGTGGAGTCTTCCCTATTCAGAGGGACTTTTGAATTGTGCAGCGTCATTTCCCCACTTTACATTTCATACCTTCTTTGACCTCATCAGGATCAAAAGCACCTTGCACAGTGCTCTCCCGCAGCCAAATCGGTCTCTCTCTGGGTGGCTTCCCTTCGTTTGTTGGCTGATGCAGATCTTCCCGGTCCTCCATGCTGATGATTACATTCTGTGTATACAAGTCCTCATAAGAGGGTCCCTTACTGGCCCAGGCTTCTCTGTGTGGCCCACTTGATAAACCACTGTTTCCCAATGCACCAATGGTCCGCTCCTTGCTGCACAGAGTCAGAAAAAAACACCATACCCATTGCTAATACAAATGTTACAAATTATTTAAATAAATGATTGCTAAACACATCATTCAAAGAGCTATTGGTCTCCTACTCCTAATATTCTACTATAATTTTGATTCCTAAACCTAATAAAGATTTGACTGACCCAGTCTTGCAGACCTATATAGCAGATAACTCAAGATGCAAAAATGTTTGCAGCATTCTAGCAAATAAAATGAGTTTATTGCTTAAAATAGATTTAAGTGGCTCTATAGGACAACCCCCATCCCCAACAAAATATGAACAAGCCATAAAACTAATCTTAACTCCACAGTATTGCTCTACTCCTCTCATGATTCTGTAGAGAAAAAACAGGTAATTCTTCTTTCAACTATGTAGTAAAATTTCTTAAGATAGAATTAAAAGAAAATAGCACCCTATTACTCTAAATACACACTGAAGGGATGGTACCAGAAACACATTAATATGGGGGTAGGGTGGGAAGAGAAATACTCTTACAAATTTGAAAAAGACTGTGAAGAGATATGGAATTGAAGGTTAAAGGTTAAAAAATAAAATCAATGTTTCCATCAACCTACATAAAAAACATGACAGCACAATACTCCCACAGAAGCCTATACAACTGAAGCTTGAGCTATTTAGCTTCATCAAACAGTATCTCTATAAATGTTATTAGATGATTGTTATGGCATGATAGCAGAGCACTGTACTCCTTTATTAACTGAGATACTGTTTAACGCAATACTACAGACATACATGGAAATAAACCCCATTTAACATGCTTCAGAGTAGACATGAGGTCATGTTGCTGGGCTTTATCTAGGGTGATGAATTCCATAGCTGGCCAGTAGAGCCAGCTAATAGGAACCAAACACTCAGTATGACTTTGAAGACCCTGGACAAATCACATGCTCCAATTCTAATACATTTAACACCAGCACTATTGGAGGAAACTCCTAGCACATCATATGGTGTCTATGAAGAGTGCCGCTGTATCAGTACCAGCTGTAGAGAGCTTAGTACCCTGACCCACCTCTGCTTCAGTGCAAGAATCTCCATAGGCTCAGGTTCAAGTAGTTCATAGGCTAGGTTGACATCCTCAGTTTCACGGAGCAGTGCATAGATAGGCTCTATTTGTTCATTAAACCGTGCCACAAGTGTCCGCGCATCCTTTTTGGGCATTGCTGACTCATCTTCCTCCACTTCGGTCTCACAAAAAGTACAGCGAAAAATTCCTGAACAAAAGAGAAGCTGCTTAGAACTGAGAGAGAAATTAACAGCATTTTAAATATGGGTAATTATTGTAAGAAACTAACTTCTAGTTGGATGAATACCCTTCATCAGTAGAGATATACATTTAATGCTGAATCATGAATACAACCTTCCCCCTTAAGGTTATTTAATTTCCTAGGCCAGAGATCAGAAAGATGATGCCTTTCATGTGGCTTGTGCAGTCTATAGGTTTTGTAGGACAAAAAGAATTTTGTGGACTGGATTTAACTTTCAGGTATTATGCCATCCACACTGACCTAAGCAATAGGGTGAAAATAAGCAGATGGTTATAGTTCTATAGATCATGTTTACTTCTGTTCTTTGAGAACCCAGACCACAAACTATTATCTCCTCAAACAATTCCAGCCAATGAACTATGTTGATAGTTCTGGATTTTTACTTCTGCAGAAATTATGTTCAGTTGGTCTTCTGAACTTTTCCCAGTCTAAGAACTTTTCCCAGTCTAACTATTTCAGGAGCTCAATAAAGCATTAGTTAGCTCTCAATTACAAAACACTTAAATCAATGGAATATGATCAGGCTGCTCCCTATTATTTAAACCAAATACAAACAAAATGGCTTGCTGTTTATCTGCTATCCACAATTAGTACTATTTTAATATCTTTTGTGCAGCCTTATTGTAGCATTTCCAGGAAAAAGGAACTGCAGCTGAGTAACTTCAGCTGGAGCATGAAGTCTTTTCTCCAGAAATGTTAGATTGTTCAGAGTAAATCTGAGTGTTCACTTTTTTTTAACTTGCTGCACAAATTTATTTCTTCTTGAATAGTATTATATAAAAACAAATGTGTTCTCAGTGAAGAACATAAGGTGTAGAGGTGGCCCCAGTACTCTGAATTTTTAGTCTTGCAAATAGTAGACATTTTTAATTCTCTCTCTCCTCCCACCCCCGCCCCACACACACAGCCCCAGCAAACTTAAATTATGCCTTTTTAATTAGGTCCTACAACTGATTCTCAACTTCTTTCAACTATATAGTCCCTTTAAGCACTGGATAATTTCCCCTGCTATTCCAACTGTGTACCATTCAAAATCATACACATATAGGTGGAAAAAACTGTTACATGAACAAATGCTAGCAAAATAACTGAAATGTTTCTCATCTGCATGCAAGTACAAAGGACTGTGCTTGAAGGCTCTGTTCAAGATGAAAAAGCAGAATGGGGGAGAAACTAAAGCAAATCTATGTTCAAGGCAATCTAAGAAGCTAATAATCTTCTCTCAAACATAATCATTTTTTATGCTTACAAAGTGCCACATTCTTAATTTAACCATTTTCTTCTGAGCAGACAAAGAGTATTCTCTTCTTCTCTACTGCTAGCGTAACACAAAGGCTGCTCCTACAATTGTCATGTTTTATACACAGGCCAGGGATAGTTCAAGAGATTTGCCTCCCTTTTAGTTCTTGCTTTCTTCTCTTGCCAAACACCTGAGCTCTGGAGGAAGTAATGGCAAACTCATGGTGTGTATGCCAGTGGTTACATTATTATGGCTAAGCAGGGAGGAAAACAAGTACTATGGTGGAAGCTACTGGAATGTCTCCATGTCACACCAGCAGCCCTATTTTTAATGTCTAATTCATCTGCTACCGGACCAGCATGAGAGCTACTTCTCTGGCTCTTGTCTCTGATAACATCTGTTAAGACAAACTGCACGAATTGACCAAATTAATTTGTTTTTCCCACATTCCCTGCTAAGGAACCAAAACATTTGTCTAGCATATCTGCACCTCACCTGTCATTGGATCAAACAACTGATTTGCCTCCAAGTCTGTGAAGGTGCTGCAACAAATGGGACATCTGAAGGAGGCTCGGTTGGTGGAATCTCTTTCATCAGTCTCAATCCTCCTTCTCATGTGGTCTAACTTGTACTTAACCACATTGACCAGAAGACGATAATTGATAAAATAGAAGTTGTGCCGGGTAGTCTTGCCATCTGGTGCTGTCTCCACTCTCATCCTGCATTTGATGAACTTGTCACCCTTTAGAGTGTTGAGAATAGCTCGGAGCTGCTTCCGATCAAACTTGAGCAACTCCAACATGTCCTCCTCTTTCACACATGGATTCCGAATTAGAATGTCAAGGGCCAAAGCATGCTCCGTACCATAGAAACCACGTACCACATACTTGGCAAGACGTTTCAGAGTGGCTGGGACTTCAGTGAGAATATCTGGGTCTGTCATGTCAAGTGTACTGTAAGAAAAATAAAACCTTATCTAATAGTTGTAGATTAGATTGCTGCAACCATGTTCCTTTCCCACGTCCTTCCAGAAAGATGCATCACAGCCACTATCACTTTACAATGGTAACACACACTCTTTGTCTCATAATAGATTCACAATGTTTTAAACACCTAATTAGAACTAAAATCACAGAATCAGTTAAATATAACCATTTAGTATGACCAATGTGAAGTTTTGCTTAAACTTAATGGAAGTTTAAGCTTCCATTAACAGGATGTTCAAAACTTTTAGAATGAGAAAGTTAGGTCCAGTTTATGACCAGCAAAAGTTTTCAATTTTAAAATGGAACAGGCCAAAATATTTGCAGGGTTAATAAAGACAACTTAGCTATCCAAATAAGCAGCTCTGCCTGTATGATTTTTAATACTGTCATAGCAATGACTAGGACCAGTGAGTAATAATACATGTTGTACACAGTATACACACACTTCCAGCTTCCAGTGTACTTCTCCCATATGAAATGAAAGCCTACTGATATTTGGTAAACCTGTACATGACCCAACCTTGGTCTTGCTCAGTTCCCTTCTAAGTGCAAAAACAAATAAAAACCTCTTATGGTACAATCCCATGCAGGTTTCAACAGAAAGAAGTCACACAACTCATAGTCAGATTCCCCAGCAGCTATACTGGGAGTTATAGGATATTTTTCTGTCTCATGCATGCATAGAACTCTGACATTCTCTTTCTAAACAGAATTCTGCAAAAGGCATGTAGAATAATATAGTGTATTCATCTAGAGAGCAGAGAAGAAAAATTTATAACTTAGTGATTCATAACTATTTTGAATATATAAAGGAAAAATGAATGGCAGATAATGTAAATGTCTTCATGCTGAAATACAGCATTCAAATTAGAATGTTCTGCTGGCTGTGTGGGCAGCTGGGCAAGCTTCTTGAGCATACATTCAATGTTATATTACTTCAGTACATGGTTTCTAGTTCAAAATTTTCTTTTTACTAGTCAAATCTTCTTTCCTCTGCTTTTCAAGATTGAAAATATGAGTTTCATCTAGGCTTTGATATTCCCCCTACCATTTCTGATGAGAAACCAGTTAATTTGCTTTCCCACATCCCAAATTGCACGTCTTTTTTCTCGTCTCCATCTCTTTCTCTAGGTGCACTGTTGTTTCCTGCATTCAACTTGATATATGATGCTCTTTAATCTAGTTTCCATCTGTTCCACTCAGAGACCAGGTGGACAATGCACAACTTGTCAAAGGTTATTTAAACTCTGGGGCCCATGGGTAGGAGGGGAGTCCAATTGTCATGCCATGAAACTGGGCAAGCGTGGGTTATATGAAAATTAAACAAAAATGTTTAACCATAGATGTATATGCACTTTGAAATGACATCCTTGTGATGGTGGTGATTAACAAGGGGAACAAACTTGGGAAGAAAAACACTGATACCACCTCAACTCAGCTGAAAATCTTACTATGCTTACTATGTTTGAAGGCATCTCCTACAACAATCAAAGTCATATGGAAGCTTATTAACACACACACACACACATATATTTGAAATGGAAATCATTTTTTTCTCCCCTCCTACTGCTTTCCCCTTCCCTAAATTCCATATGTTAATGATTACCATTTATTGATATACTTCATATTAGCATTTTCCTTTTTCATTTCCCCTTTTGCTTTTTTGTTTGTCTGTTGTTACTGTTGTGTTTCAAATAAAAAGATAAAAAACAAGAATTGTAACATAACCATAAAACAGATCACTGGTTATGCAAGGGTTCTTGTGGCATGTGAAGTGCACCTATCAAAAGTGCTCTTATCATGAAGTTGAAAGATCCTCTTCTGGACAGATCTAGTTGTCATTCTTCTTTGGCTCTTCTATGAAGCATTACTGGATTGATCCTATTTGTACATCAGGCTACACTCCTTCAGCTTTCAATTCATCTTCCTGTTCTAACATTCCTTTGGCAAATTCCTGTTTGCTTGAAAAGCATCTTAGATTCAATGGGGGAACTTGTCAAGATTAACAACATATAATTTCTACCATGCCTTTTGCTATTTTCTTTACCCCTTCCTTGTGTAGCCAATTCAGATGTCAATCTTACCAAGTTATTAATGCACAACAGCTGAAGTTTTCTGGGCAGTTGACAACTATTCAGAAGGGCACCTTACAAAATATATTAGCACAAGCTTTGTTTCAACATTCACTCTTTTTTACTTATAAATAAGTGCTGCGTGGATTAAGTAGATAAAGCAATGATGAGACAGGAAAATATCAGGTAACACCTTGCTATAAGAAGTTATTCTGGTAATTTATTTCTTCTTCAAATTGACTCCCAGAAAATTACAATGAAATCAGTGGGTAATCTAGTTTAGCTTTTGTGAGCACTTTCAATGCTCCAAAGTATGGTTACAGCCACATTTTAAAATTCATATAAAGGAAGATGCAGTTGTACATTCCTCTTGATGTAAATAATAGACAAGTGAAAGGAACTGAACCTTATCAGGCATGTGGTATAGTGGTTAAGCGCATGGGACTGGGACTCAGACGATCTGGGTTCTAGTCCCCGCTCAGCCATGGAGCCAACTGGGTGACTTTGGGCCAGTCACAGACTCTCAGCCCAACCTACCTCACAGGGTTATTGTTCTGGGGATAAGATGGAGGAGAATGATGTAAGCTGCCTTGAGCCCTTTGAAGGAAAAAGGCAGGATATAAATTGAAAAATAAATAAAATAAATCCTTTTCATACCAGAACTAGACCTGGGGGAAAAAAAGAAAATACAGCTTCCTCTATCGCCATACTAAATGTCAGACTCCACGTCCTGGTTTATTTGTGGCAAATATAAACCATTCTGCTCATGGAAACTTTGGCTAGCTCTGGCACATTATAGTCTTTAAAGGAGCGAGGCATGTGCTGTTCCTGTTTCGTAGGAAGAAGCATTTAATCCCATCAAATTGCACTCCAAAATGGTGAAGGCAAGATACTGGGCCACCACTTCAGTGAAAACTGGAGGGCGGCCCTTTAGCTCTGTGAGTCCCCGTTCGCACCCAAAAACAAGCAAATCTGGGAGGATGGAAGCAGAAATTGCCCGGGCTGGTTCCACGATGGTCGAGGATGGTGGAGACCGCAACACTAGCCGAACATATGTTAAGAACCGGCGCGACGAGGACAGAGAGAAGGCTTGAGAGAAAAGGCCAAACTCCTATCCCACCGAGGCAGTTTAACTGACCTACCAAGCGCCCGGGTAACTTCTCTCGCCTCCACCGGCTGGGCAGGTACCTACGAACAAGGGTGCCGCCGTCGCATTTACGTCATTGCTGTGCGACGTCCTGTTCGCTTCTTCCGGCTTCGGGACGCTCACGCTGGTCTGTCCAAGGCCAATAGAGGAGCGGCAGCTGAAGCGAATCGCGTGATCATCAGCCAACAGAAAGAGGGGATTGTATGGGTCGAGCTGTGATTGGTCTCTGCGGGAATGGAAGGGTGAATGACGAGTGCGAGCCGTTGGGCGGCCCAGCGTGAAGGGGAAATGGCTGCGCTGGAAAGGGTGAAAGTGCTGGTTCTGGGCGACTCAGGTGAGTGCGTGCGAGGAGCTCACAGTGAACACTTGCCGCAAAGCAGGAGCGAAGCCTGGCTCATGTCTGCGGCCCAAAGAGACTGTGGGAAAATGTTTCTCTGGGTACCAGTCTGCATGCGAGTAGAAAACTAATTCAGCAAGGAGCCTATCCTACAATGTTTCTCCCTGCTAATGTAGGATGTCTGATTTTCCGTTTTACAAATGTGGGCGAATATGCAAGAAATTGCATCTCCTATTTAAATAGATCTGTCCATTCTAGCTGTTACCTTTTCTTCCTGCTGAATGTGTAAAACAGCCCACTAGGGGAAACAGAGCGACAGATGGGGGCGACTGACTGGGTAAGAGTGCCACACATTTTGTTGCATGCAAATGTGCTTACCTATCATAAATGAATGTAAGTTTAGCTTGCAAGTGACACCCTGCTTAGGTCACCAATTGCTGGAATGGTAACTCTACAACTGAATTGGCTAGTTTGTGTGATATATGTGCTTACATGATAGAGCCCCATCATATTTGTTTACGCTTGTTTAAGGCTTGGACACAGAGCTGCAATCTTGGAGCTTGGAATCTTCACGCTGAATACTCCCTCCCAAATGACAGAGCTAATATTGAAAGAACTGCATGGGCTGCCTCTCTAGGATTTAAACTTGAGTTCCAACCTTCAATTTTCTTTCTGATGATCAAATATTTCATTTGATTCTCCTGGTTATTGGGAAAAGTTTATATTTATAAAGCTTACAAAATTAACATGCTGAACTTTATTAGTTTTGTTTATGAAATGTACATCAGTCATGCTAAATCAGATTTCATTCAGCTAAGGGAATTGGAAAATTTTCAAGTTTGATTTTTTTTTTTACAGAAACCCACATCACTATTTCAGAAACATTTACACGCTAAGTCTCATTTCTGAGCTGAACCATTTGAATTGTTCAGACTGTTCTATTTAATTTGGTTTCTTCTTCCTTAATTTAAACTACGTAGCAAAGTGGAAGTATAGATGTTCTACATAATATAAATGCTTAGCTTGGGATTGTCTTGCAGGTGTGGGGAAATCATCACTTGTTCACCTGTTGTGTCACAATCAGATGTTGGGAAATCCATCCTGGACTGTGGGCTGCTCTGTTGATGTCCGAGTAGGTGCAACTGTAAACTCCTAATGTGTGTCTTTCAAAGGCCATAGAAAATAATTTTTTTTTTTAATTGAAGCTTAGTTGGGAAAGTCTACATGTGATCAGATGTAAAAGTTCAAGAAGAGAGATCAATTGTAGTAGGATAAATGGAGCCATGAATCAGTTTGAACAACATTTCTAACAACTTTTTTTTTAAAGAAAGGACAGAGATCAAATTTAACCCCTTCTTAGATTGACAAAGAGTCTGTACAACTTGTTCCAGTACATCATTGCATTATTGATGGAAATATTTGTATAATCTGACACAGAGAAGCCATTCCATATTTGGAAAGTATAAATGCACATTTATTAATATTCCAAATACCATAGGTTCTATTCCCTCTCTTGCTCAAATATTACCCAGGGAAATTGATTTTTCCTGAAGTAACATTTGGATTTCACCCCCAAAATTCTGATTATTAATCAGCATTCATCATGAGAAAATTACTTAGTTCTTCTCATTGAAAAGAAGGACTATTTCATCCTCACTAGGTATTCACTTGCCATTAATATATTAGCCCAAGGAAGGCAACTACACTTGACAATTAAGTTCCTTCGATGGGGATTTGGACCCCAGTAACTCATGTACTCTTTCATACACATTCAGCTCACTCTGTCTCATAGGAATATGAAAATTGGCTGCTCAAAAGAGGGAGTCGGCAACATGTTCAGTTGGTTTGTGCTGGCAGTTAATTTCCAAGTGCAATCAGAGTGTTTGCTCTTACATATAAAGCCTTTAATGTTCAAGATTGTACACGTCATAGGCCTGCATTCCTTTGCATGAAGCCCATCTTTTAGGTAAAGGACCCACATTTTGATTTTGGGAATGTCATGGATACCTGTCACAAAATGGCAAGATAATTAAAAAACACTTGCCATGAGTTTGCATGATTTTTACATGTAGTCCCATCACCAGATTAAAGTTTACATTAGTATTTATAGACTGCACAGTAAATATAAAGGATCGGGCACTTACCAGCCCCAACATGTAATAATAATATGGATTCTCATGATTTTTACATGGGATGCTAACCAAACTACCATCAAATCAGAAGTAGAGGCAGGGGTGAGGAAACATACCCTGCCTAAAAGCCACCTTTCCCACGAGTTTCCTTGTAGTAGCTGCTCGTTTTTTCCTAAGGTAGAAGGTAAAAGATCTAGCTATATGCAAGTTACTTGTTAATAAGACATAATATTGTCTTATTCTGTTAATTAATACTTCTCATTATTGTCAGATTCATGACTACAAGGAAGGAACTCCTAAAGAGAAGATTTATTATATTGAATTATGGGATGTCGGTGGCTCTGTGGGCAGTGCTAGTAGCATGAAAAGCACCCGTGCCATGTTCTACAACTCTGTTAATGGTAATGTATGCATACTGTAAAATCTATTTTATTATTATTTTATTTCATTTTAAGGAACATTTGTTGATTTGGTTCATGCAGACCATGCTCCAAAAATATTGCTTTGGCTCATTTTTCTCCCAAAGATCATCATCTACTTGATGAAGGAGAAGCTGAAGGAATAGGATGGAAGCTCAAGATTGATAGGCAAATGATCAAGGCTCATCTAATTGGGTTGAATGAGTTTAAATTTCCAGGGCCCAATGGACCATCCCAGTGTCATAAAAGAGCTAGCAAAAGAACTTTCAGAATCATTTCCTATTATATTTGAGAAATTATGGATGACAGGAGAAGTGCCAGATGATTAGAGAAGGACTAGTGCTGTCCCTGTCTTCAAGAAAGAAAAAAAAGAAGAACTTGGGAACTACAGACCAGTCAGTCTGGCATCTGTCCCTGGGAAAATTCTGGAGCAGATTACAAGACAATCAGTCTGCAAATACTTTGAAAGCAATACGGTGATTATGAGAAGCCAACATAGATTCCTCAAGAACATTAGTACTAATCTGATTTCATTTTTCAATTGGGTAGCCTCCCTGATGGACTCCAACCCTATCCTGGCTTCAGTAAAACTTTTGTCAAAGTGCCCCATGATCTCCTGAATAGCAGACTATCTAAAAGTGAGCCAGATGGAACAATGATGTGGTGGATCCACAGTTGGCTACGGAATTGGACTCGGAGTACTCATCGATGGTACCTTCTCAAATTGGGGAGAAGTAATAAGTGAGGTACTGCAGGGTTTAGTCCTGGGCCCCAGTGCTCATCAACATTTTTTATTAATGACTTGGATGAGGAAGTGCAGGGAACACTTATCAGATTTGTAGATGACACAAAACTGAGTGAGATAGCTAATACTCTGAAAAATACAAAGAAAGAACAAGGTGTTTGATAGGTTGGAACACTGGACTGAAAATAACAGAATGAAATCCAATAGGGACAAATGCCAAATTCTACACCTAGGACAACCAAGTGCATCCTTCCAAGATGGGGAATTCTTGTCTCAATAGTATTGCAAGTGAGAAGGATATTGGAATTGTTGTGGATCACAAGTTGAATATGAGTCAACAATGCACTGGGATGCATTAACAGAAGCATCACTTCCAAATCACGTTAAGTACTCATTCCCTTTCATTCCGCACTGGTTGGGCCTCATATGGAGCACTGGGTCAAGTTCTGGGCACCACAGTTGAAGAAGGATGCAGACAAGCTGGAAAGGATTCAGAGAAGGGAAACAGGGATGTCCAGGGACTGGATGCAGAGTCCTATGAAGAGAGATGGAAAGAACTGGGCATATTAAGCCTCAAGAAGAGAAGATTGAGAGAGATATGATAGCACTCTAAGTATTCGAAAGGCTGTCAGAAAGGTGAAGGGCAGGATCTGCCCAGAGGGCAGGTTGTAGAATAACAGGCCCAGGTTACAGGAAGCCAGATTCTGGCTTAGATATCAGGAAAAATTCCTGACTGCTAGAACAGTGCAACAGTGGAACCTATTCCCCGCTCTTCCCGGAGGTTGTGGGCTCTCCTGTACTAGAAGCACTCAAGATGCAACTGGACAGCCATCTAACAAGAAGGGGCCATCATGTCCAGCCCCCTGCTTAGTACAGGACTTCAGGTTTAAACCATTCTTAGGAGAGAAAAAAGTACATTTAAAAGCTTAAAACTGTTATAAACTGCTATAAGAAAGTACCCATGATTTCAACTTCAGTGTTTGTGAGTATGTGTGTGAACACACACACACTTGCTAGCAATATGAGCTAAAGCTGCCTTGGATGTACAAAATTGTGTGGCTCTTTGGGGCCTTGCCTGTGTTCTAACCTGGTATATATTTCAGTCTGATTTTGGTAATCTGAAATCATTTTATTTATAAATACCTCTTTATTTGTCTAGGCATAATTTTAGTACATGACTTGACCAACAAGAAGTCCTCCCAGAACTTGTATCGATGGTCAATGGAAGTTCTTAACAGAGATGTCGCCCCTTCTGGGGTCCTGGTGACAAATGGGTGAGTGTGAAGAGCACTGAGTCAGGTATGACTGTTCTGGTAGCCCTTTTTCCTTCTATTTTCTGTTACACTGAACATGGAGTGGGGGAAAGGATTAGACATTATGTGACTGAAAAGGGGAAAATATGTGTTATTGCTGAAGAGCAGGTCCATCTTCCTTTGTGTCCCTATATTATTAAAGATCAACTCTTCCAATTCTTCTGTGCTAGTAAAGAATTAGCAAAATTGTTTATTAAACTCACTGCTAAGGGTTTAATCATTTTATCCATGCTAAAAGGCTGGGTAAAATTTACAACTTAGTTTCATACATAAATAATAGCAGTGGCCTAGAGGTGTAAGAGCAGAACTGCATGCAGATATAAGGGAAGAGTGAGGCACAGACTATGACTAGCTTTGAGGGCAGGCAGAACTGCTCTTTGCAACTTACCATGCCCATACAACAGCTGGCAAATTATGATCTTGTCTGTAACTTTATTCTGGGGTGCCTTCGAGGTCAAGTACAACTGTGGAGCAACCTTTTTCAAACTGGGTAGTCGATTGTGGGTTCAACGTAAGGGCTTTTGCCAAAATAGAAAAAACTAAATGTGGTTTTTGGATTCCTAAAAGAAGGGATAATATCATTTCTATAAATTTCTCCAAATAAGTGCCATGTAGGATTGATTTGTATGCATTTGTGAACTGAGGAATTCATAATAATACTATAGAACACAAAAACAGACCAAGTAAGAAGGGACTTCCCAAGCCATCTAGTCTGACTCTAGGCTCCACCCAGCTCCACTCATGACATGCCTCCATATACCTGTCCAGCCTGTCCTTGAACACTCTCACCGATGGAGCTTCAGTCACCTCCCATGGAAGCCCATTCCATACCCTTTGGGTTTTAACTATCAGAAAGTACTTCCTGGCATCCAAATTGAACCTTGGTTCCCTGAGCTTTGCTCCACTGGGACATGTCCTGCCCTGCCCTCCTCTGCAGTGAAAAACCCACCTCCATTTGACACCCCCTCACATACCTATATGTCACCCACAGATCCCCTCAGAGTCTCCTCCAGGCTGAAAATACCCAGTTCCTTCAGTCTCTCCTCATACGGCTTTCCCTGCAATCCGGCCACCATCCTGTGGCCCTACGGTGCACCGATTCCAACCTGACTACATCCTTTCTGTAATGTGGAGCCCAGAACTGGACATAATACTCCACTGCCACTTATATAGAGTGGCAGTAATACCTCTCTTGATAAAAACCATGCTTCTGGCTATGCATCCAAGGGTGGTGTTCACCCTCTTGACCACCGTGTCACACTGCTGACTCATGTTTAGCCTGCAGTCAACCAGTAGCCTGAGATCCTTTTCACAAGTGCTGCTTTCCAGCCACTTGTCCCCTAACCTAATGGGTGTACTTATGACACCCATTCCTATGCCCCAAATGCAAGACCTTGCACTTATCCACATTGAACGCCATCCTGTTGTCCCCCCGCCCACTTCTGTCCAGATCCTTCTGGATCCGGAGCACCTGCTACTCAGTTGCGGCCACCGCCCCTATTTTAGTATCGACTGTGAATTTGATCAGACTGGTCACCCCCCCTTCCAGGCCATTGATGAAAAGACTGAACAGGAATGGTCCCAGGAGAGAGCCCTGCGGGATCCCGTTCATTACCAGCCATCATCCTGATGATTCCCTGCTAATAGTTACCTTCTGCTTTCGCTCCGTCAGCCATGCCCTTATCCATTGGACATTGCATTGGTCTATCCCAAAACCTCTCAATTTCTCAACCAGGATATCATGTGGCACTTTGTCAAAGACCTTGCTGAAATCCAGGTAACCCACATCCACCGCATCCCCTCGGAACCTTGTCATAGAATTCCACAAGGTTTGTCTGGCAGGACCTGTTTTTGTAGAAGCCATGTTGCATGGTCACCAACCTCCCTTCCTTGTCTAGGGTTACTAGATCTCTCCCTATTTTGAGCCTGAAGAAGATGCACTTGTCATAAATATTGTTCCCTGTTGTAATGCAGGGAATGTTTGAGGTGTTTTACTTTTGAATGGGTAATCAAATCCTATTGGCTTCCTACCATTAATACCTTATCCTTCCTTGTTAAACCAAGAGAGTGACTGCTCAGAACGGTAAAACCGTTCTGTTAGAGGTATTACAAACTCTCCAGGAGGCAAAACATAATATTCAGACTGCTCTGTTTGAGAATTACTGATTTTGAATTGCTATCCTGATCAGAATGCATGTTCATGCTTTGCATTCTGCAATGGTGTGCGAACAGTGCTTCTCAAAAAAGCAACTGTTAAGTCTCTCCACTTGTCCCATGTTTAAAAAGATGCTGTTGTACGTGTATTTGGAGAGGCCGTGGTTCTGTCCTGTGCATCTTACTTGCACTCTTACATGAGCAGCAAGCACAAATGTCAGGCACAGAATGTTGAAAGAGGGCCAGGCCATTGATGCCTTGGATACAGAGATGATTTCTGGTAAGAAGTCTGTTGTTGTTTCAATCAGCTGGGGTCAGGATCTGCTTGTACATGCTTGTAAATACTGTCTCTGATGGATTTTTGCGATGCCCTGACCTTCACCCCATTCGGCAATGAATAACATTTTCAGGCAGTTGCACAAGCTTTGGTGGGGAGGTCCACTCCCAGTAGCCAATTGCACAAGCGCCAATTGGTATCCACTTTCCCTTTATTCTTTATGTGGGGTCACTTCCAATATTCCCAAGTTCAAATGCTTGCCAGTGTGTCTTGAGTCATAATACTTTTTAGAGGATTTTAAAAAACTGAACTATGTTACCCATGTGTTTCATAATCACATTGCCCAGGAGTCCTCAAACTTTTTGAACAAGGGGCCAGTTGAAAGGTGCCAGTGATGGGCACGGGCCACTAAGGCTGTGCGGGCGGGGGACGATGTGCGTGCGTGGCGAGGCAGGGGCGTGCATGCGCAGAGATCATTTTGCGAGTAAGCCAGCACCTCTGCACACACGTACAACGAATCTAAAACCTCTATGGTGGGCCAGATAAATGGGCATGGCGGGCCGGATCCGGCCCCTAGGCCATAGTTTGAGGACTCATGACATTGCCTATAGATTATATTTTGTATTTTGTTTCTTAGTGCATCTATATGTGTGTGTGTGTATATATAACATACAAAAAGTTATTTTCATTTAGCTTGGTTTAAAATGAACTGCTTTGTATTTTTAATTTATGCATTTTTCAATCTTATGCATTTTTGAAGATTTTCTTGGAAATGGTTGCAGACATCTGAAAGTTGTTAATATCTGGAATAGTCCAAGTTATAGAAAAAAGGCTTGAATATTTTAGTTTCCTTCCTACCCTGTGCAGCTTGACTCTCTCAGATACAAAGGCTAACACATTTATTATTGTATGGAGTGGGTTGCTGTGTCATGCAAACCTGTACAACTTACTGCAGGATAGAGTGTTCCAAGCTGCCCTAACAATCCAAGTTTTATTTTAGGGGTTGTTGTGCCCACAATGGCTTGTCATGTTGTCCAGCTAATCCTATCACATGTTCAGGGAAACAGCAAGCAAGCCAAGCTAGCGGCAAATGTATCTTGACATTCTTGCAAGGTCAGTCAGACTCCCTCCAATGGTCATCAAGTGTCCAAACAGCTGCTGCTACAGATTTTTTTCCTTTCTACCTTCCGCCCGCTCCCCCAGAGATCACTTTTAGCGATCTCCCAAGTGATGGCTCTTTCAAAATGCTCAAGTGGAATACTAAAGCAGCTGCTTTTGCTTTGCCTTCCCACTGCTTTTTTAAAATAACGCCTGAGGTTTGTACAAATGTTTTAATATTCTCGATGGATTTTTGGTGTACAACTCTGACTATCCCGAATGCACAGTTCTGTCTTGTTAATGTCCTAAATGGTGTCTTCTGTCAAAGTAGATGCAAAATATACCTACAAATAAGCTATTTCATTGCCTTGCTTCTTATCTGACAACTGTCAAATGGCAAGTTGTTAAGGGAGAAGTGAAGCCACGGGGGCATCTTTGCTGGTGAAAGGGGTGTATGCAAATTGTCTCCTTCCTGGCAAATTCCTTTAGGTTTTCTGTCTGTTGGGATCTGCTCTCAGATCCTCCACCTTTTCTGCCCTTCTAAAGACTCTGGGTGCTCAGGAATGTGGAAAAATGCAAGTCATGCAATTTATGGGAGTGCAAAGCTTCAAAAATTATGAGAACCCGTATTTCCTTTTAAAACTGTTTTGACATAGCCAATTGAGTGGATGCAAATATAAGTTCATTTCAGACTGCACTGTTCAAGAAGAGAAAGTTGAAAGGGGAGGGAATTGTACATGTGGGTACAACATCAACTGACAAAAGATTATGTACTGCAACAGTGAAAGAAACTCCAGCTGGGCCTAACACTAGTCTCCCAAAAAATGTAGGAAAGAAGCCAGGGAATAATTCATGTGACCTTAGATGTCTATACACCGATGCCCAAAGTATGGGAAACAAACAACATGAACTCACAATTGAAACTTGGTGGGACAATTTCCATGACTGGAATCCAAAAATTGCATGAAAAAAGAATAGAAGTAACAAAAGGAGGCAGAGGTACACTTTATGTTAAAGACACATATTTCTGCAAAGAAATACAGGAAGAAGACACCAGTAATCCCACTGAGTATTTCTGGATTGAAAAATGGAAAAAGAAATAAATGGAGCATAGTAGTTAGAGTCTATTATTGTCCACCTAACAAAGGTGAGGATGAAACTTTCAGAAAACAAATTGCCAGTATTTCATGGAGGCAGGATGTTGCCTTTTATGGGGGACTTTATGGGGGACAAGGAAAAAGAGGAGTCAACCACAGAAGAAGCCTGTGTGGCTTCACAAAAAGCTAAGAGAGATTCTGAAAACTTTTGTATATAAATGTATAAGAGTTGGAAGGAAGGTCAGGCTGCAAAGGAGGAATATAAGCAGGTACCAAAGAACTGCAGGGGTGACTTTAGGAAGGCTAAAGCAGTGGAAGAACTGAGACTAGCTAGGGGAGCTAAAACAACAAAAAGCCACCTTCAAATGCATCCAAAACAAAAGACATGAAAGAGAAGGGAGTTCAACTACTTACCGTGTACAGAATAATGATAAAAGATGACAAAGAAAAGACAGAAATGCTCAAGTGCTGCTTTGCCTCAGTCTTCTCTCAGAAGAACAACTACAACTCCTCCGACAAAGGTGTGGTACAAGCTAAAGGGCAGGATGGCAGCCCAACATTGACAGGCAAATGGTCAAGGATCTTCTAATTTGGTTAAATGAGTTGAAATCTTCAGGGCCTGATGAACTCCATCCCAGAGTCATAAAGGAACTAGTGGAAGAACTCTCAGAACCACTATCTATCATCTTTGAGAATTCATGGAAGACAGGAGAAGACAGTGCCAGATGACTTGAGAAAGGGACAATTAGGATTAGCCTATCTATACAAAAGGGGGAAAAAGATGAACCTGGGAACTATAGAGGCTGACATCAACCCTGGAAAAATTCTAGAGCAAATTTTAAAACAATCTACAAACACTTTGAAGATAATGCAGTAATTATTAGAAGCCAACATGGATATCTCAAGAACAAATCCTGCCAGACTTCTTAAATCTCATTTTTGATTAGGTAACCTCCCAAATGAACCATGGGAAAGCTGTGGACATAATATACCTTGACCTTAGCAAAGCCTTCAACAGAAGTGCCCCATGACATCCTGATTACCAAACTAACAAAAAGTGGGCTTGATAATGCAACCATTAGGTAGATTCCTAATTGGCTGCAAAATTGGACTCAAAGGGTGCTCAACAATGGTATCTTCTCAAACTGGGGAGAGGTTACAAGTGGGTGCCGCAGGGTTCCATCCTGGGACTGGTACGCATCAGTATTTTGTATTAATGATTTAGAAGAGGAAGTGCAAAGAATGCTGATTACATTTGCAGATGACACAAAGCTGGGTGGACTAGCAAATACCCCTGAAGACAGAGATAAGATCCAGGGTGATCTCAATAGGTTAGAATGCTGGATAGAGAACATCAGAATGAAATTCAGTAGGGACAAATGCCAGTTCCTCTACTTGGAAACCAAACGTACTGCTACAGGATGGGGAACATTTGGCTCAACAGTACTGCAAATGAGAAGAATCTTGGGCTTGTTGTAGATCACAAGCTAAATATGAGCCAGCAATGTGATGCAGCTGCAAAAAGGGCAAATGCTATTTTGGTTTGCAGTTATCTTGTGGAGAGAGGGCAAAATGGGTCCTGCCATGAAATCCCAGCAGGAGGACTGAGGGGGAAAGAGTGGGGGAAATAATTTACAATGAGTCACATTCATCTGTTGGACCCACCATGGGTTGTATCATGAACAGTCCACATCATGCAGCTTATTCACAGGGAGTGTTTTCACATCATGTGAACTCATCCACTGTCAGGTTGGTTAGAACAAAATCACTGAACTTCGTAGTTGAGTATCCATTAAGAGTAAAAGTGTATCCTCTCTGAAGGATCTCCTTTATAATTCTTACTATATCTTCTATACTGTCAGCTTGATTTTCTTCTCAGGTGTTTGTCTGTTTTTCCTTAAACTTCCTGAATACCTTCCATTACATTCAAGTGTGTACACTTCAGTGCATTATTTCCAAATGCTTTCCTCCAGTAAATGTTGATGTCATCTGAAGGAAATCTTGTTTGCTGATACATATGTCCTCTTTTTGCTGTATAGGGACTACGACCGTGAGCAGTTTGCTGATAACCAGATTCCACTGCTTGTTATAGGGACCAAACTGGACCAGATTCCAGAGGTGAAGCGCAATGATGTCTTGAGGAGAACTGCTTTCCTTGCTGAAGATTTTGGTGCAGAAGAAATCAATCTGGTTTGTATTTGTACCTTATCTAGGGTGTGGAATGGGCTTCCATGGGAGGTGGTTGAGGCCCCATCGGTGAGTTTGTTCAAGGATAGGCTGGACATACTCATGGTGGGCATGTCGTGAGCGGAGCCGGCTGGAGCCGGGGGTCAGACTAGATGGCCCAGGAGACCCTTTCTGACTCACTCTGTTTTTATGTTTGGCAACATTTTTCACCAGCACACTGGGGAAAGATGTTTTTCTCCTGTTGAATAGGAATACCTAGAGACCAGAAGATGTGTCCGCTGTGAAGCATATAGTCTGATCCCATTGTGATTAGGCATGCCTGAAGTCAGTAATATACATGTGGTGTGAGTGCATAGAATGAAGAACCTGCCTATTGCAAAAGAGGGGACCAGTGTAATTATGAAGAGATGCTGAATGGGAATTGGAATGTGTGAGGGAAATAGGATTGGGGGGGGGGTTGTGTGTGGGGGGACCCTGTTCTGTAGTTAAATATAAAAAAACTTGCTAGGGAATTGGTGCAATGTTTAAATTGTTTTTTAAATGTACCCAGAACTGAGAGGAAGTAATTCCACAAAGTGGTGGTCTTAATTCTGCTCTAGAAGGGGCAGCGCTGGTTACTAATTCGGTAGAATGGAAAAGGCATTCTTTATTTGCCCTGGAACACATTTCATATGTATTTGAGTGTTAACATGCCTGGACAAAATTGGTTAAGCCTTGTTTTTCCTACAGGGTATTAATTCCCAATGTAGAAATACTAATTTTGTGCGACACGGACCTGACATTCAGCTATTGGAGCTATTCCTTCATGTGAATCCAGGTTTATGTCTTGTACTTCTGAACTGCTTTGCTTCTAGTGATTTCAGTGAGAGAAAATTTATTTTTCATCTTTTAGGACTGCACCAGTCCTCGATACCTGGCGGCAGGCTCTTCCAACGCTGTCAAGCTCAGTAGATTCTTTGATAAGGTGAGTCCTTCATTTATCTTTTGCTTTCGATTCTTTACAGCAACGGTTCTTTCATTCTTATTTTGAGAGACAGTGTGGTGCCTTGCTTAAGAATGCAGCAATACTCTCCTTGGAAATTATAACACTTGGTCAGAGAGAGCCCAGCACAGAACTGATGTGTTGGTGGAACAGAAGGCAACAAGCAGCACCTCCAGCAACTTGCACATTCAACCTAAAGCCACTAATGACTGGTCCCTGTGGATGAGAGACATTACCTAATATTGAAAAGCAAACAAATCCAACCCTGCAGAGAGTCAGTGTAGCGTATTGGTTAAGAGTGCAGGTCCGCTCTTGGGAGATCTGGGTCCTAGTCCTCACGCAGCCATGGAGTTTACTGGGTGACTTTGGGCCAGTCACAGACTCTCAGCCCAACCTGCCCCACAGGAATAAGATTGAGAGGAGGAGAATTATGTAAGCTGCATTGACTTTCTTAAAAGGAAAAAAGGTTGAAATATAAATATACTAAGTAAGTATTTTTATTCTTCCCTTACATTTATATCCCACCTTTCTTCCTCTTGCAAAGAAACCCAGGCAGCTTACAAAGTTCTCCTCCTCTCCATTTTATTCTTGCAACAATCCAGTGAGCTAGGTCAGGCTGGGTCAGTTACTGATTCAAAGTTACTGGCTGAGTAGGGATCTCCCAAGTCCCAATCCAGCAATTTTGGCCACTACACCACTGAAACCAGTGGGTTTTAGTCCACTTTCAGATAGGTCTCGGTGCTTCAGGCTATTCAGTGCCTCTTTGTTGAACTCTCCTGTGCCATGTCCCACTATGCACTCTGTATAGTCAGCTGTGGCCCTGGGAATGGGTTAGAGAGCAAGGCTCATCTTTTTAATAATATATTTTTGAAAACCAGAATAAAGAGAAGTAGGATAAGATGAGGAAGTCATTATACAAAAAATTATATAAAAGGGACAGGATGAAAGAAACTGGCAGTTGGGTATGACAGAAGTTAGGAGATGAATAGGAATACTTTGAGTGACATGAGGGGATGAGGGAAGAAGGAAGACAATATAAGTGTGCTGTACTTAGATCTTTTGAGCCTGATAGAGGGTGGCTGATTAATGCTACCTCTGGAACCAATGGGAAAGCAGAACTGCTGCAAGGAAATAGCTGTGCCAAAGAATTTAGCACTTTTCAAATCATGATTAGGTATTGATAAAATTATATTGTATTTTATTAATTGCAGCCAGAGTGGGTCATCAGTTTATTTATGCTGTTAGCCGTCCAGAGACATTAGTAATTGGATGGCATACAAATTTTATTTATAAATCAATCAATCAGTATATAATTGCCAGTGTATAATAGCATGAGCAACAATGGAAATTCAGTCTGTGCAAACGTGACAACGTAAGGGGGCTTGGCGGAGGCATCCTGTAGAGGAATGGAGAAGTTCATGATCAGGCAGAGAGCAATTCAGGCATCTGGGAAGGTAATAAATAGGCAGGATGGTAAGAGTTGGAAACGAAGTACTGTTCAAGCAGAGCTAGGAAATAATACAGGCATGAGGACAGAGGAGGGAACACACAGAAGTGCTTTGCTCTGCAAAGACTAAAGACAGACAGGAGGAAGTTATCACAGACTAATTCTGCTTCAGCCAGCTTTTGAGTTTTTAATTAAAACTCTGAGAATTTTCCAGCTGTGTGCCTATATGACACTGGTATGCAGAAAACAGGAACACACAGTGCTGTTTAACTGCTGTGCTGGCAGCATCTTGCTGCCTAGTCCTCCAGATAGGAGGAAATGTAGACATCAATGCATCTTCAAACCTAGGTCTACTGCCATTAAGTGCTTCCTGGTGTGTTCCTGTATGTATGCAGAAGTGGCTCTCAGTATTACTTATATATTAATTTTAGCCTGTAAAAATTGCCTTCATATACTACACCTGAGAATAAGATTTGACACTTCTTCTTCCACTTTAGTTTAACCACAGTTTAGTATGTCATCTGAACCTTAACCTGTGGTTAATCTTATTCATGCTTAGTTGAAACAGGCCAGCTTCAACAAACTCTACTTAAAATTAAACATGGATTGCTCAGGTTCAGACCTCCAAACAAGCTTCAGTTCATCTGAAAGAAAAGTGAAGCTTCCAAACTTCTCCTACTGCAAGAAGGGAGGGAGCATGTGAGCTGGAGGCTCACCCGAGCTTGCGCTTCTGAGCTAGTTCAAATGAGGCTATTGCTAAAATCTAAGCAGACAACAGAATGCTCTTACGCTATTACTGGATATGTAAGAGAGTGATTACTTGGTTGGTAGAAAAACTAAAATTATTAATCCAGGTTCTAAACCAGAGGTGAGAGACTTACGGGACTCATGATGTTTTAACCCACAATTGCCATCATCCCTTACCATTGACTCTGCTGGATAGGGTTGTTGGGTGTAGAACAAAATACCTTCTGGGATGAAAGTTGCTCATCCCTGTTGTGTGTGTGTTTTTACTGAATATAGAGTTAGAGTAGCAAGTTGGGCATGCCAAATATAACCTATGGGTGGGGGGAATCAGTGCTCTTGACACCATGGTTTTTCCTTATTAATTTTGAAAGCAAAACAACTATAATAAACAGAGCATGCTGAAATAGACAACATTGTCAAGGGAATTCAGTACAGATCCAACCAGTACAAATCAGAATCTATCCATCACCACTCCATAAAAATGTAATACAAGGAAAAACATCCTTAATCTATACAACAACAGATCCTTCAATCACTTCAGATCCTCCGCAGCTTTCCCTCTCTTTTTTAAACACCTCAGATCCACTTATGCTGCACATTCCTCTAACCATCTTCTAAACCAGGGGCCTCAAACTCAACTTACCTGGGGGCCGCTGGAAGTAGAGTCTGGGTGAGGCTGGGCCGCATCAAGTATCCCACCACCGTGGGGGTGGTGGGCCGCTCATCCCGCGTGGCTCCCGGAGGCGCTTTGAAGGCCGCAGGGCCCCTCCTCCGTGCCCCACCCATCCCGGCACGCAGCTTAGAGAGAACATTGCGCTCAGGGTGACGACTCCCGCAGGTGCGTGTGAGAAAAACGCGTGGGCCGCACTATCACTAAACTTTGATATCAAGTGGGGGCCACAAAATATCATCCCACGGGCTGTGAGTTTGAGACCTAAACAGAGAAGTCCACCAGTCCTTTTCTCCATTCTTCAGTTGCTGGAGGCACCAGTGATCTCCATCCAGAACCAGCTGCAGTCCTAACTCTGACATATTCCCTGAAAGGCTCTGACACAATGTGTTTAATACTCATGAAAAACTGCTTTGATTCTCTTAAAAGATAAAAAAATGCAGTAATGTTAATTGATGATATCATTGTTCTATCTCTAAAATGCAATCTAAGGAGCTCAGACGACTATCTCTTTTCGGATCTGTCATCAGCTTTCCAGCATCCAGTTCAGGTTTCATTCTCACATTAATTCATCTCTTCTTTTCTCTGCTCCTCCACACTTCCACCTCACATGTTTCTTCATACTTAGAAGTAAACTACAATTTGACAGTACAGTTTAAAGCTGAAGAGTTAGGGGAGGAGAGTCAAGGAAGGAAGGAGGAAAATATAAAAAAGAGAGAAAGAAATGAAATTGGATAATACTAGTCAGCCTTCTATCAATATTAGAATTATTAGTCCTATTCTGTCCCATTCTATCTCTGTTAGGGATGCAGGTGGTGCAGTGGTTTAAACTGCTGTGCTGGTCGATTGAAAGGTCGCCAGTTTGAATCTGCCCAACGGGATGAGTTCCCATTACTCTGTCCCAGCTCCTGTCAACCTTGCAGTTCGAAAGCATATAAATGCAAGTAGATAAATAGGTACCACTTCGGTGGGAAGGTAACAGCATTCTGTGCACCTTGGTGTTTAGTCATCCCGGCCACATGACCATGGAGACTGTCTGCAGACAAATGCTGGAAAGGGAGATGAGCATCGCCCCCTAGAGTCAGACATGACTGGACTTAATGTCAAGGGGAAACCAATTGAGCAATCAGCAACTCCCTTAAAAATGGCAACAACGCAGGAGAGAACTGTCTCTTCCATTGCAGTGAGCTTCAGCCAAGGTCAATTTATAATATCCAGGATTCTTGAATAAAAATATCAGACAATTTACGTACAGCTGAAAAATGGACACCATGGTGATGGTCAGTGCAGAGGTAGAGGCTCCAGACCAGATACTTCATAGCTGCCAATCCTAGCATTTTAATATTTTGCTTGTCAAATTCCAGCCACCCTAGGAAATGGAGCCATAAGGAATCGCAGTTACTTCAAATAACTGGGTCGGGACAAAATCTACTCTGGTATGTTACTGATTAAAAATCCCTTATAGAGTATTGAAAAGTCAGTGGCTTCTAAGCAAGATGAGAACCAACTCTTGTTTCTGAAACAATTAAGTTTACTCTTCAGATGATAACCTTTAGCCTAAGAAGCTAGTGCATTGTCAACAAGTCCCTGTATAAATGGTTTGAGGCTACTGCATGCAGCAGTAATTCTGCGTATATCATTAACATGCCCTTCCTTTTTATTTTGTTTCAGGTCATTGAAAAGAGATACTTTTTACGAGATGGTAACCAGGTAGGTGTGCATTCTCTTTTAATTTCTTGGACGAAGTTTATTGATCTTACATTTTAAACATTACGGATGAAGAAAACCTCCTCTACTTAGATGCCACTGCAGTGTGCTAATAAAAGTGACCAGCTCACCACTTGATGGGATTGAATGAGAAGGTGGCTGGGGGGTGGGGGTTGAGCTGCCAAGTCTCATGGCTATATTGTTTGTCTCACTTCCTTGATTGTTCGTTTTCATATTTTACATTTCACATTTCTCTGCCATATGTTTTAAAAATATGAACTATTTATGGTTATCTGGAGTAGCTTTTCAAACAATTAACTTGGAAACACTTGTATTTGAGCTATCCTGAAGTCTCACCAGCCTCCTTCCCTCCCCTTCCATGGCACCTTGGCTAGATAAGTTAAAAAGCCTGTCCAGCATAAAATGCAGGGCGGAAGAATGGGGCACTGACAACTGCCTCTTTCATTCCTTCTGCTCTGCGAAGGGTGATTGTAAGCCTCCAACTTCCGGGACACAGCCTCTTAGGACTGCTTCCTTGGTATCCTTCTGGGATTGAGGCCCAGGCGTTGGAACCACCTCTACCCCTTTTCCCTCCATCTATGCTATGCGGGCCTCATTGACAAAGTGGGATAATTTTCCCGCTTTAATGGAGGTTAAAACAGAATGGTAAATTCCTTGTTTAAAGTGGTGGTGTTGTTAGTGATGGGTCTTTCTTTCAATGTTTGTAATAAGTGTTTGTGTATTTAATGCCTTAAGTAATGCTTTACTGTTTACAGTGATTTATTTTCTAGAGTAATATGTTTTAAAAAATTAAAAATGAATGAACCAGAAGAGGAAATTACTGGTATCTTCTCCATGCCATTCCCCTATTCCATGCTCTGCAGGCCACACATTGAAAATAGAGGATTATTTTTTCCCTCCAAGTCAGAAATTATCTGGCACTGCCTCTATAGTGTTCAAAAAGGATCTTGTGCAGTAAATGAGTTGGAAATCCCATCTTAGACCATTCTAATCTGAAGTTGGCATTTGTGCTTGCATTTAATTCCACATCTGATGACCTCATATATTGATGGATAGAAATAGAAGTCTGAAGAAAAAAAATAGAGTTGTGGGAGAGAATAGGAGGAAGATTTTGCATTTATTATCAAAGGAGGCAAACTGCTGTGTCTTTTGTACATTCATTCTATAAAGTGAGCAACTTGAAATTCCGCTGTTAAATCACAAAAACTTCATCTAGAGACACTGCTGGAGTAGAATTAAGCAAAATTGGCTTACTTACATTAGTATCTGATATGCTTGTGTCTTGAATATTAGAAAGGATTAGTCTGTGTGCCTCAGCTTTTGGCCACAGCTGTATAATATCACTGAGGGGCTTCTCAGAGTGAACAAGAGTTAGGTGATTGTTTCTAAAGTGGAAATGCTAAGGTTCATTTGCTATGCAAAGAAGTTCCCCTAACTTTCAGATACTGAATTCTGGATAACTGGGTCACATGTTCTGGGACTGATCCTTGTAATGAAAGTAGCTACCACACTGAAAGAGAAATTGGTGGCCAGGGCAACTAATGACCGTGTTCATATGACACAACCACCCACCATAGGCAGCCAGCTTTTATGTTGTCCAACTCCAGAACATTTCCATGGGGTGCCACCTTTAGGAAATTGAGAGGATCACAAAGATGAGGAGATACTGTTCCCCCCGCTTTTGGTGTGCATATTTCTTTGCCTCCACCTCCATTTTGGTACTTCTGAATTGTACTGCCAAGTTCCTTTCTCTTGCTGTTATTTCTCCTTTGGTCCTTCACGGCTGTGTGTAAATTATTCTGTTTGTAACCTAATCTTGTCAGTTTCCTGGGGTGTAACCCATTCCCCTTCCTGCTCCTCTCACAGTTGAAATGCTCAAGAAAATTGACCAGGAAAGACTGCACACATGGACAGCCATCAATGCACAATTGTGAAAGACTGACCAAAAAAAAAAAAAAAATCCAGGGAACAAAAAGGGATAGTAGCTAGAACAATCGACAATTGTTTTCTCATTTCTCAGAAATGCACAACCAGTCATCAGCATTGGGAGGGGGAGACAAGATAGGTTTCGTAGTTAGTAACAATTCTAATGTAGAGATTTTTGTCTGTTGACAGATTCCTAGCTTCTCAGAAAAAAAAAGAATTGGAAGTGGCTTTGTAAGGAATCTTCACTACGACTGATCCATTACTTTACATCCAGAGACTGTGGGAAATGCTTTTACTGCAACATTCCTGTTGTACTTCTGCTAAGCAAAATTGGGTTCTTCAGCACAGATATGGACAAAAATCCTCAAATACAAGTTCTTGTGCATAGAAGTACTTTTCGCTCCGAAAAGAATCTGAGATCTTCTGGACATAGTGCAGTAAATTCTCTGTGTGTCAAGCATCACTGTAGGATGTGATATTTCACAACTTCAGTTGTGTATGCTTCCTGAAAGATTTATGAATCCATACTGCTCTCCAGGATAGAGCAGAGCACTAAATATAATTCAGGTATTGAAGATTTACAAACATTTACTAAGCATTAAGATGCTGCTGATGAAATTATTGGTAAAGAACCTCTGCTTAGAAATGCTTCTGAGCAATAAAGCATTACTCAAAGACAAGAGAAATCAGAGAAGATTAACAAAAAAGGTTGAAACAATGGTATTGCTTAGTACTTTTAAAAATAAAAATGTATGGAGATTTAATATTAGCTTTAGTTGAGTTGTGCGAAAACAAGTTTTGCTGCTATTTTACTCCCAATTCTGCTGCTTTATAATGATACCTTTTGAGCGAATATCCTGGAACTTGGCCTCCATGATACGTAATGAGGTTTACAACTGAGCAAAATTCAAACCACTCCAACAAATTGCCACAGATACAGCATGTTAAAAAGTTCTGATAATTGACACATCTGTCTTTTTAATTTCGTGTTTCAACTCACCATTTTTGTGAAAAGTGCATATATTTTCAGGAAGGCTTATCTGAGAGGTTTGCTTTGTTGTTAAGATATTAGCAACTTCTGGCAAGGTCATGCTTGGTTTCTGTTTTTAGAGGGCTTCTTTGTGCAGTTAGTTATGGAATAAGTGAATATGGAATAAGTTAGTTATGGAATAAGTGAAATTGCATGTTACTACACAGGTTGGGATGCTTGTTTAGGGGATGGGATTTCAATCCTTTGTCAATTACTAGACTGCCACTCTGGATCAGACCTCCCGGGTGCCTCCAAATTTATGCTGCCAAAAAGACATTGGGTTGTAATGTAATTGCAGGCATAGGACAAAGTGTTAATACCACCATTCCAGGATCTGGAGTCATAAGAGCTCCTATGAGCTTATATTTGAATACAGAGGGAGAACCCTACCTACATCCTTAAAGTATCATGCAATTTACCCTTGAGATGATGTTGGGAGGTATGAGGATGGGATGAAGGGGAAGGGGAAGGCTCAGGACTTCACACAAAAGCCGCAGTGTGAGAGCCCTATTCCTTCAACTTGTTTTCTTCGATGCAGAATCAACATGCAATTCTCATTTCTCATACGAGGGAGATATTCACATATTATAATAAATTTGTGTTTGCACATGTATTTATGTTTATTCAGACAGTTCTGAGAGTCCAGCCCAATTCAGTAATGTTCACTACGTGTAGGCACTACACATGAAGAAAGAAAGCCAAGATGAGTTTGTTAGCTCTACTGCCTCCCTCATTTTTCCCATAATTTGCAAGTGGCAAATGACAGTCTGTGGATTTATTGTCTGTCTGTGAATATTCCCCCTAAATGTTAGTATTATGATTCTTGAAGTCATGATTACGATTGCTTATATATTTTAATCCATTTATCATATAGATAAATTTACAAGAAATACAATGGGGAGAGGGAAGGGATTACCAACACTGTACTTATAAATCTTCATTTCAAAATCAGACAAATTCAATTATTTTAAAAACCTGCTGGTTTAAGACCAGAGTTAAGGCTTCCTCATACTGGCTCCAGCTCCACAAAGCCCATAAATTGGAAATTAGGGGCTTAGCTGGTGTGAGGGGGGGATGTACCCACATTCTGGTTCCTGACTCCTAGCTGAGCAGATCAGAAGAAGCTGCCCCAGCTGATATAGGGACTCTGAGATACAAGCAGCCAGGTTCCCAGGGAGCAAGCTGACAGGGAGAGCAAAGAGAAGTTTGGAAGCAGTGGAGAACTGGAATGTAAACACGGAAGGGTATCACCTGTTTAGAAAGGACAGGAAGGGAAAGAGGGGTGGGGGTGTAGCTTTATATGTCAGGGAAGGGATGGGATGCAATGTGGCGCAGTTGGGGATCTGGTAGAGGGATTCTGGGTGAAACTAGGGGGTTTTGAGAAGGAGAGGGACTCTTTCAATAAGGAGGATGTCGACGGATTGTGTTCTGTGCCAAGTGAAGCGTTGAACTGGCAGGCCACATTGACAGGCATGAAAGCCAAATCCTCCTCACTCAAAGAGCTTGGAAGCAACTGGGTTTACCAGTCGGCACACCTCTGCCCCCTGTACCATAAAGCACCAATTTGAGCGTGGAGCTGAACCATGAGACAACACAGGGGTGCTCGCCTGAACTGAGGGGGAAGCTTGCATTTTCCATTTAACTTCAGTGTAAGCAGCACTGCTCTGATGATCACTTTACACCATACCCGATTAAGAGTGCTCAGAACAACGTGGTAATAAAGACAATGCTTTTGCCATTGTGTCCCTTCCTGGAATTCAGAGAGTTCAGTTGAATTCATGGGGAAAACACATTCCATTCAAACATGTTCTTCATGGCTGTACTCCGCGGAAGACCTTTGCTGCTCCCTCAGTTCGGGATGCTCTTAATGCAGAAGAAAATGTGTCTCTGTTCTAAACAAATCAGCTATTAACTCTGAGAGCGATGGAGACCTTACATAGCGGCTGGACAGCCGTCACATCCAGGTTTGTCTCACCACGAAGCTCAGTTGGCACATTCTCTCATAGACAGACCTCTCTTTCTAGGTAAACCATGGGCAAAAGGATCCTCTGGAACATTAAAACATTAAAAACAAATCAGCCCTGAAATAATTAATGGTGTTTGGGAAAGGCATGTTTTTAAACATTGCCTTAAGAGGCAAAATAAAAGTTCCCTTACAAGATTTCTTTAGAGAGGGAACAGAAAAAATGAGGGCACTTGCTCACCAAATTCTTAAGATGGTGCCAGGTGCATGTTTTTTTTTCGGTGCTGTATGTAGTACTTTCATGGTTGCAAATGGTTGTTCTTGTTAACGCTGCATTGCCATCTTCACAGCCCTTGTGCGAGGGCTAAGCTTACATCTTCATTTTGGAGGAGTTTTGTCCCCACCTACTCCATAGCCTTGGTGAGATATTTGTCTCAGCCTTTATCCTGCTGATTCCTCCCATTTCCTTTTTTTAAAAAATAAGTTTATTTGAAAAATTATAATCCTAAAAAAAACAAAAAGAAAACTACAAACAACATCCATCATCAAAAACATCAAGCCCACTGGGTCAGCCCCCACACCCTTCTTTTCCATTTATGATAACTTAAAAAACATACTTAAATCTATGCGAAGTCCCGTTTCTCTAGCCAATAATAGTCCCAAGTTTGATAGAAGTCAGTATCTTCCTTCTCCTTCAATGATAAAGTCAATCTATCCATTTCTGCACAGTCCAGGATCTTTTTTAGAATCAGTTCATTGGTGGGTAGTTCTTCACTTTCCCAGTGTTGAGCGAATGCAATCCTCGCCGCAGTGATTACATGTAAAATCAAATACATTTCTTGTTTACTAATGTCCTCTGGTGTAATGCCTAATAAAAAAACTTCAGGTTTAAAAGCTTTGTAACATTTCCTCAAGCCATTTATGTATTTTAATCCAATACTTTTTCACATTATCATAAGTCCACCACATATGATAAAAAGTACCCAATTTATGTTTACATTTCCAACATCCATTTGGCATATTTGGAAACATCTTAGCTAATCTATTTGGTGACAGATACCATCTATAAAACATTTTATACAAGTTTTCTTTATACAAAGTTGCTAATGTTACCTTGATATTTCTCTCCCACAGCTTTTGCCACTTTTCTAATTCAAGATTATATCCAAAATTTTGTGCCCATGTTATCATAGTTTCCTTAACCTGTTCGTCTTCCATTTTCCTATCAAGTAAGAAGTCATATAATCTTTTAATCATTTTCTCATCTGATTTAAGCATCACTTGATCAAATGCTGTTGAGTCCTTATAAAAACCCCATGCTTTACAATCTTTAGCATATCTCGATTGTATCTGCACCTTATGCCACCAGGAGATATCAGCTCCCTGTTCTTGTCTGATTCCTCCCATTTCCAGTAGATGGTGATAGAGCATTGCAAGAATTTCATTTTTGTGGATGGACGAAATGCCAATTGCATACCTGTAACTGTAGTTCTTCAAGTAGCCATCTGTGCATTAACACACATGGGTGCTGCACCTGTGCAGTGCCTCCTTCAGGTAGATTTCTCTAGCTTAGCTGAGAACTTTCCGTGGAGCCCTCCCTCCCTCCCTGTAAATAAGGGTGGGTTCCCGCCATTTTGACAGTTCCTTGAGACCGGCATTTGCATCCAGTGTAGTTACATGTATGGAAAAAATCTAAGGAAATGGTACACAGGTCATGTCTTAAACCACTAACACCAATGTGGGGCTGATGGATGGGTTGTATGAATTCACAGATGACCACTCGAATAGCTACAGTTACAGGTATCTGCATTTCTTCAACATGGTCTCTGTGCATCACACAGATGGGTGACTAGCAAGGTGGAAGGTGATTATGGAGGTGGGAGGTGTTGCTAAGTGTATAATATTGGAGTAGCCTTTCAATCATTGAATATGAGAACATGTATTATATACAACAAAGTATATTAAGGTCAACGTGAACAGATCGAACTGGTATGTACATTATGCGTTTATACCTGAGCTAAACAGATGCAATCCACTATGATTTGAGTCCATAGACCTGCAAGGAATGGTGGGAGATTTAATAGATGTCGCAGTGATTGCAGTATGGAGGAGAGTTTTGCCCTTCCATAGGAGCAGTCCTTCCTCGCTTTAATGTCCAATTTGTAGATTTTAATAAATTTGACAGCATCAATCAAGTCACCGCTTTGCATAGTTCTTCAGTCGGGAGTCCCGCATGGAGCACAGTGGAAGCCGATGTAGCCCTTGCTGTTCTAATGGCACAGTGTTCTGTGTCCTCCCTCCAAAGGAGCTAGGCTTCCAGAGAGGAAGAACACCACAGGATAGTCCTCACTAGAAAATGAGGACAAGGCTGGGCTCTTGAGGGGCATGGCCAGCAAGGGTTGGACCCAATGGCCTTCATGGCCCCTTCCAACTCTACTATTCTATGATTGATTCTATGATACCATGAAGCTTCTCCACAACTTCTAATAAGACATTAATATGCTCCTGTACTGTTCTGCCTTTCTCTAGGTTCATGCGGTACATCATTCTGAAATTAGTATGTTCATGTCATCTTTGAAGTGGACTGCACTATCCCTTCACGTCTCATGTGAATTAATTGATCATAATCCACTGGATGCATTATTGTGGCTCTCACCTGCCCATTTTTCCTCATCCCACACTTCTGGATCATTTGCTACTTGCCATATGATTATCACCTGTTACAGCATTTCTATCTTGAATGTCTATAGGCGATAGCGCACACTATTCAATTTGACTAAAGAGATTTTGAGATCTGTGCTACTAGCCATAAAATCAAGGTTTTGTTTTTGTTGTTTTGCTGCTCTATTCTCACATTCAACATTGTTGATGCATGTTCTGTTTCCTCCTAAACTTTGTGGGTCCAGAGTTCTCTTTATACTGTCATAGCTGGACCCATAACCCTGTTGGTAAGTAACTTGAACAAACAGCTGAAGTATGCACAAGAATTTTTTACTTATGAACATGACAGAGAAGGAGAAGGTAAGTCCCAAGGCATCAACATGACTGCCTGTAGATATTAACTGTTGCAACAGATCGGCAGAGGCAGTGCTCGTGGGGTGGGGGTGGGGGGTGGGGTGGGGGCAGAGTACAGAGCAAGGGCAACAGGAACAACCTGGGAGCAAGTCCCATCAGAGTCACAGACTTCATACATTGAAAAACTAGAAACAGATTAAGACTGTATGTATATTGGCCTTAATTAAAAGCATCCCTTGCTTTAAATGGTTGTTTTACAACATATCTAGAATAAGAGTTCATTTTCTCCTTTCCTACATTAACTGAAATAAACTGCTGAAACTGCTGAAACCTCCCCCCATCCCCCTTTTGGGAAGTTGTTGATTTGCAAAGATCGAGTTTTCAATTGGTTGCAGACAAGGAGTCTGTTTCTGATTAAACCAAAGCTCAGTTGAGTAAATATTTTGAGACATTGCTCAGGCTTTCTCTTTTGCCATCACACTGCCCGGGCTGCCCTTGGCCGCTGCCGAAAGAATATCACCCTTGAAACTTACTGGCAATCCTTTGGACAGACCATCTTGCTTCATTTTTGCAACTGCACCAGTAACATCAGAGAACATGCAAAGAATAGAAGACCTAAAGGTAAGTCAGCCATAGTACTGACTGCCTGAATCTTGGAGCTTTGCCTGAAAGGTGAAAATTCCTCCTTGCTGCTCACCAACATAATTTGGGGTAGTCATGGTAGAGGATCTATGGAATATGTTGATCCAACCTGGGGGTGGGGGGATTGGAAGTCTGGTGGTAAATACTTTCACTGTGCAAGTAGGAAACTGATACCAACGTTTGCCTAAGCCTGGAGTGTCTTTGGAAGGCAGGTTACCTTTGTTCTTTGATTTGGGATGAGGATCCTTTCTATTGACTTCAACCCTAATCTGCTTGCATGTGATTTTTAATGCTACAGTATGCAATTGTTACACATTTAGGACTAGAAGAGGCCCTTCCCCTCCTTGCCACCCTCCGAGCCTCTCAGAGGCTGAGTGTCGGATCCAGGTAGATCAGGGTTGGGAGAGGCACTGAGACGGATAGTGCTGTCCCAAACCATGTAGGGCTTTGTAAGTTAAGACCATCACCTTGAATTGGGGCTGGAAGCATTCAGACGGCCAATGCAGGAGGGCCAGAACTGGTCTTATATGTTTAGACCTCCAGGTCCCAGTTATTAATCTGGCTGCCACAGTCTGCACCAGCTGCAGCTTCTGAACTGTCTTCAAGAGGCAGCCCCACATACACTGCATTGCACTAGCCTAATTTAGAGATCACAAGAGCATAGATTACTGAAACTGGGCTATCTCTGTCCAGCTGTGCCACCAGCCAAAGCTGGTAGAAGGAACTCTGAGCCACCGATGCCACCTGAGCCTCAAGTGCCCAGTGAGTAGATTATAGCAGGCCAGAGATGCTTCCAAGGTGTCCCTGGGATCAGAGTGTAATCAGCCCCAGACAAACTTGAAAAGCTCTGCTGGGCAGCAAAGAGAGGATTGGATAGAGGCAGTGAGGTGGTGTTTCTTTACCACCCCTACTGCCTCAAAATGTACCCGATTGTGGGCACAAGCCAGGTTTCTGCTGAATTCCCTGGGAGTTCTCCTCCACCTGCACTGCAGCCATCTCCTAAATTGTTTCATCACTCTCCCTCTCGTGAGGCTGGCGCTCCTTCCCAACGAAAGCAACGAACCCAGTTGTCATTACTAAAACCTTTATTCTACATAAAATTGTCAATTGCAACCACAAGAGATGATGCTAATGATGATGCTAATGATGATGAAGAAGTTGTCCTCTCTTTCTGAATGAGATCAGTTCACGGAATGCTTTTAACTTGCCTGGGCCATCCCTCAATGAACAGGTCCAACAAACCTCTCTCCTTCCATTGTTCCCACTGTCTTGTCTCCAGTTGCCCCAATCTGCGCATGCATCTGCGAGAGCGTGCATTTGCTACCTCCCCTTCTGGATCAAGGCTAACTTCCGTGTTCTCAAGACTGTTATCAGTGGGTGCCTCCACGGTTCACTTGGCAACCACCCGACTGCCCTCTGACTGCTGTATGCTTTCCATTCCTCCCTGAATCCTGTCCCCATCTGCACCCTCTTCTCTTTGAAGAGCTTCGTCAGGAAGTGGGGGGGGGCATTTGTACCACTGGGTCCAGGTACACATCCTCCTGCACCGAAGCCTGGTTCCCGCGGGAAGTCTCCCTCCCTCTCCTCCACATGCACCAAAGACTCTTCTCCGTCAGTGCTCACAACGCTCCCCTCCAGGGTGTATAGATTCTGTGTAACAATTACAGAATAAAAAATAAAAACAGCACACCCCCAACAGGCCTTCCAGAAAAAAGCGGTCTTTGCCTCCTGGGGGAGGGAGAGTAGAGAGATAGCAAAACTAGCCTTTCTTGGGAAGCACGCAGTCCTGTGGCCTGAGAGTATCTACCAAAAGGGCTGCCTTTTGGGTTGCCACCAGAGAGGCAGGTGGTGGATAGTAGCTTCCTCCCCGTCCTTCAGAGGCACACAGTATCCAAGCTGCTTGTGCAAGAGCATGCAGTTTCTCTTCTTCATGCCAATGCAGGGACTGGAACTTCAGTCCTTCGGCCGCTTCTGTTGTCTTACCAGATCCTGATCCATTTTGATAAAAATACCTTTGCCCAGCTTAAATGTGGCAGGTTGCTGTTCTGCCCTTCAATAACCACCTCCGCTAGTGCTAAGAAAATGAAAATGCAGCACAACATCAAAGGATGACTCCAAAAAGCATGCAATACAGAAACATGTTCACACGCCATACTTGTTTATTTTCATGGAGGGTCTAAACAACCTGTAGCTCATCAAGCTGAATGAAACAAACCAGGGACAGTGGTCCAGCAGGAGTTCAATAAGCCATTGCTTTTTTCTGCCTGCCAAGTACCAAAAAGAGGGAATAGCGTTGTGAAGGAACTGAAGGGTTAAGGCATCACTCAAATCAGGACCCTTTGTCTTTAAGCACTGTCTAGGCTACAGCATTTCAGACTCATTTCACTCTTTCTCTGGACAGGAAATCTTTAACCAATTTGTTGCTGGTTGGGGATGAATGGGGCTGTTATTTTTGGTGCACATTCCAAGGCTAGGCAGATTCAGACTCATCAGGTGGGTGGGGAGCTGGGAACCAGATTTCTCAAATGTTGAAATGGAACAAGCGAAGGGGTTTATCTCAAGGTCACCCTCCCTGAGTGTTCAGGAGGACACTGAGAATGGTCAGGATTTACAACTGCAGGCATTGGGAGCTGAGGTTCCTCCTTCACACATCAAAGCCACACACTTTTTCCTTGCAAAGCATTCTTCATTGACCAAAGGCACAAGACACCCAGAATGACTCTCTGAGCATGCACAGAGCAGTGTGTTGAACCCAATCCCAGTATCCACCTCCAGGAGCTTTCTTTATAAGCATGCCTGGATGCCATCCCTTCAGGAGGGGCCTTCTGAAAATGGGCACACTCCCACAGCTATCCTCTAATTGGGCTGCCCTCCTCTGCTGATGATGCATCATGGCATCAAGAGCCATGCCTACCTCATCTGCGTCTGAGAAACTCCTCTGCTCCAAGTCCCCTCCTGCATCTTGGTTATTCTCAGGGACTACCTGCCCACCTGGGGAGTCTGGCCTTGAGATTAACATCTCTGCTTTTCTCATCTCAGTGTCTTGGGGTGGCCCACATTCCTAGGCAACTTTCACTTGCATTCCTGATGGGAGACTAGATCATGGAAGCCAGATTCCTCTTAGAATGCCAAATTGATGGACTAGTATATACATTATAATGTATTCAGAGTATAAATTACAAATTCCTTTGCTTTAAATTGTTGCTAATTTATTACTCATTTGCCTCTGTTAGGGTCATTCTAGTCCTAATGAAGCTCACTGAACTTTCTCCCATGCTTCAGACATACTACATGAAAAGGTCTAGGGCCTGATCCCCCTTGCAGGGACCAGCGAATTTAAGCTACTAATCGCTTGCACTTGTTCTGAACTTGGATCCTCCAGGAATTTGGAAACAGGATTGGGGTCAGAAATCGTCCTGCTTTCTTATAGATGGATCACCTGATGTGCAAATCTGCAGAACATTAAATGCATGGAGTCTATTTTGTATAGTTCATTGGAGCCTAAGGAGCACCTCCTGAAGTACTAGTTTGTGTGAAATGTTTTTTTCTTTTACAGTATATGTCAGGATTTGGTAATGAGTTCAGCTCTGAAGATCCACGTTGTCCTGGAGCATTGCCAAAAGGACAGGTATTTGAGTCAACTGGACTATGAGAAAGATCCTATTCCCATTACAGAAGAACATAGCAAAAGTCATGCTAGGTCAGGCCAAAAGTTCTTCTAGTGCAGCACTCTGTACACATGGTGGCAAACCAGCTACCCAAGGATCCCTCCAGCAGGATGGGCGTGAGGCCTCCTCCTGCCCCAGCTCCCCACCAACGGGTGTCTGCAGGCATGTAACCTCTGGGAGAGGAGGAGGCACACAGCCAGCAAGGCTAGTAGCCACTGACGGCCTCCTCCCTCGTGAGTCTGTCCAGTCCCTTTCTAACGCCATTCAGCCTGGCAGCCATCACCACTTCCCATGGCAGCGAATTCCATCGTTTAACTATATGCTGTGTGAAAAAGCACTTCCTTTTATCTGTCCTAAACCTTCCTCCAATCAGCTTCATGGATGACCCCAGATTTGGGAGTTATGGGGGAGAGAGAGAAATACCTCCTTTGGCTACACCATGCATTATTTTAAACACTTCTATCACCTCTTATTCTTTTTTCTTAGCTGAACAGCCTTAGTTGTTGTAGTCACTTCTCATGGGGGAGCTGCTCCAAACCCTGATCGTTTTTTTTACCCATCTCTATACTTTTTCCAACTCAATAATAGCCTTATTCAGGTGAGGCAAACAGAAACAAACAGAATATTCCAAGTTATTGTTAGGCATTATGCATTCCAGGAGACCTGGATGCTTCTAGATGTGACTCTTTTATTCTAGAGTCACAGCAGCTCATTCATGGAATTTTACTTTATGTTCAGATGATGACATCTTTGTAGCCCTCTCAGTGCATTTTCCCATTTTTCCTGTTACTATTAAAAATCTGTTAAGAAAAGATGGAATACCTACACCAATTAGTGCTAGGAGCCCTCTGTCTGGAGTGACCTTCAGTCCTCCATGATAATTTCCAGCACCGATTCATCCTGCCCTGATTCATCCATTAACTTTGCAAATACGCATTTTTGTATCCTGTGTAAGAAACTGGCTTGGGAAGGCAATTTTGCACATGCGAGCCATAGGCAGCGGTGCTCCCCTACAGCTTTCCCAACCCAAATTCTCTCCTCCCAGATCTGCCTTTCTGTAAATACATAGATAATAAATTGTGTTAGAGCTTTAACAACTAAATGCTCATAGAGGCCTGGCTTGCAGGACATGCAGAGCCATGGCAGCTTATAAGCCATGTTAGCATGCTGTACTAATCCAGAATAATTTTTTGGTACTTGATGTATGGAATGCAAATCTCCACGTAACTATACCCGGTTTTGTCCCTTGTCATTGTCCCACAATCGGGGGATTGTCTGTCTCCAGACTAGTACCACATTCTTGTGCTGGATACTGGGCCAGGAGCAGAGGTTGTTAATGCTCCGCCAGTGGTAGGTAGTTGCAGAGGGGACTCATGGAACTACTCAAAAGATGAGTTCAGCCAACCAGCAGGATCACTGTTCTCTGATGCATTTTATCCATTAAGCAGAAAACTTCTTTCTTATAACTTGTGATCTGTTTTGATTTAGAATAACCCTCAGAGCTGTCCATATGGTCTTTATGCTGAGCAGCTGTCAGGCTCAGCATTCACCTGCCCACGATCTACAAACAGGAGAAGGTATGCATGGATCATGGATGGGGAAATTAGTTACAGGTGAAGACATGTAGGGAGTTTGGGGGTGAGATTGCAATGCCAATTCACTTGTCTAATACAGGTTTGAATTAGCCACTTTGCAACCCAAATGGTAAAATGTTACCATTGTAAAATACTGTGGAGTCAACATTTTAATTGCATTGATTTGAATTTATTTGTTTATTGATATATAATACCTGGAAAATTTGCATTAGTCCAGAAAATGGCATAAGAAAGAAATCAATATAATAATCACGTTTTAATAATGACATTAGAATTGTTTAAAATGTCATTGGCAAAGTAATCAAAGCAATCTGAGTAGGAATTGTAGATTTTTTTCTTAATTTCCTTCCAGAAATAACATATAAGCGAATAGCAAAATTCAGATTCTTCCATCTCTATCAGAACTGGAAGAGAAAGGAAAGCAGGACAGAAGGAAAAGGAGAATAAAACACAAAGGGAATGAAGCTGGAGTCTGTCTCCTTAGTAAAATGATCTGGATGTCTTTTTAAAGCATGCATACCATATGTTTTCTATCTGTTCGATAATAGAGAACATGGCTGGATATCTTATTCCACCATTCATAGTCCGCAGTCTCTTCAGGGAAGAAATGGCCACTGTTTATTTCATTGTTTTCATTGCATCATTATCACATACTACACCAGCAACCTCCAAAGCAGGCTAAGTAATTAACAACCACACTGATGCCTGTTGTTGCTCCTTTGGCATCTTACCAGAGAGGAAGAGTTTTTTGCTCTTAACATCAGTCCAAGCAGCAAGACCCAACTTCAGCTGACACTTCAGACTCAACAAAATTGCAAGCTGGATTTGTCTACTGTAGGACATCCCATCCTTATGGGAAGTTTGCTTTGGAAACTCCAAGAGCCAGTGATCACTTGGGCTAAGCAGCGCCAACCAAAATTTTGCTGGCCCCGGCACTACCATTTTTTGCCAGAGGGGGAAGGCTTTTTGACTTTGATAGTGGTAGTCTTTTGTTGTGCTTAACAATCTTCATTTGTTACTGAAGATTATCCTAAATATATCTAACTGAACTTGTGGAGCATAGAACTGGAAGGCAGTTCAAAGATTATTTCGTCCAATCCCCTGCTAACAATGCAGGAGGTTCACTATTGGAGCACCCAGATGTTCTGCCTCTGCTTAAAACTGCAAATGTGGAAGAGCCTACCTTCTTCCAGGGCAGTCTCTTCCACTGCAAAACAGTTCTTCCTTATGTTCGGTCTTTTTTTTTGTGCGGGGGTGGGGGGGGGAATGTAATTTGCTAATGATTTCAGTTCTACCGTCTAAAGCTGCAAATGAATTTGCCCTATCTTCTATGTGACACCCCTTCAAAATATTTTGAAATGGCTATCATATTGCTTCACAATCATCCTTTTGCTAACATTTCTCATAAGACTTGATCTAGTTTGTGTCATCCTCTCCCTTCTAGAGGAACCCTCTTCAGACACTGAACTGGAGCCTTTTGAGCAGGATTCCTTGGTAAACAAGATGCTTCAGGGATGCAAGATCCCTCAGGAGAAGGGACTTCAGATCTTCCCCCTCAAAAGCTTGAGGCTGTGCTTCCGAGTCAGAGGAAGCACCCACCTGCCCCCAAGCACACCTGCACCTGAAGGCCGTGAAAACCATGGCTAGGCAAAGCAGTGCATTCTCACAAAAGGCCTCCCTGTGTACGAGGCCCTTCTCAGAAGTAGGGCTTTTGCCAGGGGGACTGTAACAGAGCGCAGCTGATGCTCTTCTGAAAGCACAGTGCTCAAAACTGGATCTAGCACTCCAGATGAGGTCTGGCCAAATCACAGTAGAGTACGAGTGCCCTCATTTTTTGCGCTCTGGATCATGTACTTCCACTGATACAAATGCAAAAACGTGTGTGAGTGGCATTCAAATTACATTTGAAGAACAGCAAGATATCATGCATTATTAAAGCACAATGGAACAGAATAATCTTTACTGCCCATTTATAGCAAAGTAAGGAGGCTAAGTCTTATGAGGAAATGTTGAAGGATTAGGAATACACTTAATGTGGCAATCTCGCCTTCCTTAGGTTAAGTACTTTATACAAGATCAGTGCACATTCGCTCTCCTGTTTGGTGCTTCTTTTGCACCATGACAAAGAGGAGAGACATTCAATGGAGAAGAAGAATGTGCAGCCAACACAGAACATATTAAAGCCAGCAGGAAAGAGGGTGACCGCCTTGCAACCAATGTGCTACATGGAGGAAGAACCACCAGCATGTTTTGGGTTGAGTGTTGCAAAAATGTGTTTTGCCCAGGACTGCAATACTGCTCTGAGAGGGAAGATATCTGGCAACAAAATGAATAACCACCTTGCATTTGCTGTATTAAAGTAGTGGGGGTGGGAAGAGAGAATGGATGCAGAAAGGCTGCTGAAATCCAAAGAGAGAGGCAGGACTTCTTGCTGAGGCCTTTGTCTCAGTGTGTGTACACTTCCATTTGCCCTCAGTAAAGCTTTGGTTGGCAGGTGCAGTACTCAAACCTTGGAGTTACAGAACCTTTTGCAACTGAGAATGAGGACATGAAAAGCTCCTTCCCTTCATGTCAGCTGGCTTTTCTTCTACTGCTCCTTAAAGCTGGAGCCAGAACTGTGGTGGAGCAGGTTGTGGGGGGAGGGGGGAGCGTCTAGTGCTGCACTGACCCTGGAGAGCCAGAGGAGCTAACATGGGCCTTGATGCACCAGTGGTGACTCAATGTCACATGTTCAAGGGATTTCCCTTGTCTAGTCTGAGTAGGGATCCATTAGTTACCAGGAAGTTGCTGGCTAGAGATACTTCAAAAAGCCAGCAAAGCCCGGCATGTCAAGGGAGTCTTTGGATAGGCAATTTATCCTCTCAGCTCTGTGTTTGTGTTTTCTCTAGCTGGCTGTACAGAATCCTGCCTTCTGTTTGCCATAAGCCCTTCCAGCCGATGGATCAGGGTTATCTGACACATAACTGGAATGAAACCGCTCCGGATCCCAATCAGGTATGTATGTATGTATGTATGTATGTATGTATGTATGTATGTATTTAGGGGACTTCTATGCCACCCCATTCGCCGAAGCCTCAGGGCGGCTCACAACCATAAATAAATAGAATACAATAAAACAATATAAATTAACAATATATCTCCCAGCATAGGTTACCATACAGGGTGAACAAGGCTGTTTTTTCTGGACTGAAATGGGTCCAGAAAATCAGGCTTATCCCAGGAGAGCAAGGGAAGGAAGGTGGAGCAGTTCCAGGATGCCGCAGTAATCTGGCTTCTCCAGGCTCTTTCCCTACACCGAGACCTGTCCCTGCCCTTCAACCATTTGCTCCTCTGCAAGATTACTCTATTGATCTTGGAAAGCAGTAGGCACAGTTGTTTCTATACCAGTGGCAAGGGTTGGGGCAAGAGAATCGGAACTCCAGTTTCCAGCTACAAGGTGCTGTCTCGGCCTCAGATCTGTGAAGCCAAACTATTCTCTGGCCTCTCAGATGCTGTTGAGGGGTGTAAGATTGCTCCCTAAATGAACCAAAGAACACAAACCAGAGACAAATACATTTGAAAATGACAAAAGATGACAGACTGAAAAGGAATGATTTCAGTTCCCTTTTGCTAACTGCATATATATAGGTAATGCTATCTGAGGGGCAGGAAAGAAGGGTAATGGAATCAAAACCTTGGCAGTGGGATAGGGTTAACATGCCGGAGGCCAGGGTGATGGGAACTTGAGCCCTGACTTGCAGGAAAGTATCTCAAGCCCCTCTTTTATTACAGACAATGCTGGCCATTAGATGTATAACTGCCAGATATATGTAAGGTTTTACAGTCAGAGGTCTGGGCATATACGTCCCAGAAAAAGTGGCAAGCTGGCCTCAGGAGCTGCTTCCTAGCGACTGAAGTGCCTCTCCCACTGCTATGTCATCTCTATGGTCCCCTCTCCTAGGTTTGTTAATACTGAATCACCAGAAAAGGGACATGCAGTATCAAAAAGACCACTCTCGTTCCTTCTTCCCTGGGTGTGAGTGTGGATCGGCCTTGGAGTGAGAGGGCAAGGACATGATGGGAAAAAGGGCAACAAACGGGAGGTGAACCCCCATCAGAAACCGCAAACTGGAAACCGTGTATCCCACCATGTCTTCCCAACAATTCGATGTTGGGAAAATTTGGGTAAATCCTGTCTGAAAAGCATTACTTTTGTGTGTGCTTTTGAATTGTGGGATCAAATCCTGTCTTCCTTCTCAAAAACCAGTCACTGTTTAAAATGGCATTCCCCACTCCTTTCTCTCACCTTTAGCTGTGGGCTACAGTAGACAGGCCATTCAGTCCAAATATACATTGTAAATAGTCATTGTTGGAATTCAAGGAAGTATCTTCCTAGCCCAGAGGCTCCATGTGCCCTGGCCAATTCAGAATGTTTAGAGTCTAGATAAGAGTCTTGAGCTCATGCATAGTTTCAGTGGCTTGAATTTACATGTCCAAGCAGACCTGGAGATGAGTTCAAGCTACTGAACTAAAGTGTCAATACAGGCAATTGGACATATTGTAATCTCATTGTTACTGTGTGATTGACTGATACTTCTTTATCTGTTCTGTATGTGATGACCTCAGAATCTTATCGTAATCTCTACATTCTGTCATCAATTGCCCTGTACCTGTATGACTGGGAGTGTATAAAAACTCTCTAGTTGTGTTGAAGCTTTGCAGCAGAGTTCACTCTGCCTGCCCGGTAATGCATGCATTATCGTGAGTACCGCGGGAACCTTGGGGTAAATACAATAAAGCCTCAGATGGTCTGGACGCTTGGTCTTTCCCACGAACCCGAGTTTTATTCCCTCTTCTCAAATTGAGATTCTGGGATTCTGACATCGGTCAGGTAGATTAGGCTGAGAAACCTGAAGGCCCCACTTCCTTATAATGTATGATGCAGTAACCATGCATCATACAGGCTGAGGATGCAAGAAGAATGCAAGCACATCGTTCTGGATATAGACTGGGGTATAAAAGAGGATCTGCTTTTTGAAAAGGACAGAATTTATTTTCTAGAATATTTCTTTCTAGCTGCGATGGAAACCTTTTGAAATCCCAACAACTTCTCAGAGAAAGACGGACTTCATAACTGTAAGTTAAGAAACTAGAGAGTTTATGAATTTCTTCCTAGAGCTTTGTGTTGAGAAATGGTGCTGTTTACTTTGAAACGGAGGAACTTTAGAAATGGTGAAGATACTTAATTCCTGCATGTAAATGAAGTATACATACTTTTTATCCATTCATTGGGGGAAAAAACTAGGCAGGCAGAGATCAAGGGCTTAGTTACTGCTTTTCTGAGGTGACTTCTATTTTCTTTGCAAGGGTAAAACCGTATCTCTCACAAATCTTTCTTTCTTTCTCTCTTTCTCTCTCTCTGTCTGTCTCTGTCCTTCTTTCTTTGCCTTTATTCCATTTCACAGATGGTGCTTTGATAACAGCAGGATTGCAAATGTACACAGGGATTTCCTAGCAGTTTATGACAAGATAGGGGAATTGAATATCCTCAGTCTAAATAAAGCCATGAAAGTTGTAAAAAATGAGAGAGGCAACGAAGGATGACAGTGTTGTTTAAAGGAGCTGGTGGCTACCATGAGTGAAGGCTCATGGGCACACAACAGATGCTTCATGCACAGAAACCCAAAAAGAAACACGGTACAAGAACCTAAACTGGCTTGCAAAGGAAGAGGGACTAGGTGGCTGCAGCAGCCCCACAGGCGCTTGGTCCAAAGCAAAGCATGGATAACTGTGCAGGGAAGCAGTGGTGTGCTACAGCTGGCCTCTGGGAAGTAGCGCTACCCACGCATGCGTGCTCTGGGAAATTCTGCAACAGATAGATCGCTTTTTTCCTCAGGAAAGCAGACGACAAATGTCATGAACTAGTTCATCACTGAGTTCATGGTGGCCTTGCCTTCACTTTTAATTGCAATGCATACCAGAGACATGTAGGATTCTGACATTGCCTCTGTGTTCAAAATGCATGTGTGAGTTTTAATTGAAAATAGTCACCGTGAAGTGCTTCTGTAAGGGTGAGAGATTTTTACTGATGGAATGAGACCAACCAAAGTGACTCTCGTGCTACTCATTCCAACCTTGGTTTTGCTAGGGGCTGCATACGCTGTGTGGTGCTGGGGAGCCCAGGTCTCGGAACGGACTCGCCATCCATATCTTCACCTGCAACACCTCTATGATCAACAGGTGTGTAAGTCACGTGAGCACATTCAAGATTGCAGCTCTGCCTCGGACTAATAGTAAATATGGCTGCAATTTACGCTGAGCTTGTCAGGAGAGAGATCTACCCCAATTACCCACACTTTTATTTCCCACATCTTTCTTCTTTTCATGCATTTCATTTGTAAGTGTTTAATTGTCACTGAAGTGGTTTGAGGATGTCCATATGACACAAAAGCACTCTCCAGCTTGTCCCATACACATCCAAAACCTTATGAAAACGTTGATAGGCTATTTCTGGCAACCACTAAATGTGTTCCAGCTGCCATTGATGCCTTAAATGTTCTTGTAAAAAGACAGAACCAAATTGGTTATCCTTATTGGATAGCTGAATAGTAGTTGGCATAAGTTGGGAGAGGAGAAAACATTGCATGACTTTCTGATTTCAGAGAATTCAGCTCCAGCACCTACATTGTACCAGATATTTCAGCTGCTTTCTTCTGCTCCCCTCCCAAAATTTCCTGTGGCAGGTTGTCCACCCCCAGGCTCCTCCTCCTCACAGATGGCTTCTGGAGCCAGTTAGACCTCTCCTCTGGCCCAGGGCAGGTGCTCGACACACCTTTGCAAGGACTCCTGGCTCATGGCATGATTCCCCTGCAGCATTGCTCTAAGTCTAGCCTGTCATGAGGAGAGTGCTACCAAAATTCATCACCCAAATTGCAGGAGTATTTACTTGCACACATGTTTAGTTAATACTTTAGAATTTTCTGAGGTAAAATAAATAAATGCTTAAAATAAGTTTTACTGAAATCAGTTTGACTTCTTTCAAAAGCCTGATTCTAGAACAAAGTTCCATTGTATATATTTATGATTTCATAAGCATCACCTGTTCTTTTTTCTGCATAGATGCTTTTCCAATTCTGATGGGGATTTCCTGATTGGTGAGTTGCCAATTTGTTATTTCTGTTTTATTTAAAATTGGAGTATTAATACAGCAGTAGTGTCTAGAAGGGCTTTGGAGTTGTGTTACATGTAGAGAGTAAGATTAGATAATCAAAGCATTACTCTGTAAAGTAACCAAGCACCATCTACTCCAATCTGTTGTCCTTATGCAGTATCTTCCCCTTCCCCTCATTCATCTGTTTATGACTCATGGTGTTGCATGAATAAAAAGAATAATTATCTATGATATCCAGATTATAGTAAATCACAAATACTGTGGATAACATGCAAAAAGTCTCCTGAGAATGTCAGAAACAATTTATATTTGCTTAACAAATGATTGCTGGCTAGCCAACCTGACATGAGGGGTGAATTCTATTGAAACTCCAAATGTGATATAAATTAAAGGGAATATGAAACAAGATGCATCCAGCAGGTACCTCTTAGAAAGCATCCTCTGGACTTTCAAAGTCCATTGCACATTCCATCTTCACTTACAGCAAAGGGTAGTACTCCCTGACCATCTGAATCTAAGCTTTGTGAGTCTGTTAGCCTGCCCTTTGTCTTGGCATAGAGCCACATGAGTTGCTAGGATTATTATTATTAATAATTTTATATCTATACTTTCCAATAGCGGAAGTTCTCTAGGCAGTGTACAATTGATAACATACAAATGACAGTAACGATAGAAAATTTCACTAGAGCTTTAAAATGGAATTCTTATTTATTAAAAGGTTTTCTATCCCATCCCCTATAGAATGTCTCGGGACGGCTTAAAATAAATAAGTAGAATAAAACAACCCCACATTATCCGACCATTAATATACTAAAACCCCCGTTAAAATCAATTAGACAGTAAAATAATGGGAAAATAAAAAGGGGGTTGCCTGACACCAAAAAGAATATAACGTTTGTGCCAGGCGAGCCTCTCTGGGGAGCGAATTCCATTCCATAGTCGGGGTGCCACCACAGAGAAGGCCCTCCTTCAGGTACTCTTGCTCCTAATCTCATTCAAGGAGGGCTCCTGGAGCAGGACCTCCGCCTCGGGTCTCAAGGGGCATGAGGGTACATAAGGAAGAAGGTATTCCCTCAGGTATCCCGGACCTGGCAGCAAATGGAAGATTGGATAAAGGCAGTGGGCTATTGCTTTTTTGCAATGCTCAGTGCCCATAGCAGGACTTGAATGCATCCACTAGGAATCCCCCAGCCCCACCTGCACTCTGGAAACAAGCTGGATTCATTAGCGTCTGGGTTCATTTGTTCACCCTTCCAGGGGGAAAAGTCACTTGTAGATTCTAATGCCCTTAAAGTAGAAATGTGTACTAATAAACAAGGAAAAGATGCAAAGTGTTTGAAAAACCACTGTAAGTAATCTGCTAGTAGAAAGATGAATGAATATATGAAAACCAATGGGCTACAAAGTGGTATAGAAGTGAAATAAATAAGTAAACCAAAGGAAGAGACTCTCTGGCCTTCCAAGTGTTTCTGCTGTGCAATACCCACCAGTCCCAGCCAGCATAGCCAATGGCTAGGGATGATGGGAGATGCAGATAAACATCTGGGGTACAAAAGCTTTCCCACTTCTTTGTAGACCATGTTCTCAGGGACTGGAAGTGCTTCATTCCTCCATCATATTTGTGTCTCTCCAGTACCGCAGCAAGGAAGCTTGCTCATCACTACAGAGTTTGGCAAGTTGCTGGTTGAGCCTGGTGAGATCTGTGTCATTCAGGTAAGTACTGGGGCTGTCCAACGCTCATGCATCCTTCTGTGCTCTGCTTCCTCACAGCCTAAATGTCAATGGCAACATGTCTCAACTGTTATTTAGCCCAGAGTGGTTATGTAATAATAACCAGTAGCTATTCAAGGCACACGGATTTATACTACTCTGTGTCCAATAAGGTATCTGAGCAGTGAACAAACAAAAAAATAATGACAGAAGCAGCAGAACAAGAACAAATGCAGAATTGAAACACAGATTCAGTAAACTGAGACTTATCCATATTCACTGAAGAGCAGCATCTATATGCCTTCTATTCAGTTATTGCCTGCATTTTTAGGTCCTCAGTCCATTGGATTGTATAGGAAACATTTATCCCTCCAAAGTGGCAATATTATTCTTTTAATGAAAAATACATTACTTTGAAAATGCATTAGCTTCCAAAAACAAGTAACTAAGAGAATGTATGCATCAGGAAATATGCAGGGGGAGTGCATCCCTGTTGGTCCTCCTGGACCTCTCAGCGGCTTTCGATACCATCGACCATGATATCCTTCTGGATAGGCTAGCGGGATTGGGAGTAGGAGGCACTGCTTTGCAGTGGTTCCACTCCTATCTCAATGGCCGATTCCAGAAGGTGGTGCTGGGGGACTATGGCTCTGCACCATGGCAGCTATGCCATGGAGTACCGCAGGGGTCCATTTTGCCCCCTTTGCTGTTCAACATCTACATGAAACCGCTGGAGAGGTCATCAGGAGGTGTGGGCTGCAGAATCATCAGTACGCTGATGATACCCAGCTCTACCTCTCTTTTTCAACCAATCCAGGTGAGGCAGTGGCTGTACTGAACCGCTGCCTGACCGAGGTAATGGGCTGGATGAGGGCCAGTAAACTGAAGCTCAGTCCAGACAAGATGGAGGTCCTGTTGGCAGGCGGTTAAGGCTTCGGGGTAGGGGACCTGGACCTTGTCCTGAATGGGGTAGCACTCCCTCTTAAGGACAGGGTCCGCAGCTTGGGAGTGCTTCTCGACCCAGAGCTGTCGTTGGAAGCTCAGGTGACTGCGGTGGTAAGGAGTGCTTTCCTTCAGCTTCAGCTGATGCATCAGCTGCGTCCCTACCTCGAGAACTATTGCCTGGCGACAGTGACACACGCATTGGTTACTTCCCAATTAGACTTCTGTAACGCACTCTACGTGGGGCTGCCCTTGAAGACGGTCCAGATACTTCAGATGGTGCAAAGCAGAGCTGCCAAGTTGCTGACGGGGACTGGGCGTTGTTCTCATATAACCCCAGTCCTCTGTCAGCTTCACTGGCTCCCCACTGAAGTCTGGGCCCAATTCAAGGTGCTGGTTATCACCTATAAAGCCCTTAATGGCTTGGGACCTGGTTATCTAAAGGAGCGCCTGCGTCCATATTTGCCCTCCCACCCCTTCAGATCGGTGGCAGAGGCCCTTCTCCGGGAACCCTCTGTGAAAGATAGGAGGGTGTGTACCTGGAGGAGGGCCTTCTCTGCGGTGGCACCCCGCTTATGGAATGCACTCCCCAAAGAGAGGTCCGCCTGGTGCTGTCGTTATTTGTTTTTTGGCACCAGGCCAAGACCTTTTTATTTAAATGTTATTTTAATAATTGCTGGTTTTATTTATTGATTTTAAATTATTATGCCAGGATGTTTCCAGTTTTTTATGTATTTGTATAGATAATTATTTATGTGTTGGAAGCCGCCCCAAGGCTTATGCGAATGGGGCAGCATACAAGAATTCCAAATAAATAAATAAATAAAATACCAAAAAAATGTCCGAACTGAAATTTTATCTGCATAATAACTTTGCAAACAGAGGTGAGTACTGGACATTGCCAATATATATGATTAAAGGAAATAGTTAACTGTATTTCGCCTTCAGGTATTAGCCAACATAAACAAACACATACTGAAGAGATGTTAGGACTCAGTTGGAGCAGCTGTGAAAAAGCCATGGCAGAAAGGAATCACAGCAATGTGTCTTTTAAGCAACACTGTGGCTAGTTACCTTTCATATAGAGGGACCACAGCCCTTCGTTCTGTGACTATGATCCTGACAATGTGATCAGACAAGGCTTCTCATATGGATCTGGATCTGAATTAGCTTCCACATCAGTCTGGATGCACTTCTAAGAACTCATTACTTGTAGTTATTTGAACTCCCTGAAAGACTGTGATTTTACAACCTTGTACAATTTGTGTCAGATTTGGATACCTGAGTGTGTCTCCCTCAGAACATCCACAGTCCCTTGCAGAAGTGGCCAAGCCCCTTTGACTTTTCCATAATGTGTTGTGTCACAACCTGAGAAACAAAATTAACATAGCAAAATGTGGAAAACTCAAAAAGGAATGTGAATACTTCTGCAAGGCACGCTACATAGCATGCATTGCTGCAGCACTTCCTTTTGTTTCTAGACATGTTTTTTCTGTTTAAAGTCAAATTCCGTGTCATTTAGAAACCTAGACAGAGTGGCAGAAAACCTTGAGAATGTGAAAGCACTAATACAGAAGATGGTGTTACTTAGCTTCACACAAGACTCATTCATGCACTTGAAAATTGCCATGCAGGTTTTAAAGAAGACAGATATAGCGGGCATGATGGAAACCTGATGGAATGGGCAGAACAAGTGGGATACTGTCATTTCTGGAGAGACAGGGAAGGGTGTACTGCAGGTGGACTTGGTCTGCCCGTGAAAGAGAATGTAGTGTCAAGCAGAGCAGAAATCCTAAACGGGTCTGACTCAGCTTCAGAAATACTATAGCTGCCAATATGAGGTTCCAATACTAATTTGGTCTTGGGAACATGCAATTGTTGCCCAGACCAGAACATTCAGAGTAATCACAAGATGGAAAATGAAACCATTGACTTCAGTAACCCCCATATTGACTGGATAAATGCATGTTCTGGTCATGACAAAGAGGTGCTTACCTGTGCTTGAACTGAGGTCAGGATGGCAGTCTGAGGAACTAAAGCAGAAAAGTAGTGACTAGAGATAATGTATACTGATCGAGATGCATGTAATTTATGCATGGTGTGAGGAAAGTGGGTAAGGAGACACATACAAGAGTGTGAGGCCATTCAATGAAATGGAGATCCAGGGCACATAAAAGGACTTCAGAGAGCACATAGCTAAGCTATGGACTTCACTGGCTTCAGTGCAGTGAATGGCCACAAATTTGAAAGGCTTTAAAAGCCATTCATGGAGGATAAGGCTATGAATGCCTACTAGTAATGATGGCTATGCCGTATATCCAGTGCCTCCACACACCAGTTGCTGGGAGACAGGAGCAGAAGCATGTCATTGCACTTCTGCCCTACTTCTGGGTTCCCTAGAAGCTTTTAGAACAAGATGGAGTAGATGCTACTTTCAGCTAATTTGGGGGATGTAATAGTCATGTTTTCCATGTTCTCTTATGTCAGTTTTAACATAAGCACATTCTTTCTATTTAAAGTTGCTCTCCCAACTTGAACTAAAATATTGTGTAAATGTACTGCTGCTGTACAGTAAGAAACCTGCAATGATAAGCCTCCAAACATTGCCACTGTAAGGCCAGCAAGGGAATCCAAAGAGCTTTATCTAAAGTGATTTTAAATAAAGTATTTTTAAAGACTGTTTTGGCATCCTAATGTAAGCAGCGGCAGCTCTGTGTTGTGGTTTTGCTATTTTGATCAGTTCCAGTTGAGGAAGCTGCATTGTGCTTCTTTATCATTACCAGGAAATCAGACTGATCTTTAGACATTGTGGCCCTTGACTGATCCATAGAAATTGTGGTGGCCAATCTTCTCTTAGTCCAGAGAAATAATCTTGAGCTGAACTGCATAAGCTTATGCTTTGTCTCCTCCAGGAAGGGATGCGTTTTAGTGTGGAAGTGTTTGGAGAAACCCGGGGCTATATCCTGGAAGTATATGGCATACATTTTGAGCTACCTGACCTAGGACCTATTGGTAAATATTACTTCAATAATAATGGTAATAAATGGTAAATATGTTCATTGCAATAAAAACAATTTTATTAGAATTATCTAAAACATTGCAAAGTAGTTGGCAAGCTTCTGAATTTCTTTTGGCTAGATGTTTGGCTAAATGGAGAGATAAGATTAGTGGAGTGCAGAAGAAAAAGATGTTTCAGACATGTAATGCTGATTCAGTCTAATAAGGACGAAGGACTAATTCATACATGAACTACCCTATTTCCCTGAAAATAAGACCTAACCAGAAAATAAGCCCTAGCCTGATTTTTCAGGATGCTCATAATATAGGCCCTACCCCCAAAATAAGCCCCAGTTGAGATTGTCAGCCAGATGGACACATTTAGTATGTCCATTGCAATACAATTCGGGGTTTGGAGAGTTATGATGATGTTCCAGAAGAAGATGGCATGACTGTATTTGAATAAATGTAGATTTTTGTACATGAATAAATGAATAAATGTAGATTGTTGTACATGAAAAAATAAGACATCACCTGAAAATAAGCACTAGTGCATCTTTTGGAGCAAAAATTAATATAAGACCCCGTCTTATTTTTGGGGAAACATGGTAGCACTGCTAAATTCCCACCATACAGTTAAAAGGTAAAGGTTTCCCCATGACATTAAAGTCCAGTCATGCCAGTCTCTTGGGGGCGGTGCTCATCTCCCTTTCCTAGCCGAGGAAGCCAGCGTTTGTCCACAGACAGTCTCCGTGGCCATGTGGCCGGCATGACTAAACACTGAGGTGCACAGAACACTGTTACCTTCCCACCAAAGTGGTACCTTTTTATCCACTTGCCTTTGCATGCTTTCGAACTGCAAGCTTGGCAGGAGCTGGGATGGAGCATGGGAGCTCATCCTGTGCGCGGATTCAAACTGTCAACCTTTTGATCAACCAGCCCAGCAGCTCAGCAGTTTAACCCACTGCGCCACCGCATCCCTACCATACAGTTATGTTTTCACAATTTCCATATTATCCAGTGAATCTGGTTGGGAGAAGATTCAAGACAAATAAAAGAAAATGTTTCTTCATGTGATTTAATGGTGGGACTTTCTGGCAAATGATATGGCACTAAGGGGACGGCACAAAAATAATAAATCTTGTCAATAGATATTAGCCTGTTAGCCAAATGGCATGCTTAGAGCAGTTTATCTCTGAATGTCAGATGCAGAAGACAAATAGGAGAAAACAATCACTTCTATGGTGCAAAGTTGGCTGCTTTGCAAACTGACCACTAAGCTCTGATACAATTCATCTGTTCTTGTTTCAAGGTAGCTATTTCGGAATTTTAGCCTCCTGTAGTAACAGGGGTTTATATATTACTAGATCTTACCAATATCACGTGATATTTTAATATGTATTAATTGGATTTTATTGTTTGTATTTTATTGGATTTTCAGCCAGCATGGAATAGTTAATTTATTTTATTCTGATTAATGTTGTAAGCCGTCCAGAGATGGAAGTAATGGACAGCATACAAATTTTATAAATAAATAAATATTGATAGATTGCATTCTCCAGTCTGGTGCCCTCTAAATGCTTTGAACTTCAACCCTAGAATTTCTGACCATTGGCTATACCAAGCAAGGTTGATGGGAGTTGAAATGTCAAACAACTGGAAGGCACCATTTTGGGGGAGGCTGTAGATTCGCTACTGGATTCACCAATACTGAACCCTCGTACTCTGGTGAACATGCAGCTTGGTCTACAACTTCCCAGATTCTAGCTATAAGAGATTTATCCATTATAGTAATAGGCAAAAAGTGTTATATAGCAAAAGCTATAGTATAAAATATTTTTATCTGAAATATAGAGCAAATCGGACAGCAGTGTTCAAATGTACAAATGGTTACAAAGTCCTGCTGCTTGTTTCTCTCCTAGGAGCCAATGGCTTGGCTAATCCACGAGATTTCCTTGTGCCAGTTGCTTGGTATGAAGATCGCCAAGTAGCTGAGGGTTACACCGTTGTCAGCAAATACCAGGGGAAACTTTTTGCAGCACAACAGGTTGGGAAGTTAAATGTTCAGTTTTGAGAATGAAAAATATCATTGATATCAAAAATATCATTAATAGTCACCCATGAAGGGGTGGTATATTGGCCCATTAGAAGCCCAGGCAAATACTAGGTATGTCTACTTTAAGTAAGGGGGTCTGTGCAGCAGAAGGCTCATCTTCAGTTTTGTTGCCCAGCTGTCAGTCTATCTCCTTGGTAAGCAAGAACTTTGAAGACATTCTTGGTCTGCTCTGGCTGATGAGAAACCAAAATGGGTCCTCAATATCCTTATGTTTCAGGGAAAATCAGGTTCCTGTTCATATAACGCAGGTGAACCAAGAGGGCAGGTGAGACCTCAGCCCAAATGGAAAGTAGAAACTGTGACCTGCTGCAGCCTGTCTGGAAGTGAATAGAACAAATCATGGAAGGAGGTCCTCCAAAGCTCTAACACCTTAAATGACCCCCAAACCTCTCGTTTCACAGTGGCCCTGTTTTGGTTCCAATCCTGTCTGTGCTACCTGGTTCACTATTTTCCAGTCAGAACTCTTGCACCAAAGCACCCAAATAGTCAAACGAAGGGAATGTAGTGCTGTGTCATTCTGATCATTGGTCATGCTAGCTAGTACTGATGAGAGTTAGAGTATAACATCATTTGGAGGATCACAAGTTCTCCCCCCTGATCTAAATTAAACCAGGGTATGTAGGCATGTATATGTATGAGAAAAGTATTCCCAGTTTCAGTTGCATCTTTTCTAATTACTCCCCTCACTGTCAATCAGAAAACATAACACAATGCTGTGGTGCATACTTTCCTTTAACAGGCTCTTTACTGGTAACCTATAATCTATGTCTCAAACATTATCCTGGTAGCCTGGGTTCTTTGGCTGGAATCCCACCAATCCTCTTACTCTTCACCAAACTGAAGAATAAGAGCAGCCAGAAGTGGGCTGGCCAAATGTTAGCAGGAGTGATAATTGCCTCAGTGCAGGGAAGTGTGGCCTCTGCATATTTAAAAGAGGCCGCAATGAGACATCAACCCAAAAGTTGCCCCTTAATCCCATCATACCCAAGAATATTCCATTTTCAGCAAAGTGTTCACTCATGTCCATGCTCCTCCCTCTGTGCTCCCAATTGGGCTTTGTGCCAATTTTGCCACCTAACTGCTGGGTTGATGCCCGCGGGCTCCCCGTTGGAGGAGTTGGCCATTTCAGCATCCTGCCCTGTGGCTGTTACCTCAACACTTTGTCCAGGCTCAGGGTGCTCTGAGGCCGCCTCCATTTCCACCTCTCACCCTGCGGGTAGTAACTCTGCAGCTTTCCCAGGGAGAGTTACTGTGGATGTTCAAGCGTCCTTGGGCTGATCTCTTCCTGTGGCAGCCCATCTGGTCAGAAGAAGCTTGTGTTGAGATTGGGCCATTTGGCAAAGAGTCTCCACTTCAGCCTCAGAAGCAGAATCCTCATGAGAACGGGTGCTGCATGCTTCATGTGAGCACGCCTGAGCTTTGACGGGATGTGCACACACGCAACACCAGCCAGGGGTGATACATGCTGTATTATTTCTACTGCTGTTTTAGATATCTATTGCTGTATTGTAAGGATTGCTTTAAATTTATGGTTTTACCCATTTATCTTTTGAACTTCCTGGATGAAAAGTGAGGTATACGTATTTTAAACAAACCCACCTCTATCAACATTAGACACTTGCTACATATAAAACAGGCCTGCTTGGTTACTGTATTTGTCAGGAGATACTGTCTTGGTGAAATCCAAGTTTTTAGCAGGTCAGTTTGCAACAGCAGTATCATGCATCCTTTTAGTCTCATGCACCCACCCTCTGGATCTTCGTACTGCTCCAGATTACAAGTGCCAACCCTATTGGCACCTACTAAAAGTATACCTTTTCCAAGAGGCATTCACAGGAGAGTAATCTTGTCTCCTCTATATGACACAGGAATGTCTTAAGTTATGCATATTGTTAGATAAATAATAAAACACCTGCACTCTGTTTGATCTTATAGAGCTGCTCTCCATTCAATGTTGTGGCCTGGCATGGGAACTACACACCATACAAGTACAAGCTCAGCAATTTCATGGTCATAAATACTGTGTCTTTTGACCATGCGGTAAGTTCTGGGCCTTCCTGGACAGATGTGAAGTCTCACTCTGAAGCGTTTTGGAAAACTAAAACCAGCTCTATCAAGCAAAGGCAAGATTGGAATCTAGGGTGAGAGCAGCCTTACAGCGATTGTCCAAACAGACCTTTCAGTTTGGTATCCTTAAGTTGCTTATTTTGTTATCTTTCTGTAAAATAACCAACAATTTTGGAGGCTAAGTTCTCACTTCAAGCTGAAGTAAATGAGACACTGGGTTAGTTTGCACTAAGTGGCTTGTTAACCATGATGTGATGCCAGCCACATTCCAGTCTGGTTTGCTTAACTACTCTTCCTAGCTTACCATCTCATCTTGAAACAGGCAAAGGAAGGTTGCTGCTGTGATTAACAAACCAAGACTCTAAAAACCCCTGGTGTTCTAGGTATTTTGTTAACCATGGCAGCAACAGCCCCCTCCTGGGTTCAGACAACTCAGAAAGTCAAGCTGATGGTAATTAATTAAACTGGGCTGGTACATGTAGCATGTCAACAAGCCAGGGTGACGTATTGGCCTTTCAGTTTAGTATCTTCAGTTTGTAGGTGTCCTAAAATAGTCACTTTTCAAGTTAGCACCCAATGCTGTTTAAATAATCTGCTTATTTTTTTATTTGTAGGATCCTTCTATCTTCACCGTCTTGACTGGAAAGTCAACTCAACCTGGAGTGGCAGTTGCTGATTTTGTTATATTCCCTCCTCGCTGGGCAGTGGCCAACAACACTTTCCGTCCACCTTATTACCACAGTATGTGTGTCACTCAATCCACTATGCTAGAAAATGGCTTTCCATAAGAAAAAGGAAAGTTGCCCTGCAACTTTTTTATTTTTAAAAATTTCTATACAAGTGTGATGTTATGTATCTTAATATTTATAAATAACCAAAAGGTATTAATTTAGAGGATGATGCCACTATATGCTAAGGAAAACAGCATCTCATGTCGCACATTTCCCATCCCAAGGCAGTCTTGGGCCACTGCACACTGCTGGCATCTTCATTAACCTGCAAAATGGCTGTGAATCACCTCCATTTGTATTTCCATAGGGAATTGCATGAGTGAGTTTATGGGTCTGATCAAAGGAACATATGAAGCAAAGGAGCAAGGATTTCTACCTGGAGGAGCAACTTTGCACAGCATGATGACACCCCATGGGCCAGATGCTGAATGTTTTGAGAAATCAAGCACTAGCAAATTGGAGCCCGAGAGAGTTGCAGAGGGAACTATGGTAATATCCTCAAAAGACTAAAGCAAGCTGTTAATCTAGGATGAGGAACTTTCTTCTATGCTTGTTTTAAGGCTGGAGATGCCAAAGGCAAGCGTCTATAAGCATTGTCTATGTTGGCAGAGAGTCACTCAGGAAATGATCATAGGAAGAAAAGATAACATGAGATGCACTGGTTATGTTTACATGACACAACCACCCACCCTGCAACATGCTGCACAGTGCTGTTTGTGGAACAATCCATGGTAGAACTGACAGATGATCAGGCTCACTAGGGGGTGTTCGGTTGTTCCTTTCCCCTCTATCCTCCCATGAGTATGCTGGGGACTCCACAGAAGGACCCGTCTTGTCTCTTCCCTCTGTACCAGCCACAGCTCCTTTTAGGGTTGCCATGGCTTTCTTTCCTGTTTCCCTAGGAATTGCTTTGCACTCTTTCCAATGAGAACAGCCCCTTCAAAGTGCCCAAGTGGCACACTGGAGCAGCTGTCATTGGTTTACTACTCACTCCATCTATCCATCATTTTTTGTACTCAAGATTTATACCCATTATTTCTTTTTTCCCTCTTGTTTTTATTGTTGGATGTTCCCAAATGTGTAGACTTGGCTCATTGATGCCCTAGACGGTATCTTTCAGAGTTCAGGAGGCACTATGCATGCAAATAGATAAAGCAAGGTTATAAATAGGTTTACTCAGATGCAGAATGAGATTTGCAAAAGGGTTATATGTAAGTACACACAGATCTGTTGATCTCAAAATTTTGTTTCTCAATGGAAAATGTATACAGACATATGTACAAAAAGGGGAGCTGTACACTTAAATAAAAACAAATCTTTTTATTTGAGGCCTGCTACAAGTCTCATGTACATGCCTTCTGAGTTCTCACATATACCCTTTGAGGCCATTTCGCTCAATTAAGCATTCACTAGCCTGTCTAACAGCACAAGAAGATCATTTTTGTGTGTGAATGTTATCAGGGATTCTTTTATAAACTGGGTGCATTACAACCTGTCCAACAACTCACTAGTTTTATTTATTTGTTCATTCTTAAATTGCCCATTACTGAAATTCTCTGGGTGCTGTAAACATTAAAAACTTAAAATGTATGTTTTTATGTATCATAATAATATATCAAAAGCAAGATAAAGCCACCAGCAACAATAAAACAGTACAAAGAACTCAACACACTAAAACTGTTTCCTGTGATTTTCCAACAGGCCTTCATGTTCGAGTCTTCTTTAAGCCTGGCTGTCACCAAATGGGGCCTGCAAAGCTGCCTAGATAAGGACTACTACAAATGTTGGGAACCCTTGAAGAGCCATTTTAATGCCAAACAGAAGTGAAGAACCCACATGTGTGTGTACTCAGATTTTCCTTGCCTGTGTAACTAAGATGTTAAGGAAATAATGTCCCAGTTCATCTTACATGCAGCAGCTCACAAACAGCTGACAGGATGGCTGGTGAATAACGTAAATAAAAAATAAACCCATTAATCTTGATTGCTCAAGTGAAGCTTTATATGTGATGAGACTAGAAAAGCCTGGAAGCCTCCCATCACCATTATACCCAATATGACAAGATAATGTATCTTGACATGTGTTGAAGACTAAATAAAGAAATATACAACTACTTTTGTTGAAAGTATTACAGTATAGGCAGTAAGTGTTTTTAAAGAAGACATTTCATTACTGGGGTGTCCATTACCACATCAAGGCATTAATTTTCTACAGATGTCCCCATGGATGATCTTGATGCACTGTTTTATGTAAACGTTAAAAAAACATAAGATCTCAGCATAGAGCCCTGTAGAATTCCACAGTATAAATGCCAGAGAACCAAGGAGTAGTCTCCTGGCATCACGTTCCAGCAGTTTAGGTAGGAACTCAAACACTGTAAAGCAATGTCCTCTCCTCCAATTCAGCCAGCCTACTATGCTGGCATGAGATCCAGCAGAACCAACACTTGTACACCCTCTGTCCTGCTCCCAACATAGGTTTTTCTATCATGGTGATCAAGATACTTTCTATATCAAAACTAGAACTGATTGAAATGGTTCCAGGTAATTACAGTCTCATTCAGGAAATCTTGCCATTGCTCAAGTCCACGAAGGGCATATTAGAAAACAAATAGTTGATGTGATCTTCCAAGTGCAAGGAGGGTTTTTTCAGGAGCAACCTCTCAGCTGCCTTCTTCAAAATCTTGCAGAGAGAGATTTACAATCTTCTGAATCTCTTAATTTGATGTTGTAAGTGGGTTAAGCACAGCGATTGAATATATATGTGAGCACAGATGCCACAGGGCATTATTGTTCAAGAATCAAACTGCAATTCAGAAGTTCATCAAAGAAAACATGGACTGAGCTGTCCAAACAAGTGGCATACAAGTCATGGCAAATCAGTGATATTTATCTTCAAAATGTTTAGAACACATGTCTAAGTGCTTCTCTGAGAATTCCTTCACATCATTTGAGCCAGCTTAAAGTGTGTGCCAAACCACTCAGAAAAGTTCTGCCAGGACAATGTGAGGATGTAATGAAGATGAAAAACTAATGTTTCTTGGTTATCATTGGTACAGAGGATAGCTGACTTGCTATAGTTTAGTTTTGAGAGTGCTAGGAAAAGTCTGGTATTACAAAGGAATTATACTAATCAGTGCTGGCACATAATTGGGTGGCTCAAAGCTTTCCTCATGGATTTAATTTGTTCTGGCAAGAACTCTAGCAAACGAGAGTTTGTTTCCTCAGGTGCTTGATGCAGACCAAGAAGGTGGGGCGTACTTAACACATCAGGCACAATTTAAAGCAGGCATGTACAAACCCTGTTGAAATCAATGGGAATTAAATAGTTAACACCATGCTTACATATTTTACATGGGGACAATAGCACTTCACCAAAGGAATGGTGGAGGTTCAGCCACAATTCTTTAGCCTAGTCTTCCTCATGTGATGGCCTCCAGTTATTTTGGATTACAACACATTATGCCAGGGCAATGTTTCAAACTTGGGAATTAAGGCTCTCATCTACTGCTCAAACACTTATAGGCCTAATGCTGTCAAGTCACTGGGATTACTGCAGATCACCTATTCCTTTGCACAATGCTAATCTTACAGATGAAAATAAGAAAAATCAGGAGCAGCAGGTGGTCTGGAGGGGACACCAAGACAGGTAATCATGGATACATTAACATCCCCTAGCACCACATTAAAAGTACAGTCCTAATGTTTACAAAACCTTATACTCTTAGACATACTTTTAAAAACAAGTAAACGTGAAAATTTGACAAATTTTACCATAAGTAGATGTTGTGTTATGGTGCTCTAAAATTGCTTTGCATGTCTTCCTAGCTTACGTGAGAAGAATGCCCTCTCATTTGCAATTTCTTAACCTTTGTCTTGCCCTGCCAATAATCTGCAAAAGCCTTTAAAATCCAAGCTATGGAAGCAGACTTGTAAGTTTGAGAAATATGTAGTAAATATGGGCTATATTCACATGACATCAAGCCTAACATAAATTCCATTGCACTGAAGTAAAAAGATATTTGCCCCAGAAGCTTTTGCATCTTGCAAGTCTCCTGCACCAACCTGCATAATAGATTATCTCGCAAGTATTCATACTAAATAATTATTAGGTCTTTTACATATTTCTCTCATAAGCGTCTCTTTCATAAGCGTATAATTTTACATTGGTACTTGTGTCACACTAGATACCACTCCATATGTTCCAGCATCAACACAAATAGGATTTATTAAAGGAGAAACTTTTGAATACAAGAAAGATAACCCATTTCTAATTAATAAGATTTATTTTTGAAGAAGACCAATGCTTACAGAGGGAGACAGTGAGAATGTCAGCAGCATTTTCAGTACACAGTCGGCAGATTTTCAAAAGCAGAGGTTGAATGGTCGCTTATATTTACCTTCCTGAATGAGCTTCTCTCTATGATCCTGTACACAAACAAATGTATTAAAAATTATCACTCCAGGAAAGAACTGCAACAAAACAATCTTTAAAAAGCAACTGAGCATTAACTACAGCAAGGGTACAACATTTAACTGGGAGAAAGCCTAAATAACAGGACTTGCAAATGTGTAAATATTTATTTAGAATACTTTTATACCATCTACCAATTAAAAACTATATTGGACAAATTCACAGTAACGTATGCTCTAAGACAGCAACATTAATCAATAAAACAAAATGGTATTAAAAACAATCATGGTACTGAAGGTAAGTAGGATGAATGAGATAAAGCATCAAATGAAGAGGCTATCATAAAGCTAAGATGGAAATACCTCACAAGGCTTCCTGCTGAAATCTCTGTAGTTGAGCAAGACATGTGCACCCTGAGTTCCTAATCCATTATTTTAGCTCTCTTTGCCATTTCCATTCTTCCTTTACTTAGTCAGAGGTTTCATTTTTGTGAAATAATTTTGCATAAACAAATCAAACTAACTTGCCATATCTCATTTTAATGTCATCACTCCTCTCTTATTTAAGAAACCCTTAGTGGTAACACTGACTGCTCCCCCAGAAAATAAAATAGTGGTACATTTCAGAAACTGGGGAAGCCTATGCTCCAAAACAGCTGTTAATTAAATATAAATTCAAATAATGAATAGTACTATTTTTAAAATAAATTCAAAGTAGCCATCAGTTGTTAAAAGCCCTCAAACATATAAAAATATAGCTAGAAAGAAATGAATTCATTTTGTGAGTGAAGTAATAAAAGGTTCCTTAATCCTTGATTTTATTGCCAGAAACACAGCAATATAAGCTTTTATTCTTTCAGATTTCACAGCACATATACGATAGGATGGCGAACTACAGTTCCTAAATTAAATAAAACACTACAGCTGTAGAACGATTAAACTCCTCCAAAGGCAGAGATGGTCCATGATTTTGCTGGCACTTGGACAAAATGCCTCCACAGCTTAGCCCAACCACCACTTGTCCTGCAAAGACAGTACCTGGGAGCAGAATGGGCTCTCATTCAAGCCCTTTGGAGGAAGGAAAAGTAGCAAATAGAGGAAATGAAGGAAGCATAATGTACGCATACATTTCCACTGACTGCCAGGCAGCCTCAAGTGCTCTTGTGCAGCACCCCACTCATAACAATAAAGACAAGCACTTAAAGATGCTTATGCAAAACACTTACCCTTTGCTTTTTAAAGAGATACCACCAGAAGAGAATGGGGCCTACTCCAAAAACAATACCAGTTAGGGAAGTTTTCGGGGTGGCACGGAAATTCGGATAGATATTATGCGATTTGGCATAAGTCCAACGAGTCATAGCTGGGTCCTCCTAAAGCAAAAAAAAAAAAGAATGCTAAACATTCTTCGATTGCACATGATGCCTTAAGCAAATGAAAAAAATGGGGTGGATTTCCTGTAAGAACGACGGCTTTCCCTGTCTGCGGGTGAGGCTGAAATTACACATTTGGGTGTAACTTTAAAAACTGTTCTTTAGAAGGCCAGATCCTGAAGATGAAACTCAAATACTTTGGCCACCTAATGAGAAGGAAGGAGTCCCTGGACAAGAGTCCAATGCTGGGAACAATAGATGGCAAAAGAAGAAAGGGACGGCAGAGGATGAGGTGGCTAGATGGAGTCACTGAGGCAGCTGGTGTGAGCTTAGGTGGACTCCGGGAGATGGTGGAGGACAGGAAGGCCTGGAGGAATGTTGTCCATGGGGTCGCGATGGGTCGGACACGACTTCGCGACTAACACCACCACCACCTGCTTAAAAGTACTTTCCGACATGGAAGGGCCTTTTGTGCGAGGTGAGCAAGTCTATGTATGCAATCGTGCGTGCGGCGCATCAGACCACGGCCCTTCAGTGTAGCTTGCCGTCCCACGCCCCAAGTGAGGGCGACAGAAAGGCCCTGCCTGCCCGCTCGCCCGCCCGCCCCGCTCGCACGATCACTCACGATCACTGAGGGCCTCTGGGGGTCGTTGAGCTGCATGAGGAATTCGCGCTTAAGGCGAGCGCGAAGGGCAAGCCGTTCGGCATCGAGGCGGCGCTTCTCCGGCGAGGCGGCGTACTCGGCCGGGTCCAGCTGCGGCGGCAAGGACGACAAAGGCGCGGGCCGGTACTGGAAGACAGGCTCGGGCGAAGAGGGCTCCGCCATCTTGACAGCGGCCGGGACGCGGCCTTAGCCCCGCCTCCCGCACGCGCCCTCCGTCGCGCCTGCTGCTGCCACGGGGGCCGGAAGAGGGCGGGATCTCGGGCGGAGGAAGCCTCCGCAAGCCTCTTGCGAGGAAGGGTGGGGGTCGCTGCCCACGTGTGTCCAAAGCAGTGGGCAGCGGCGTATCCACACGACAGGAGCGAGCCAAGCCTTTCTTGTGTGAAACAGATGGTCCCCCGTCCCCATTAAAGAACGGCTAAACGTCTCAACACGGCCTGTCTGTGCATCTCTCAGTAGCCTTTCATGTCCGTAGATCAAGTTGGGAGAGACAATGTGGCCTACAGCAAGCTTGCAACTTAGGCTATGTGCTGCAGTTTGCGAGTGGTTTGCAACGACGCTGTAGTGTAGTACATCCTTATTACTCGAGGTCAGGCTAAAGCGAGACTGTAGCAAACGAGCTCGTGATGAAGATGACAAAAGCGTTCACAACTGAGCTGCAGAAACCCCAAATGTCTGATTTTTAAAGTCTTTCTGGTTGAATATTGCTCATGCATGTTTTTACATATTAGCTATCGCCCAAAGAAATAACGAAGAGGATGATACTGGAGCCAATAGAATAACTTGGATTCCTGGATCTGAAGATAGCATTCTGATCTAGGAGCTGGGGATTTGTGCTCCAGTCCCTTCCTTACCCTCACAGCCGGTGCCGACAGAACCACGCCAGCTGGGAAACGAACTTCAGAGAGGATAAAAGGGGAGGGAGGGGCGGAGACTGAAGTCATTATTGTGCTGTGGTTTCTGAAAATACAGCCGCAGAGATGATGGAATGCAGTGAATTTGTATAATAAAAACTACCACACACACTTAATCCTGTTTGTTCTCACATGCTACATATACTCTATTACTTAACATGACAATCTCCCCCAGACATTTGCCAGAGCAGTCATTATTAGAGGAAAAAACACTTTAAAATTATATTATTAAATGGCTTAAAGCAATGGCCCCAGATGTAAAATGGGAAGAGGATATTGAAAAATCACATCAAGTTGGCTACAAGCAAAGATCCAGAGTGTTCCCAAAGGATGTTTTGATTAGATTCTTGAATTGCTACATGCTGCAGTTTGCAAGAAAGGTTCATGAAAATGAAGAAAGAAGAAAGAAAGGTTCGTGAAAATAATGAGAGAAAAATCATGCCACTTGAAGTGTAAAGGAGTTCCTATTCAGGTCTTCCAAGATCTTTTATTCTAGACTGTGCAATATAGATGGTTATTGAGGCCAATTAAGACTGTTCTACTGAAGAATAAATATAGCTGAAGATGCCCAGTGTTGTATAAGGGGCATCAGATTCACCAGTTATGAAAGTTTTGTATAAGGGGATATACTACAAAATAAATTTTGTGGAACATGGGGAAAACTTATTGCATGGATGGGGACCTATGGATGATGGTGAAGACCAAGTGAATTAAGAAATTTTAAAAAGGGGGGGGGGGCGGCAGCAGTACAGATTCAAGAAGTGGTGCTTGACTGAAAAGATCAAAAGAATGGAGACTGTCATGTGCTTGCACTCTGGCAAGATTCCCAGGTGCACACGAGAAGCTGACCATTTTGGTGGGATAGCTCAGTGTCTGAGGATGATGGGGAGTTGGCTGAACCAGAGGAGGCTCAGAGCTCAAATGCTGATAACAGAATGGTTGCTGCAATGGACTGGCCTGCACTTGCAGGCCCAATCTCTCAGTACCATTCCGAGCCTGCTCTGGAAGAAAGTAGTTCAAGGAGACCCATGGAGCCTCGTCTCCCCACCTGTGGGAATGAAGGAAAAGATGGATATCAACATCCAGAGGAGGAGATTGGAAATGGGTAGTCTCTCAGGAGAGCACCCGCTTCCTGAGGAATTGGACCCAAGCGCCTGTCACTACAGCCACAGGGTGGCCCTATTTGGGGCTTGGAGTGCAAAACGCAGGCTCACCCAGTTCCACAGCGTCCCTTCCTCCAGAGACAGGCCCCGAATGGTTCATAAGCAAAGCTTTGTGTGAAGGGAGGCGGAGAGTCAACATCTTTCCTTGAGTATGCTCAGAGGCTTGTGTATGCTTAGAGTCCTCTTTCAATGTAGAATTAAGATACTTACAAGAAGCGCTGGAGAGTCTGTCTTGCTGGGGAGGGAACGCCCAGCTCACAACAGAGACCAGCAGAGGAGGGAGCACTCAGTGTTATTTCCCTGGTGCAAAACATCAATTTGATAGATGAATAGATGGATAAGAAGATGAAGAAATGAGGAGAAGATGGAAAATTAAAAAAAAAATACTTGACTGATATGGTAAGGGTAAACTTCAGTTAGATCTTATAAAAACTGTAGAATGAGAACACTGTTACAACATTTACAAAATATAAAGCAATAAGAATAGTAGAGCAAGGATAATTAGTTGATAAAATGTCTAAAGCAACATGAGATACTGAGTTAGTTTAATAATTAGTTAAGGATAGGAATAGATTACTGCTTCTCATTAGGGAGAAGACTGCTTAATTTATATGCCATATATGTAATAGTAAGTACAAGACTAGAAAAAGCTAAGTACCATAAATAAGAGGAGCATATACTATCCCGTGTTCTTGTCTTAAAAGTATGAAGAATAGCATATACACAGTATGCAAGTATATGAAGAGGTATATAAACTAGTATATAAAGTATAGTATAGAATTAAGGATTTGTAATCATAGAAACATAGTGAGTCAGAAGGGGCCTCCCAGGCCATCTAGTCTTATTCCTGGCTTCAGCCAGTTTCACTCACATAATGCCCAACATGTGGGTGTCCAGTCTTTCCCTGAATGCCCTCACTGTTGGGGCCTCCACCACCTCCCATGGAAGCCCATCCCATATCCTAGGGTTCCTAACCTTCAGGAAGTACTTCCTGACATCCAATCTGAAACTTGGTTCCTCTGCAGAGGAGAACAGGTCACAACCCTTTACTGTGTGACCCCTCTTCACATACCTGTATGTCACTATAAGATCCCTTCGGAGTCTCCTCTTCTCCATGCTGAAAAGACCCAACTCCCTCAATCTCTTCTCATATGACACCCCCTGCAATCCAGCTACCATTATTGTGAGGTGTGATTGTTTAAGCTCCTTAAATTGAATATTACAGACAAAATGAAGATATTGAACATTAATGGATTGAACTTTCCTTTCAAGAGAACTAAAACAGTCTTTCATGAGTCTCAAGAATATATTTTTGAATATAGTGCCAGAGAGCCTTTCAAAGAATATGTCAGAGTTATTTGGGTATATGATAACTGCAGCAAGAATCGCAATTGCTTTTGAATCGAAATCGTCAGAGCCCCCAACAACTGAAGAATGGAGAAATGGATTGGCAGCGTATGCTGTGATGGCAAGGTTGACTGGTTGCATAGCAGAAGATTGTTAGAGGAATTTGATGATACACGGAATTTTACTGTGCTCATTAGTGGGATTTGAGTTTAGAAAAGAAAAGGAAAGCAGTAGAGGAATTGAAGTGATTGGAGGGTTTGTTGTTGTATAGATTAATGATTTCTTTTTTGTTAAACTTTCATGGAGTGTTGAAACACAGGAAGATAGATTTGGGGGGCTGATTGTATAGGTTAGATCTGTATAGAATTCCCTTGGCAACTTTGTCTATTTTAGCTTGCTTTGTTCATTATAGTTCTTTTGTTTCACATTATTTTCTGTCTATTTGCTTATGTTAAGAAAATAAAATTAGGAAAAAAACCTCATTTTGCATGCCTTTCCTTTGCAAATTCTGTCACCAATTCACTCAGGTCAAGTGCTGATGCCTGGGCATGTTCAACTGTCTATTTTTGCCAAACCAGCTAGTCTCTTTTGCAGCCTTGTTGGGCATATGTACATTTTGATCATTTGAGCTCTGAGAAACTGCATTCACCTCTTGCCACTGACACTGGAAGTGTGAGAAGGATCCTCAGAGCAACAGAAACATTAGGCACACCATCCAGAAGTTTCATTGCAGTATGAAGAGAAGTCCTCCTTGTGGTGGCATAGTCTTTGGAAGTCTTTGAGCTATTGGCTATAAGGTCACAGCACAGATATTCAGCATCAATATCTTTGTTTCCATTGTGCATCAATTATTTTTCCAAATTCTTGCAGGCCTTAAGTACATCTCCAATAAATGTTTTGTTGATATTGTGTATATCATACACGAAGCCAAATAGGGAATTATATTGTTGTAGCTGTTGGAATCTCTCTTCAACAGATTGTATGGGAACATCTAAGAGAGAATAATAGAAGTCTATTTGATACTGGATGGAATATACATGTTTTAAATAAATAGATAAATAAAAATTCTGCTTTGGATCTTGCAGTGCCTCTTCTTGAGCCTCATACACAAACTGATGTTTCTTTCTCCTTTTTCTAGCTTGTTCTGTCTCAAAGTTTGGTAGTATTTCTAGCTCCTTTGAAATCTCAGTAGCATCTATCAAAACTTGTTGAAAAAACTCATCACACCTACAGTCCACAAGGTAATTCTTGGTCACTTGCAATTGGCTTGTAGCTGAATTTAAATCAGCTTCCTCCTTATTTTGTAGTAGCTTGTTTGTAAGGTTCATTTCCAAAAGGATGCTGTATCATGTAACAAGGGATACCACAAAGCTGAACTTACAAACTGTATCAGCCTTAGTGTCAATTCAAGAAGTATTTCCTGATAATTTTTCTAGGCTTGTATCTCCATTAAAGCATCATATATGCTACCCAGATGATATCTCAGTAGTTTCAAAGTGTCACTCCAACTCCCATCTTGTTTGATTCAATGGCTTAACAGTTATGCCTGTTACATGACTAGTTAGAATTTGTCAATGCTGAGTTGATGCAGAGAAATAATTATGGATCTGTTGAAACAAACTAAAGAAACTGGTTGGTTCCAGACAATAAAATTGGGTAAAAGTGCATCAGAAACTTTGGTGAGAAAAGCTTACGGAGAAGCTGTGCTATCATCTGCACAAGTGTACCAATGGCGTAAGTTGCGATCAGCTCAACTTGGATCCTTCATCATGACAATGCACTGAGTCACAGTGCTTT